GTGCCCCCGATGAGGATGTCGTCGATGTACGACCTCCGTCCCAGAACGGAGTGAATACCTGGCTTCACCGGTTCGCCGTCTTCAAAGACATCCCGAGTGCTGCCATCCGGGGACAGCTTCATGAACCCGTAGAGCGCGTTGTCGATCAAGCGTTGGTAAATCTGCGGCGCGTTGCACAGGCCGAACGGCATACGCCGCCATTCGTACAGTCCCATCGGCGTGATGAAGACTGAGGTGAGCCGGGCCCGGTCTGCCATGGGGACGACCCAGAAGCCGCTCGCCATGTCGAGGGAGCAGTACCACAGATACTTGTCCAAGTTATACTCTGCGAAGAATGAGAGCCATCTCGCCATCAGTTGCGAGATGTGCGGCGACTTCACAGTCGTCCGCAACGACACGTGGTCCGTATAGGCCACGAACGGTTTGCTTCCGAGTAGATACACTCGGAACTTCGCGAGTGCGTACTTCATGGCAAGGAGCTCGTTGTCATGTACCGGGTAGTTGCGCTCAGCTGGCTTCAGCTGACGCGATTGATAGTAGACGACACGATCACGACCCTCGTGATCGGGCTGCATCAACGCACATCCGATTGCGAAGTCGGATGCGTCACACACAACGTGGAATGGGCGATCTTGGTCGGCCACCGCCAAGATCGGCGCCTCAGTCAAGCCCCGCTTGACTGCATCGAAGGCCTGCTGACACTCAGCAGTCCAAACCCACTCGGCGTCCTTCTTCAAGAGCTGTGACAGCGGGCGTATCATGCCCGCGTAGTCCTTCACGTACTTGCACAAGTACGTGGCCAAGCCAAGGAACTGCCGCAGTTCCTTGACGTTCGACGGCGTCGGCCACTCATTGATCACTCTGACCTTCTCAGGGTCAGTGCGGACACCGTTCTTCCCAACGAGACACCCGAGCACGGGTATCTCGCTCGCCCCGAAGATGCACTTCTTCAGGTTCGCATAGAGCTTGTGCTTGCGCATGAGCGCAAGCAGCTTCCGGAGATGCACCTTGTGCATCTCAACATCGCTCATCCCGTCCGCAGCCCGGCTGTGGACGAACACATCGTCGAAGTAGCTCGGCGCGAAGTCGCGCACCGAGCGCAACAATTGCGTCACGCACCTGTTGAAGGTCGCAGGGGAGTTCTTCAGCCCTTGCGGCATCACCAGCCACTCCCAGAGCAGCCGTGAGAGGGATATCGCTCTCACGCTTGAGGATCTGATAGAACCCATCGCGCAGATCAAGAGCACTGTAAATAGTGTTCCTGGCCATCGAATCGATGATAACATCTTTTCGAGGTATCGGCGTCTGAGCCGGTATCGTCGCATCGTTCAGCTTGTTATACGCATTAACGATGCGCCAGCCGCCCTGTGGCCTCTTGACACAGAACGTCGGAGCACTGTGCGGGGACTTCGATTCCCGCACTTGTCCAGCTTTGCGACGACTCTCAAAGAACTCGTCGATCGCCTTGACCTGCTGTCGCGGCAGTGGCCACTGCCGCGTGACACAGTACTTCGTGCCCGGCACGAGATCAATCTCGTGCTGGATTCCCTTGTCCTGCGGAAGCTCCGCAGGAATCTCTTCCGGAAGTACGTCCGCGTACTCCCGTAAGATCTCGTAGTAGGGACTCGTTTTCAACGAGTTCAGCTCTGCTCTTCAAAGCGCTCCTTCTTCGTCTTCGCACTGAGAGTGTCCTCGCTCTCAGTGGTGGTCTCCATGAAGAACTGTCTCAGTTCTTCATTCTCGCTCTTCGTTCTCTCGGCGTCCGAGAGGATGCATATTTGCTCGACGCGTCCATCTTGCAAGTCACGCGCGAAGCGCTTCCAGCTCATGACTGGAAGCGAAGTCAACTCCGACGCTTGCGTCGGAGGGTTAGCGAGAGTCATCTCCCTGTACCGGAACCCGGCACAGGTACGCGTCAAGACGTTCAACGCCTCAACGTCCGGCTTCTCAGCCTCCGTCTGCCCGGCAGACATTCCTTGTAGCGTCTCGGCCCCAGGCCGAGACTTGCGCAGCGACCTTCGCATGCGCCGTCTTCTTGTTTTGCGGAGCCCGGCTCCGCTTGGTTCTTGACCTCGTCCAGGCCCAGCCGTGGACGGGTGTTCTTCTTTAGTACCGCCGGCGGGTTCATCCCGCGGGCGAGCGACTTCAAGCCCGGCTTGGTCGTCCGGCGCTTCGTCGTGCAGCCCGGCTGCACGACAGCATGCAAGTTTTTCCGATGCGGGACGTTTGCAACCGTCCGCACCGCCTGCAGCGTCAGCTCCCGGAGCCGACACGCCATCTTCACCTCGACGCCTGTTATTGGCGGAGCCCTCCATTACGGAGGGTGCGTCGGCTCCCCGAGCCGACGAATCAAATTCACCCAAGCCATCGACTCCCGGAGTCGACGGCGTTACGCCACCTTGGCTCTTATTATTGGCCAGACCTGATCCAATCAGATTCGCGTCAGCCTCCACGCCTGAGGCGTGTGACTCGCCTGCGTCATCCGTGCCCCTTGAAGTCGGAGACTCTTCCTGATTCGCTGAAAAGCCGGTGTCGACCTCCGAGGTCAACACATTTCCTTCATTAGCTGTCGGCGGCAACGCCGACGCTAGCTGCTCTTGCGCGCGTGCTCGCGCGCGCCCAGGGCGCTCCGGGACAGCGACATTAGGCGCTGTCTCGAGTGGGGAGTCGCGCGCACCTGTCGGTGTGTGCATAGCGGCAACAGGGCCATCGCTCACTGTTCCGCTGTCGCGACCGAAGCGCACGAGAGTGCGCTTCTCTCAATCGATGACCGGATCATGTCGTGCAAGCCACGGCATGCCCAATACAATGTCAAACTTATCGTCCAGATCCAGGACGATAAAGGTCTCGACAAACTCTTGATCTTCATAAGTGAAGCGCACGCGTACCATCCGCTTCTCGGTCTTCACGACGGCACCCGTTGCCAGTCGTACTTCCAACATATTTCGAGGTATCTTTAAATCCTCGAAGTCAAGCCTTGATAGACTTCGCAGTCGAACAAAGTTCTTCGACGCGCCAGAATCTACCAAAGCACGGAGAGAGCCGCTTGCTCTCACCGAGTTCACATTCAGGATGTCAAGGTCAGGCTTGTCATCTTGGTTCTTGCAGTGAGAATGAACCTCACTGGGGGCTGCGGTCCTCCGTGTCGCGTGTCCAAGGTCGACACGCGGAACTGCATTACCAGTAGGGCGCCCCGCGCCTACTGGCGTCCAGCGTTTTTTGTTTGGTTGCGACGGTGCCCGGCACCGCCGCGATAGCCACCCTGCTGGTGCACGGGGGCCGTGCACTCCCGAGCAAAGTGACCAATTCTACCGCATCGATAGCATCGCACATTGTTTCCTTGCGACTGCTGGGGTCCAGCAGTTGCAGCACTCGAGAGGTCCATGGGTGCTGCCGGTCGAGGAACTCCGCCCTCGACCGGAACTCGTTTTACGGTGGCTCAAACGCTTGTCTGAGCTCTTCCTTGAAACCCTCGTACGTGCTAAAGCACGTAGGATCCGAGAGTCGGCGTCCATACGCCCAACTTCTTGCACGTCCGCCAAGACATGACATGGCGAACGCGACCTTCGACAACGGGTCGACGATGCGTCGAGCCGCAATGGCAGTGTCGAGTTCGACAAGCCAACGGAGGAGAGGCTCGCCCTCTCTTCCAACGTAATTGCTCACGCTGAGCTTCAGCGATTGCGCGCGCGGTGTCGTCCCCGACGACACCGTGGTAGACGAAGCAGCATCTCGCTGCTCCCTCATGATGAATCCCAGAGCAACACCATGTTGCTCTGTCGGCGTTAGCGTACGCAGCATCGTAGCTACAGCCGCCTCACCAATGACTGTTGACAGTCGTTGTAGAGCTTCCCACTCTGGGTCCGACAGGTGGGGACAGTCAGCGCGTACAACGTGAGTTGCTGGCGTAGTGGAGCTTTCCATGGACACCTCCGTATCCATGGGAAGGTTCTCAGCTCCGCGTTCGTGCGGTGACGTACGAACTCAGGTAGTCGGTCGTTGGACGGACTACAAAGTGCTACCAGGTGTAGTGGGCCTACTTTGGCTCACTACTTTAGCTTACACGTGTGCGCGTGTATGTGAGGAAGCGTAGCTTAGTTTAAATTAGAGTTAATTATACTCGGGCCTCCGAGTATAGATAAAACTAAATAAACGATCCAAATAATGTTTTTGGGTTAAAATGAGAACTGCTATTTTTGTTTTATGTTTCTGACTTCCTCTAAATGTAATATGCTAAGATAGGAATCTGCCAACGGCTGGTTGGCAGAATTCCAATGCTATGCATGTCGCTCATTGGCTAAGAGATGCTGCTCTCAGCCAATAGGAATCCTAAGTCTCTATCGTGGTGGTCGTAAATGTATGTAGCCTTTGGTGTGTCTACACCAAGGTCGAGAAAGTCTTTCGAACCTCTAACAGACGTCGTGTCTGTTAGAGTTACAAGTGACTGTAGCCACTTGTGCGTGTAACCCTGTTACACCATCCCCCCCCTCAAGAAGTCTGGAAAGACAAGTAGTGGCGGATGTTTTCTCTGTGGAGGAACAGATCACTACAAGCGCGACTGTCCTGAATTGGAGGAGAAGCCCATCGGACGGAAAGCGCAGGCAAAGTATGCGCGTTCAGGAGAGAAGTTTACTGAACAGGAAGCGCAGGGGACATGTGAAGTTGATCATGCTCAGAAACGTGATGTGGTTGTTGGTGAAGTGGTGAAGCGAGTCGCCAAGGATTATGATCCATCTCGCTGGTACTTCGACACTGGAAGTAACGCACACATCACAGCGTGCAAGGAATACTTCACTTCGATGCAGAGCATGGAGAATAGTGACTGGAACCCGACAATTTCGGGGTTTGCTGACGGCGTGGGTGCTAAGGCGGAAGGATTCGGAACTATTATGCGTGCAGCATGATTGATGAACAAATGTTGTTTGTTCTCGTTGAAGACGTATTGTATGTATCCAGTGCAGGTTCTAACCTGTTCTCACCTGGACTAGCAAGGCTTCCAGATGACGTGGGACTCTGACGCGCGGATGTTCGGGATGTCAAAGGAGGGTACAGAAGTGATTCGCACGGTCTACGAAAATCATCTTTGGACGTTCAACGCGCACAACATTGGCAGCGCTATAACCAACAAGAAGAAGAATGCAGTCAAGAAGCACGTGTTCGCAAGCTTTGCTGTCACGGATAGTGTGGAAGACATCGATGTGTGGCACGAGAGACTAGGACATACTTGCCCGGAGTATATAAGACTGATGGTTGATCGCGGCATGGCGACGGGTATCATGCTCAAGCGTCGAGGAAAGATTGATTGCGCTGACTGTCATTATGGCAAGCAACGCCGAAAGACTTTCAAGAAGAAGCTCGACAGGCCAATGGAGAAGGTGAACGACATCGTGTACGCTGACCTACTGATCCCTGGAGCGAACAACGGATCCCAATACTCAGCCGTGCTAGTCGTGATGGACGGATTCTCACGCTATGTGAAGATCTTTCTCTTGAAGTCGAAGGCCGAGGGAGAGGTGAATAAGCACATGCAGGAGTACATTGCTTGGGCCGAGCGCCAGCACGGGACCCGCGTGGGTACGGTGATCACTCGAGAATGGAGTGAAGATGATGACTGTGAAGCCAGCAAAAACTTAGTCAAGCAAGTGCTCACGGACAAAGGCCAAGAATTTAGCAATGGAGCAAGGGCAAAATGGTACAAGAAGAAAGGTATCGTGCATACGAAGGTCGGGCCAAACGCGTCGCAGTTGAACCCAGTGGAACGTACGCATCAGACCTTGGTTGACATGGTGAAAACTATGATGCACCATTCGGGTTTGCCTGCATCGTTCTGGACTAGTGCACTGGAGACGGCAGTGTACGTGAAAAACCGCGTATTTTGTAAGGGTGCTGGGTGCACTCCGTACGAGATGATGTTCGGCTCAAAACCAGACATCCACCACATCAGAGCATTTGGCTCGCTCGCATACTGTCACACTCCAAAATCCAAGCGGAAGAAGTTCGCGATGAACTGCAAGATGGGGTTCTTGATCGGGTATCGTGAGGACGTGGTGGGTTGTCAAGTGTACTTCCCCACTGAACACAAGAAGGGTTTTGTGTCCGATGTGAAGATCAATGAGGCGATCAAGTATAAAGACCGCCACGAGAGCGGATACAAAGGCAAGGTGAACAAGTGGCTTCAGACCTTCAACGAGTTCATCAACTAGGGCGAGTTTGACGACTTCGCTGCTGATGATCATGATGACGATGAGTCATCGCACCAGGCTGATTGTGATGCTGAATCTGAACGATGCGCGAGCAGTAACATTGACCATGAGGATGTTGAATCAGTTGCTGGCAGCGAGGATGAGAATGCCCAAGGTGTGTGGAATGGAAGACTACGTAGCAGACTATCTACTATCCAGCTTCAACACCAGGCAGATGTGTCTAGCGAAAACAGTGCAGAGCGAGAGCTATGGGATGAGATCCTTCGTGCGAGCTCCCTGCCCGACTATGATGATGCGTTTGAGGAAACGCAGGAGGGCGAAGGTACAGGAAGCCGACGTGATTCTGACACCGAGGTGGATCCTGAAGAAGCTGAAAACAACAGTACAACTGAGATTAGTCCTGAAAATGTGAAGGTAGATAATGAAAGCACTGAAGCGGTTAGTGAAACTGCAGCGGCTGATGCAGAAGGCCAGAGTGGCTACAGTGACCAGGATGAAAATGAAGATGAACATGAAGTTGAAGTCGATGAAGACTATGCCCAGTCAATCGCACACATCACGGACCCGACCCACGTTGTGGAACCGGAGCTCCGTGGAGGTGCAGATTACGATTGTTTGTTTGATCCGGCAGATGCCCGTGAGCTGAGTGAAGTTGCTGGTGATGTGAACGATGGTAATGATGGAGCACTGGTTCCAGTGACGGATCATGAACTAGTTGCAGTACCAGACCAGATCATTGGTCACCGACGACCTAGAGACGTCGACGTGCGACGGACACGTGAACGGAAACGCAACAAAGTGGACACAAAGCGCGTAAAGGAGACTACGCCACGTCGTCCAGGCCTTCGTGAGGTTCACGAGAGGCGACCACCTGAACGCTTTGAGGACTACCAGGTATACTCGACGTTCAAAGCCCTACACACTGATCGTCGCGGTGCCGGAGGCATACGTGCTAGTGATGTGAAAATTCCCGAAGCCATAAGGTCCAAATATGCACCATTCTGGGAAGCAGCTATGGATAAGCAGGTTGCCCAAGGGCGTGTTGAAGATGATACCTAAGAGTGAACTGCCCAAGGACCAGAAACTACTGAAGACCATGTGGGTCTACGATCTCAAAGAAGATCATTTGGGCTACGTGCCTGAGTTTCAAGCGCGAATTGTAGGTAAAGGTGACAAGCAACGTCCGGGGCTGGACTACTTGGAGACTTTCTCCCGTGTTGCACGCATGGCTACTTTTCGACTGTTCATCGCAGTGAGTATCTTCCTGGGGCTGATTATTTACCAGGGCGACATAAATACAGCCTACCTCAATGCCTTGCTGACGATTAAGCAGTATCTGGAGGATCTTGACGGATATCCATGTGAGGTGGATGGCATGGTGTACATGATAAATAAGGCTCTCTACGGGCTCAAACAGTCCGGTCGAGAGTGGAACACAGAGGTCAACGATTGGTTCATTCGCTACGGATTCAAGCGATGCAGCACGGAGCCGTGTTTGTACTTCTATGACCGCGATGGTGAATTTGCTATTGTCCTGCTCTACGTGGATGATATCCTGTGCGCGACGAAGAACGAGGAGTTCAAGAAGAAGATGTTCAACCAGCTGAACGAAGACTACGGTCTCAAGGACCAAGGACTTTTGAACACTTACCTCGGAATTGAAGTAGAGCAGAATGACCAGTCATCAAAATCCACCAGACAAAGTACTGTGAGCAGATTTTGGAGCGATTTGGGTTCAGTGATGCACATCCGAGTCGAATTCCGATGGAGACCAAACTAAGACTCACCGTGAATGATACGGATACGGCGGCACGTAAGCAAGTGCCTCGCAACGGCAAAGTGTTCCCGTACCGTGAGCTCGTAGGCTCATTGATGTACTTGGCAACTTGCACACGGCCTGACTTGGCGTATGCAGTCGGCCAACTGAGTCGCTACGTGCAGAGCCCCACCCAGCAACACATTGGTGCAGCAAAACGACTACTGAGGTACCAAAAGCCAAGGAATCGTGTACTCGAAGGACGCAGCGACCAACGACAGTAGAACTCTCGTCCTTGAAGGATTTTGCGATTCGGATTGGGGCAACGACCCCGACACCAGAAAGAGTGTGACCGGTTACGTGCACTGCATGTCTGGAGGCGCCATTTCGTGGGCATCCCGACGTCAAACAATTGTGGCCCAGTCCACAGCAGAAGCTGAGTACGTTGCTGCGTGTGAAGCATGCATGGAGGGACAAGGTCTCCGCAACGTCCTCACCGAAGTCTTCCCAATGGTGAAGACGGAGTTTCGACTTGGAATAGACAACCAAGCGGCGTTCGTGATGGCCACGAACCCAACCTACAGTCGCAGGACGCGACACATTGAACTGCGCTGGCACTACGTGCGAGACCAAGAAGACGATGGAGTTGTGGAAGGTCAAGACCGACGTGAACCCATCCGATCTGATGACGAAGCCGCTGGTTAGCGAGCGGTTCGAGATGTTGAACGATATGATCGGTATGACCAAACAGCATCTTCCGAAGTAGCTAGCTGTCTTCGGAGGAGGGCGTGTTGGAGTCAGTCTTCAACAGCGATGTATACGTCTGTATAGCTAGTATACAAGTATACGTGAGAAGAGTAAGAGTGATGGTAGACAGTGCCGCATCGAGTGCACACTTGAGGCAGGCAGGCTTCAGTCTAAGATTTCCTGTCTAGTTAACAAGTTGTGTGTCTTTGCGTTAGACGCCGCCTTGTGTACTCTCTCCAACAAACGAATAGTTCTGTGGGTGCGGACAGGAAAGGTGGAGATGGGACGGAGGCAACGATGCAGCCGCCTGCACCAACTGTGGAGGTCTTAGTTCGACTTGATGAAGAGACCGATTGCAGCATGGATGCATCTAGCGCTTCCAGCTTGAACAAACAAAACTACCTGGATATGCTGCTGAAGCTGACACGGCTATCTGTGGTGGAGAGCAGCAAGCATATGCCTGTTGTACTCCCCGCTTTGGCGAAGTTGATGCCCGCGATTTCGTCTGCAAATGCAATCACTGTCATGAAGTACGTGGTTTTGTGGGCGTATTTAAGCTCTGGGCACGAGGGTGCTCTCAACGCACTCCGCAGCTTCCACGATGCTGTGTTGCCATCGTTTAACCGGCGTCCGGACCCGATGCTCGCGGCCTGAGAAGGTACAGTTTGTTGTTTTGTTTGGCATAACTTGAACATCATCTAACGTTGTACAATTTCAGGCTCAACGAAGCGTTGTCCGAGGTTGTTGAGCGCCAAGCCATGGGGCTACGTGACGATTCACAGGATTACAGCATCGTACGCCTCAGCTACGACTACTATATCTGGTTTGTTAGTGCTATGGCACCCAACCGAAGGAGAAAACATATCCCCCAGGCTTTCAGCGCGCTGAGAGAAGCGATGGCGGAAGAAATTGTTTCTGACAAGCAGCCATCCATGATTGCGAGACAGTTGAAGCTGGTAGTGCAGTGGGGTCGGCGTGTTCCCCGCGATTCGGAGTTTCTTCAACTGTTTGTCCGTCTCCTGGCAGACTCTAAAGCTTACGCCGACAACGTATCCAATCTTACGGTTAAAGTGGAGCTGCTACGGTAAGGTTGTACATATTTTAGTTAATGTAGTTGGGAACATGTCTAACTTTTCATGCTAACGCTAACAGTGAGATAAGAAAGATTGAATGTGACTTTTGTGAGCTGCCCAAGATGAAAGTGCAAGAGCAAGTGGCAGACGCTTTAAGCTGGGCTCGACACCTTAACACAAGAGAACCGTCGACAGAAACCCTTGATAAGGGCATTCTGATGCTAGACGAGGTGCTTCAACACCGCGAACCAGGCTGGCAACCGCGAGAAAATGAAGCCGTGCTTGAATGCTGCGACGCACAGAAGAAATACACAATGCTTCTGAACGAAGGGCAATCGCGAAGCCAGCGTTTGGCAGCGATAGGAAGATGGAAACTCCGCCGCCGTCATCTGCTAAGAAGCCATAGGGAATTCGAGCGAGTGACGGTATTTTAAATCTGTACATGTGTCATCTCCAGACCACTTTACCGGCGGACACAACCGAGGAGAGATCATAGTGCACACTTCATCAAGACACACAGTACAGATGTTGCTTTGATATATTTTGCTGTGGAATACCTTCGAAGTAGTTAGTTGTATTGACAGCGGCTCGAAGATCGGTTGATACACTTCGAAGCGCTTACATGCTTTAAGAATATATTATTGTTGATGTAGGGACCATTCCCCTCTCTGAACTCTTTCTACACAGTCAGTGTGGTAAACAGCAACGTCGCAAACAAAAACGAAATCTCGAGGAGAGTGAGGTCTATGTAGTGGTCGGTGCACAAATTCTTCGAGTGAGCGCTAGCACTAGCAGCACTGTCTGTACACCATGCGTCGGGTGGTCGGTGCACAAATTCTTCGAGTAAGCGCTAGCACTAGCAGCACTGTCTGTACACCATGCGTCGGGTGGTCGGTGCACAAATTCTTCGAGTAAGCGCTAGCACTAGCAGCACTGTCTGTACACCATGGGCCGGGCGGTTTAAAGTTACTCGTCGAACAGTCCTGCACTATAGCCATCACAAAACCTTGCTGAATAAAAATCAAAGCAGATTTACTACGTACATGAATATTCAAGCTACTTAGATATGGAATCGCCTGAATTTGAACAAAGTCACACACCTGGACTTCGGTGAAGGGAAAACATGAAAGCTAGTACGACATCTCACATAAAGAGTGGCAAGATGCAATCGAGAAAGCCGTTTTTTACGTTATGTAGCTGCCTGTCAGCATGTCCATGCTAGTGGTTGGTGTACCAACACTTCGAGCACGCACTAAAGAGCACCGCCTTCACTTCACTCGACAGATTGGACGCTTGTAACAAGTCGTCAAACTTAGTCACGTCCATGCCTATTTCAAAGTTCGTCAGAATCTTGTGTAAATGAGGCACGACCTTCTCAAAGAGAGATGCCAACACCCCACCATCTCTGATCTCAGCAAGAATTGGGCCCATGTCATCAGCCGACCGCGCCATCGACAGCCTGAAAAGGACAGCATTCGCCTTTAGCGAATCCCCCAGCCTCTCTCTTCGTCGTCTTCGTAAGAAGTAGCTTTGAGCATCCTCAAGGATCGACGGTCGTTTCCAATGCCCTTATTACCGTAGGCGGGATGCATAAAGTTCGGTGTGATCGGCTTGGAAAGTTTAGCAGTCCAGCGTCGCGACAAGAGCAGCGGCTGCCACGAAGATAACATGACTCAAACGCATGATCTTGAATCGATATAGTAGAGACGACGGGCTGGGTGCTTGAGGCTTCGGAAAGCAAATTGCGCAGTGAGCGGAAGAACCAATCGCGCTTTGCGGACAAGCAACTCGATCCCGTACCGTACATGTCTTCTCCTGGTTCTTGTAGATGACGGTTGTCGTACCAGTAATAACAAACATATCCGATATCCTATCCTCGCATGCTGGATGCGAGCATTGACAACCACATGGCACGACTTTCCTATCATCCCAGTTCGAGGTTGCTGTCTTCCTTATCGTCGCAGGTGCACCAGCAATTGCGCGTAGCGCTTCACAACCTTCATACAAAGCCCACAGCAACTAGTAGAAATCCATCGCTCAAGATGCCATGATGCCATGAATAGGGATCCCTATCAAGGAAGCTGCTGCTTTACTACTTACCACTTAGTACCGGAAGATTGGCTGACAATGTTTCAAATTCAATCTGTAACTCTGACTTCAACGTCGTGTACCCCAACTATAACCCTGGTTACACCATCTCGCTCCAGTCAATATTGACCATCGTCAATGATGGCGTCGGAGACTGCCGCGCTGTATGAGCGCATCCTGTCGCTGGTACCAAAGGACGAGCTGTCAGGCGGCTACAATGCCGTCCTACGTGACGAAATCTCATCCGTGAACCGCGCAATGAACGACGTTTCAGCTGCGTTTGCTAAGCTGGAGGAAGTTCGAGACGCAGTGGCCAAGTTGAGCAACGGAGAGGCCGGAAGCCGCAGCGAGAGCTTGGTACAAGCAATGGACAACACGACAGTGTTGCAGTGCAACTTGAAGCGGAAGCTGAAGTCGGTGCTAGCGGACATGGCTACAGTAAGTCGCCTTGAATACCCGTTGTATGACAAGGCAGAGGTGCTGAGGTATTTCTACCTGGGATTTGTTTCTTTACTTTTTGTACCCCTCTATCCATAACTTACAGGGTGGACATACAAGTACGAAGAGAATGAAGAAGGACGAGTCTGCGGGGGCTTGCTCAAATGACGGCGGGGAGAATGCAGCATCGATACAGCTGCCCCCCAAACCAACTGTGAAGGTTTTTCTCCAACTGGATGACGAGGCCGGCAGTGACTCGAACGATACTACGAATGCATCTTGGACATCCGCTTTGAACACGGAAAACTGCATAGATGAGGTGCTGAAGGTGGCCCGACTACCCGTGCTGGTGCGGAGCAGTTGCCTGCCTGCTGTACTGCCCGCATTGGTGAAAGTGATGCCCGAGATTGGCTTGTCAAATGCCATCATTGTCATGAAATACGTGGTATTGTGGGCTCATCTGATCTCCGGACAGGAGCGCGCCCTACAAGCGCTCCGCAACTTTTGTGGTGCTGTATTGGAGTGGATTAACCAGCTTGAGGAGAGCACCGACGTGCGCGGTCTAAGGAGGTAAGCGGTGTTATTTGATGTAGGATGGGATAGCACTTTTCTAACCCATTCGCACTTGCCGATACTGGTATGATTCTACTGTTTTCAGACTTGGCGAAACGTTGTCCAACGTTGTTGAGCACCAAATGCTGCAAGTGAGCGATGAAGCAAAGAGTTACGTGCTCCTCAGTTATGACCTTTACGTGTGGCACGTAACTGCTATGGTACCCACGGAAAGAAGGAAGCACGTCGCCCAGGCTTTCAATGCACTGAGCGAAGCCATGTCAGCACCCGTTGTTTCTCTGAAGCAGCCGATCGAGATAATCGGAGTGTTCAGGTCGATCGTGAAGTGGGCTCGAGATGATCCTCGCGACTCAGAGCTTCTCGAGCTGTATGACAGTCTCACTGCGGTTTCGAAATCTTACGCCGACAAGTTATCGAACCTTAGACGCAGAGTGGAGCTGTCACGGTAAGGGCTCTCGCAGCTAATCGTCGGTTTACCCTTCATTTTAATCTGTTGTCGCATCTAACTCCTTGACGCTATTACACAGTGAAATCCGAAAAATTGAAGCGGCTTTTAGCAAATTGTTCAAGACAACGGTGCAAGAGAGAGCAGCAGACGTGCTTAGCTCGTGTCGCCAGCTCAATAGGGAACGCCCCTCGTCGGGAGATGTCGATAAGGGCATTCTAATGCTGGACGAGGTGATTCAGCACCGGGAAGCAGGCTGGAATCCACGGCAAAGTAAAGCTGTGCTCGAATGCTCCAAAGTACTGACGAAATGTGCGATGCTGCTGGAAGTGCGGGGCCCGCGCATGGCGGAGATAGCAAGATGGGGCCTCAAAAAGAAACCTTCAGCAAACTAAGCAAGTATATTATGGCTACCAATAAGCTAAGGTACGCCCACTCAGTAGGATATCTATAATACCCCCTTGTACCCATTTGCCTTCGGCGTTATTCGTTTGGCCAAGTAGTAAACACATGTTTTTGTGTTTACATATTTCCACCACCACTCAAGTAAAATCCCCTTCCTCGGAGAATGGCCACATGGACGGATACGCTTAACGCGCGAGTCTTGGCGAACGTGTCAACCGATGAGCTCCGTCGCAGCTACAACATCGTGCTGCAGGAAGAGTTTTCCGGTGTTGCCCAAGCTTTAGACGGTGTGACGGCGGCTTTTATCAAACTGGAAGAAGTTCGCAATGCAGTCTCCAAGCTCAGCTCCTCGACTGTAGAGCACAGCGCGAGCCTTCAGGCGGAGCTGGATAGCGCAACGAAACTCCGGCAGCAGTTGAAGAAAATAGTCAAGAAAGTAGCGATGGACATGGCTGTGGTAGGATGGAATACTTTGCGATGTTCTTTTTTACTGATAAGTTACTGACATTGCTTGATCCTACTATGCAGGGAGGCGAGGCGGAGGGCTCAGGTTACTCGGCCACTAACCAGAAGCCTGGCGAGGAGCTGCTCAGCCACAATGTCAACAAACGAGAGAAACGTGCTAATGAATCATTGGAGACGAAAAGTACAGAAACGAAGAGAGCGAAGATGAATTACCAGACGGATGCCATTGAGAACACGAGCAATTCGCTACAGACGCCAGGCACGTCGCTGATACTTAACCCGAATGGGTCAAAGTTAGCACACCAAAACACGTCGAGCGAAAAAGTTGTGGACGCCAATGCAACGGACAACAAGAGCAACATGGAAACTGCAACCTCAGCGCTCAAGATCAACAAAGACAACTGCTTGAAAGTCATGGCAGAGGTCAAACAAGTGGGACGTGCTGGAGCGAAATAACTGTCTGCCTGGGATACTGCTCGAGCTGGAGAAAATCGTGAAGCAGCTCTCGAGCAGCCAATTGCAAGTTTCCGGTCCCAACATCCTGAAGTTTGTGATGGTGTGGGCCTTCAGATGCGAGGACCAAGAAAACCACCTCGAAGCTTTTCGACAGTTTGCCAACGCTATAAGGTCGCCGATCAACAACCTGCCGAACGACAGCAAGACTTTGGGCGTCAGAAGGTATGTGAGTTCCGTAAGATGGGCTGATGCTACAGTAGTACTAATTCACACACTATTTGTGATTTTGCTTTCTGTAGACTGCACTCCAGACTTCAAACTTTCCTGAAAGGCGTGGCCCAGGGAATTAGTGGTACTCACTCAAGGACAAATGAAGAAGCCGATACGAATCATGACATCCTGCTGTGGGAAGCAAACTTCTTGACTCCCACGAAAAGAGGCCCACTTATCCCTCCGATTATCCAGGCGCTGGAGACGGAAATGATGCGTCCGATTTTATCTTCCGAACGATTCCGAGACGTGTCGAAAGTTATGAACACGTTGACTTACTGGGCGGAGCGCGAACGCAGCAATCACCGACTATGCAAGTTGTTTCGGGGTCTTGTTCAAGGTGCGAAGCTCTATGCTGGCAAAGTGTCGAACTTCACCGTCAAGGCCAATTTACTGGGGTACGTGTTTTTAACTGCTATCCTTATGAGCGTAGACTTACCTATTTGCACTTGTGTAGCGATGCTCAGCGGATGGAGCTAGTACTCGGAAGGTTGGCCAGTTGGGCGATTAAAGAGCGCACGAAGCAAACGTTAGCTTTCGTGAACCAACTTCCAACCAGTCTCCTGCTGGAGGCCGTCGATATTGCCATCTTGATGACGGATGAAATCGTCCGCTTCGTGGAGCCCGGCTGGAAGCCCAGACGGGACCGTTCAGTGCTTGAATGCTACACGCGGCTGAAGAGTTTGGTTGGGTTGATCAATGGACCAACTCAGCACCAGCGCGAGGCAGTGCTCACCAGGTGGAAGATGGACAAGGTATAACCAAGGAGACTACGTCACTGGAGTAGTAAATTCTAGGAATGCATTACTGGGCACTTACTGAAATACTACGTACTTCCTTGTAAAACTTCTTGCACCTACACCATTTTACTCCATGATCACTCTGTGGAGATATTGAGCTCTTCTTGCTGACCGATCCTACACTGAGAGAAGCCTAATACTTTACTAAGTAAGACGTGTCCTCCCAGTGCAGCCTTTACTACGCCTTGCTGGTGTTACTACTGTAGTAGTAACTTACTACCAAATGCAAATGCAAATGAATATAATAAAGTGTGAAAAGTTTGCGTTGGAGTTCTTAATTCAGTGAAGCGAGTGTCTGCCGTTTTTCAAATCGATAACAATGTCAGAGGCGGCGAATATTAGCGCATGAGTTAATTTCTGAACCATACTGAAAGAGTGAGAGTTAAAAGAGTTAAAGAGTTAATAATGTCTATCCAACAAAGTGGTTGGTGAACCAATACTTCGCGTAGCTAGTTAAGAGCACCGTCTTCGCATCGTCCGACAGCTTGGACGCTTGTAGCAGCTCGTCAAACTTGGTCACTGACATGCCGACCTCAAACTTGGGCAGAATCTATTTCATGTGAGGCACAACTTTTTCGAAAAGAGCGGCTAGAACACCAGCATCTCGGATTTTCGCAATGATCGGGCCTATGTGTCGAACGATGACAGCGAAAGCTTCGCGAAAATCAGATTAGCCGTGAGAGTCTCCTTCCAGCCTCTCTCTTCTTCATCCTCGTACGTGCTGCCCTGGTGCGTCATTAGGGCTCGCCGGTCGTTTCTTCTGCTCTCTACGGCATTCATCGTCACTGGCTTGAAAAGCTGTCCGTCAGTAGCAGCCGAGGTGCCGCGCAGCGTCCCGACGAGAGCGGCTACGGCCACGAGCACAACACAACTCAAGCGCATGATCCTGAATCGAGGTCGGATGACTGGGATGAATGCTTGAGCCTTCGAATTGCAAATTGCCAACTGGTCATAGAGGCCAATCGAGTAATTTCGACCACGCCCTGTACGTACTTGTTGACGGTTGGATTGCCGACGGTAATTTGCCGTACGGTACGGTACACTCCGATCCGAGATGTTATCCTTGAACGCTGGGTCTATCATAGACCCAGCGTTCAAGGATAACATACAGACCGTCTATGCAAGGACGGCAACCAGTTCTCGTTAGGTGCCCTCTTGATGTCATCTAAAATTTCTTCTTAGGGGATTTCAATCGCAGCTTGTAGGTATACTGAAGGGCAGTCCTTGCTACTGTCAGGTGTCAACATTGGGTGTAGATAGCCGACTAAACAGCAACAAATTCAAATTCAAATACCGTCAGGTGTCACAAATCCACAGTAAACATCGATTAATCAAAGTACTGGTATTGTGCTTTGCAAACGTTTTGTCGTTTTGACTTGGAGCTCTCCTCGAGTAATAATAAATCATGATCGATTAAATAAAACAAGGTCAAAGAAAGGGACAGATCGATCTATTTAGGCCGGCTAATAACTCGACCTACGACAATCCAAATCAGGGCTCGAGGTCGATCTGCTGGTGGATTTGAGTAGAACGAGGTCGGTAAATCGATCGTTTTTGCGTTTTCAAAAGCGTAATTCGAGGTCGATCTAAGTATATCGAGATCGTCCATGCTACCCCCTCTGATTTGTGCCCTGATTTGTGGACCGGCCTACCTCGATCTAGGCCATAAAACGGGGCGACATTTTATCTGCAAAGCACAATAAGCGCTATCAAATAGCTGTTTGGCTTCCTAATGGAGATGCTAGTATATTACGTTTGCTTGGTGCAGTGGGTATCGTTGGATTCCTATCGAGAGGGAAGCCCGTGTCATGAGTCCTTACAGATCAAATCTTCTCCAACACCCTATGGTGTGACATACGTACACTGTTATATATTAATACCTGTAGTATGAATAGTATGTACATGTACACTGTAGTGTATCGTGTTTTAGCATCACCACTAGGACTAAAAGGGAGTACTGTACTTTGACTTGACTAACTGCTACTGGTATGAATAATCACCGACGACTCGCACCAAACGCGTGGAACTTCAGGTGAAACCAGCATAGCATAATGCGTCGATTGCTCACGAGCAAAAGTAGTATTTACGGTACAGTGTGTATGACTTTTTGCTGCACCAACCCTTGGTCCACGACTATAGAGTATTAGTGTACAGTACCGTTGTTGACGGTGTTGATGATTGTGTAAATGCATGATGATGCGGTCCGCGGGATGAAAGCTGGTGCCGGTAGAGAAGTAGGCTGCCGCAGTCGGCGCCATCGCTGGTCGCCGTCGACGTCTGGCAATATTTCACATTCTCTGAAATTGATTTCAGAGCTAACGGGTCTGATATTGCCATTTATAAATCTCTGGTAATTATACATTATAATTACAGTAATTAACTTTGCTGAATGGACGTATCGTTTTGCTAGTCGGCGACTTCGTTTATCTGAGAGAGAGAGAAGGCCCCAGGTAACTATTCCTAGTTAATCGGTTTCCCTTCCTGAGGTCGTGGTGAGGCGGCGGTTTGAGGGGATGCGGCTGCAGAGGTTAATCGGGAGCTCCATTAGGGGTGACTTAGGGGGTTCCAGGGGATGTAGTGATGGAGGTAGTCGGGTGTCGGAAATAGACTTATGTGGCTTTTGTATCGGAATCGAGACTCGAACCCTCAGTGGAACGCTTGATCTTCGTGGGCCTTACCCACAGGGACACTAGGAGTCCCCTACGACTTCGTTTATCTTACGAAGCCAAGTTATTATTCTTCCTTACCCCCTCAATAGTAATGGCGGATGCAGAATCACTTTAAAATACCATACATTATATATATATGAATGTCCTGATGCGCTTAACTATGGAACAGATATCGAGCCAGGACACACAGTATTATTAATATCTGTTGGAATCGGCAACCTAACCTCCGCTGGTAGTTGCAACTTGCATCTACGGGTCCACCACCGGGGAACACACACAAGTTGTGGAAAAAAAGCTGCCTCACTCAAAATGCCCCACTAGCCGACCCCTGGTCACAACGGAGTCCCCAGTCCTATTACTGTACAACCCCGATCGATCATAATTATTGTGCCTTTCCGAAACTTTGGCCAATCTGACCTCAAAAAGGTAGTCTTAAGAGGGAGAGGGTAGGGCTAGACCTAGGATTTGCTGTTGGCCTGGCATCGGATTACGGAAGTCCTACGTAGGAGCTCTGTCTTCATCTAAAGGTACCTTTTTGGAAATAAGGACCGAATGGCCATGTTAAGCTGGCCATTTGAGCCTTCGTAGGACTAACGAGTCCTTCGTAGGACCAGATCAGGCCAGTGTGCCTGAAAGCATCTGTGACAAATGCATAGTTTGGCCGCATTCGTACAGGCGGAGACTCAGGCAGCACCGCAACCAGGTCACCGTGCTCAGCGTGGAGCTACGTACGTGCGCTACAGGTATAGCGGTACTGAACGCACTCACTTGTCGGCCTACCTTTGCAAGCCATTCGCTCAGCTTACATTCCGTTTTGGCTTATGCATGGTTTTACTGGCCCTAGTACTAACTTTTATGAGGTCTTACGTAGGAGCAAAAATCCTACGTAGGACCTCAAATCGGAGGGCGTTTTGCCAGAAAGGCATAATATATCTTATTTTCTTATGTTCGCTAATTTCGCATGTTAATTCCGGGTCGCAGCGGGGCTATAAATGCAATCTTCGCAGACTTTTACGCCAGCCGCGTAAATAATTCGGGGTACAAAATGGTTCCCTGTAACCATGGCTACATTATGTACCAGGGTACGGTTTCCGTGCCAATCATCATGGCGACGTCCACTGCCGAGCTGGCCGCGCTGTATGAGCGCATCTTGGCGCTGATACCCGTGGAGAAGCTCGAGGCAGGCGTGCTGCACGATGAAGTCTCGGCACTCAGCAGCTCAGTAAACGACGTCACACTGGCTTTTGCGAAGCTTACGGAGGTGCGCGATGCTGTGAACAAGTTGGAGTTGAGCAACGGAGCACGGGTTAGCCGCAGTGAGAGTCTGCTAGAAGCGATGGACAGCGCAATGAAGTTACAGCAAGAACTGAAGAAAAAACTGGAAAGAGTTGTATCTGAGATGTCAAAGGTTGGTACCGTACAGCGGTGTGAAGTGGTCAAGTGTTAACACTAACGTGGTTGTCGATGTCGATGATGTAACCAGGCGACTAAGAAGAGGAACCGAGGAGGAGACAAAGCTGTCGTCAAGCGGAAGATGACTGGTCATAAAGCAGCACATAATACTGCTGGAGAACCGACTGCAGCGTCTGAGGAGGAAGCTGTGAAGATAGCTGGCGTGAAAGCGGAGAAGATCAAGGCCGACGAGTTGCAGAAGGATGCCGGCTCTTCTTGGGTGTCCGAGATGACCCCGACGAACTGCTTGGAAGTGTTGCGGATGATGACGCAGTTGTCAGTGGTGGAGAGAAGCAAACATGTCCCTGGAGTGTTGGCCAAGTTGGAGACAATGATTTCTAGTCAGAACGAAATGGGTCGTGTCTCCATATTGAAATACGTGATTCTGTGGGCAAACTTCAGTGCTGGCCAGGGCGGTAACCTGGCGGCGTTTAGGCACTTCAACGACGCGATGGTGGAATGATGGAGCGCCTTCCCCCGTCTGACGGGTTGATCGGCATGATTAGGTAAGTGCCTCCAAAATTGAGGGGGATTCTAGTATCACAACTTACATTACTTTCTATTTTGCCATGTCAGGCTCAACAACTCATTGTCCGCATTGCTGAGAGACCGGAACAAAGCAACCCCATCCCACAAGGACGTACAACTGAGCTATGACCTGTTGGTGTGGAGAGTGGACTCGATGGCACCCCAAGAAAGACGCAAGCATATCCATGAGGTCGTGAGAGTTTTGAGCGACGAGATGGCTCAGAACGAGAAGACCGTGCAGTTTCGTGAGCTAGCGAAAGCTGTGAGGACAGTGGGGCAATGGGCTCGAGGCGATCCTCGTGATCCGTCGCTGCACAAGTTATATGGCGAGTTGGCTGAACGTGTAAGGGGCTACGCGGACAACATTTCGAGTTTCATTGGGAAAGTCGAGCTGTACCGGTACGTTCTTCTGCGAACTTGCTCGTCTGCTAGGTGAGTTTAACTGACATATTCCTGGTGTATGTACAGTGAAGCAAGAAAACTGGAGGCTTTTACAAACAAATCGCCCCGTGAAGACGTTCAAGTAAAACTCGAAAAAGTACTTCGGATGGTGCAGCAACTGAAACCAGGATCAGCTGCTGAAGTTGACGACTGCATTCTGGCACTGGATGCTGTGATCCGCCACCAGGAAAAGGGGTGGAATCCTTGAACGAATCGCATTGTCCTACAGTGCTACCAACTACTCGAGCAAAGCGTCAAAGGCTTGAAAACGGTACCTCGTAATCCGGGCAACACCGTGATGAAGAAATGGAGAATTCAAAAGTCGTGATGATGTATTGCAAAGAAGCAAAGGCAACAAGTCGACTCTAAGGGATGCTAAGTACCTCGTGTACTTCGAAGGAGTACAGATAATACTCAAAAGCAACATTTCTAAGAGCGTGTCCAACATACATACTCAAGTTATTATGAAGGTCGCCAAACATTGCTTTACCATACGATACGTCTATATGTTTACATGTAGTTGCTGGGTTGACTCCGCTTTTACTGATATATCTCTATTGTTCAGTAAACTACACCTCTCTAATTTCGCCGAAGTAGACATAGGGCTTCCTCGTTGAACTGAACCCGCCAGTTCCATAAAGTCTCATCCACCTTTAAGCATTTCTGCACCTCATCAGCTTTATGATGTCTTTCACATGAACTCAAGCATTATTGGCTGCTGCCATTATCGCGTTCCAAGCAGCTTGGCTCCCACCCATCGCCTCTTTTTCATCTTCAAAATCGGACTCAGACTCTGAGCCAGACGTGGAGCTGGTGTCTGAGTCGGATGTCACGAGGTGTGGCACATCAGCAGTCTTTGTCATCAAATCAGTTGACTGCTCCCTTTCTTCAGTCGGACCTGACGTCTTGGAATCCTCGACGAGGATAGAGCTTGGACTTGGCGGCTTCAGCAATGCCTCTGACATTCCAATCAGTAACCTAGCGTCAACCAAAGGCATCACATTCCAGGAGTTAGAGAGGCACAAAATCTTTTAGCTCGTTGACAAGGTGGGCGCCTACCTGTCCAGTTGGGCGGTCTTTGTTTCGCTCTGCAGACGCGTCGAATACGCACTTAAGGTCTTGAATAATGATCCATACAGCCGGAAGAGCTCCAGCCCACGAGGATCTCGGTGAATCCATCCTAGCACCTTTTCCACTGCCTCCGTTACCGCTAGCAAGTATCGGCCCTCGCTGTCGCCTGATATCGACGTTTTGAAGGCGGCCACCACGTCCACGATACGCTGGGATCCGGCGACATTCGGCGAGGTGGCCAACTCAGCCACAAGCCTAGAAAAATGTGGCTGATGGCTGTGAGTTACTTGGTCGGCATCTGGTCCTCTAGATGGTACAGAACCAGAGGGAGACTTAATTACACTTGGAAGCTCCGATGTGCCGGCCAAGCGGGGAGGACGCTGGTCGATGGAAGATAAATAACGCGAGCTAGAATGACAAATAGCACTGGAAAAATTGTCGGCAACCCTGCAAAATCATAACCATACACCAAACTCTTAGAGTTTTTTCGCATGGACTTCTCCCCCAGGCACATTTGTTCATCTACTTACCTCTGGAGTGGCTTAGTTTGTTGATGCTGCCTCGCGTAGGATATCAGTGCATCGGCACACCGACGGTAAGTACTCAAATGGATTTTGAAGGATAATCCCTCTGTGATCCACTCCACGACTTGACCAATTGATTCGACAATTTGCCACTTCTGCTGACCAGAATAGTCGTCATCCTCCATTGCTCTGATCAGCGCAACTAGAAGGGATGGCATGGATGAAGGCCTGTGCGCCAAAGGCTCTCGCTTCACCATATCAACAAGACGTCTGTAGTAGCTTGGAGGTTTGCCTCTTTGGCGTTGAGATGTTGGCAATAGCATATTACAGGGGCGTGGAACAGATTCACGATCGGCACCAGCCTGGGATACCGAAGGACTTTGATCTGCAGGGTCTTCTTCACGGCCATCGAGTCTCCGCGGGATTGGCTCAGAAGTGCCATCAGAATCGCTGACGTCTTCTTCATCAGAAGATGATTTGTCCAAGCCTTGTATTACACGAGAAAGCTTGTCAGTCAACCTATTCAGTACATGACAACCAACAACGAGACAAAGGTGAGTAAAGTGTGCCAAAAGCGCGCATAGATCCAACATTGGGCTGATTCTGCAGCACATACCCCTTCAGTCTGGCCTTCGACTTTGTATTCTGGGCTCCGCGTTCATAGACACCCATTCCTTTAAGAAACCTCTTGTGCGCGTCGAGGAGACCCCGCTGATCAGTGGGATCCCTAGGCCATTTAACAACCAATTTCAAGATATTCACGGCATGTTCCTCTCGTAATCCGTCCGTCCCACGAGTTTCCAACATCTCACTCAGCTCGAGAAGGACTCCTCGTATACGAGTAAGCCTTCCCACAACTGGCATTTCGTCCGCTTCAATGGCCATTTTCAAGTACTGTTCGCTCGTTTTCCCCTCATTAGTGGTCACTTCACCTGCGACTGGCGACGGCCTTGCAGATTGAGGTGGTGCCGACAGATTTAATACACGTGTTGCACCAGACTGATCCAGTTGCGCTGTCAAAGTCCTGCGATTCGTGAACAGGCCGCCTGAAGAGCTCCCAGTGCACTCATCCTCCGACAGTTCCTTCCGTCGCAGGCCACTCGCTTTGTCCAACTTGTCAGCAGTTTTCCCAGTTTCCAAACCATTGTCTTCGTCTTCCGACGCAGACCTCGACTCGGCTTCCGACTCCGAGTCATCGCTGGAGTCTGAATTCGAGCCACTATTTATCTGTGCAATCACTTGTCTGTCCTCACGTGGCCGTCTTCTCTCCCTTCGAGTCTTCTGTTCCATCTACAGTTCCAAGACGAGCATTATTCTCCAATCGGCCCACCTTCTATTTTTTTTACTGTACGAATTCTGACTCACCGACACTCGCAGCACTTGATCCAACTTATCTTCCAGCTCCAGTTGCAGCTTCAACGTGCCGCTCAGAGCTGCCAAAAGACTGGAGCTGTGATCGTGTGCGTCATTCTGCAGTCTGTTGGCGGCATCGCGCACCTCCCTCAGCTTGGCGAAGGATGAAGCCACGTCGTTAACTGCGGCGTCTATAGAGGAGAATCCTTCCTGTATCACGCTATTGCAGCTCGACTGGAGCGCGTCCACAGGGATCAGACGCACGATGCGCTCGTACTGCCCGTCAAGCTCCATCCGATGTGATGACCAATAGCAAATGGGAAAGTGACCCATTTATGGGATAGTAATTTGGGTGCATTCCCAAAAGGTGCATAAAAGATATATTAGGGTGGTGCACATCACAGATATAAAACCGCTTCGCTGCTTCGACTTGTTATTAACACAGATTAGTTACTGGAAGGTCACTTCAAATTATGCTGGTTTCATCAAAATTAAATCCGCAAGTGGCCCAAGCCACCCCATACTTTGATGGTGCCCTCGGAAGCATCTAAAACATGCACTGGTACGTTTTCACGCTGTGGTTGCTGCTAGGTCAGGCGTCATTAGCACTCCTATCTTCCTACCCATGAGACCACCCCTTAGCTGTTCGTTTTCGATACTCAAGCTCAGTTGTTTGAAGGGTCGAGCATGCGCTATTTTTAGAATCGACTCGATAGCAGCATTATCAGTGAAGTGGTTGCACATCATAGCATGCTCTGCTTTTAATAATGCTCTTCCTGCTAAGTGCAATTGCGTATCATTTAGAGCACACGCAGCGCTTTCCAACGATGTTTTATCCCCATCTGGAAGGACCTAACGGATTTAAAGACTTTTGACCTAGCATAGCAAAAGGCGGCTTTTCGTGACCTTCCAGTAAATAATCTGTGTTAATAATTAAGAGCACTATTCTTCCATTCGCCTCAAGATAATGGACGCTATCCTCTCACAGTTTAGCGCCGACGAGCTGTCTGTCCGCTGTGCAGTACAAGCTCCAGCATGCGCAGACGCAGCTCCAACCTGCTCTGAAAGCCTTCCACGTGGCGCTGAGCGTGGCGCGAGCCTCCAAAAAGACGTACAGAGCTCCGTTGAGCTTCGCGGATGCGTCTGCCCCTGTGGCCGATTCAATGCATCAACTGGAAGCAACCTATCAGCAACTAGGACGGGTGCTTGAGGAACTCAAACGAGAGATCAACCAAGAGGGGGGTAGCTCAGCGCAAGATGGAGGAGAGGCCGCGACCCGTCAAGTGAAACAGGAACGGACCCAGCCGACCAGAGTTAAAACTGAGAATGCAAATGAAGAGCGCAGTGGTGTTGGCCACACGCCCTCTACAGAGCAAACGGGACCGTCGACCTTGACGGATGAAGACGTGAGCACACTGGAAGCGGAAAACTGCCTGCCTCCACGAAGTGAGGAAGCGAAAGGCGGTGACATCGGAAACGAGAGGGACCAAACGGCGAGTAAAGGATGTCGTTATCCGCTTGAGAAAGCGAGCAGAAGCGACGACGAGCGACGCTCTTGGGAGTCTGTGCGGTTGGCACTGAGTGCAGCCATCAAGCTGGAGGAGAACGAAAACGCTGGAGATGGTGACTTGCGGTCATTTCTGACTGCCGTTGCTGAGGCGGGAAGGGCCCTCATTGACATCAAAACACGGGAACCTGCTCGAGCAGAGCGCCATTTGGAGGACATGGAATTGATGATGAGTGTTGTGGCGGGGAATCTGGATGGGCGCTGGGGTGTTGGTGAAGTGAATTCGGCATGGACAGCGCTTAAAGTAGTCAAGCAGGTTCACGAACTCTACCCGAAGAAAACGAAGAACCTGCTTCGGTACGTGCTGCGGTTTATTGCTATTATAGTAAAACATTCCAACCAAAGTAAGTGTGTTACGACAGGATCTGCCACCAAGTCCGTCAGTTTATTGTGAAGAAGTGCATGGTGCCTGATGCAGTGGTGGCCGACTTGAAAGTCCAACCGCTTCGGACACTAGACAGTGACCGTGGGGGGAATTTCTTCACTGGGATTTCTGTTAAACACTTTGATTCGTTGATGATTCTCGTAAACGAGCTTCTCGATGGGCGATATGAAAACTGGAATCCGTACAACGACGCAATAATTGGCAGAGTATTGACGAGGATTCGATGCCTCGCTTCATTTCAAAAAGGAGATGCGTGGAATGGTCGCTACGAAGCTGTTTGCAAGGCCTGCAGTAAGATGTCTGCCTCCACTTTCGAGTGGACAGTTGATCTGATGTCAACACTACCCAGTACGGCCGCAATATCTGCTGTCGGCGAAGAAGGTTTCAAAGATCAGCAACGTGTACAGCAGGATTTCGAGTACGTTACCAGTTATGAAGAGGAAAGTCGTGGTTTGACTGACACTGCGGAAAAGCTCGGCGCTTTCGAAGAACTTGTGGACCGAATGGAATGGTTTTTCACTGCGGTCTGACAAAAAAACAGTCGCTCGTCCCAGTGAATCGACTGGTACGACTAAATCAATGTATCGGTACACTCGTTGAGCTTTGTGACCACGGCGCTGCGCTGAACTTAGAAGGATGCATCTACCTGGAAAAGCTATTCTTCAGCATTCGTCGTATGATGTACTTTCGAAGAGACTATGCAGAAGTGTCGAAAAGGTAAATGGTGTCGCAGCATTATTCATTCCAGATCAGTACTAATTGACGTTGTTTTCGACGTAGTGCACCAACTATGCTGATAAGCCTGTTTCCCGAAGCTATCCGCCCCGAATTTGTTTACCCATACGGACTATTCCGAAGCAGCCGCTAAGAGGACATCACTGGTATTCTCTTCAGGTTTCTTCGCGCCTGAAGCAGACACGATAGTTCAAAGATGGTTTTATCATTGTTTGTACTGGAGAATGGTACAGCTTTCTTGTTTTTTAATTTTTCCCTTGAGTTTCAATCTTTATTCCCGGAAAGAAAGAAGCCTCGCAGCATGCAGACATACTATAGTAGTATTATTTTAGACACTAGTAACGAGTTCCCATTGCCGGCGGGGTTTGCAACGAAGTGCATTCTCACAGTTAATCGGCAAGACTCAATGGTTGCTAAAGCAGCACAACTCTTTCGCAAAGCATCAGAGGACTGGTGCAAGGACACGATAAGTAGGTATACATTGCTCTGCTAATAGTTTGAGGATGAGTTGCGCAAGGAACAAAACTGTACTTACACGACAAGCTGGGCTAAAATAATCGCTGTAGAGCGTTGCGCTCTATGAAACCTATTTACCGCTGAGGCTAAATGCAGTGAAAAGCTTTCTGGGCCCCAACCTTTATATAAGTCTTGTCATTTGTGGTTCTGGTCTCCTGTTTTGGAACGTCTTGCATGTCTGATTGGTGACTTACTCTTCAATCTGCCGGTTCGAGGCTCGCACGTCCGAGACAAATGGCCGGCGAAGGCTTCATCGACTTCTCGCCGAAGCTGCGGCTGAGCTTGCAGTTTCCTTCACCGAGTTTTTCTCCACGATCTCGTAGACGAAAATGTTCGTGAATCGGACGCGAGTCAGCTTCATCACGATGAGCGGCAAGAGCCCCGCCAAACCAGGGCTCACACTCAGCAGTCCATTCGTCGCGTCCGCCACTGCAAAGTCCACAATATTCTTTGTCAGGCCAGGGAACAGCTTGGCCAGCTCAACGCTATACCACAACCGAGCTCGAAGGTTGCGAACACGAGCAACGGGTCCACACGTTCGCGCGCGAGATAGCTGAGAACACTCGCTACGTTCAGGAATATTGCTAACAAGTCTGCGTGGACGAGCTCCGGTCGGTAATAGATGGCGTGCAGTCCTGTGACCGAGTCTCCAACGGAGATACACATCTTGGTGATCGTCCAGTAGCCGTTCATGTGGTTGCAGACCATAACCAGCAAGCCGCGGTACAAGAGCATGTTGGAGATCGTGGAGAATGCGTCTCCAACCCAGAAGTGGCCCATGCGCATGCGCCGATACATCACGAAGGCCAGCACGCTTAGGTTGAAGATGACGCTGAGCGCAAAAATGCCGTGGATAGCGTGCGTCCAGGCCCACGAGTCGTGTAGTACAGCTCGACTGTGCCATATCCAAGTGCCCAATTCCGCCGCTGGGCTGCTCGGCAACTCCAAATGCGCGATCTCGATGTTCGACCGCGCAGTGGGGTCACTAATATAGCGGCCAAATCTCCGTGTCATGCGTCCTGGTTAATTGGATTCGGCAGTGTTCGTAGTTGCCAGTAGTTGTCGCCGTCGACGTTGATCAGCTCTGAATACGCGAACACTGGCTCAGCCACGTACGGGTAGTTATACGCGACCGCGATGTCGTGGCTCACTGTAGTGGCTTGCATGTCATTGATGGCCGCGACCGACACTACCATGCCAGGTCCCTTTTGAAACTGCTTCTCCACTTCATAGTCTTGAACTGAGAGCGAAGTGGACAGCAGAAGCACGTCCGAGTGATTGCTCTTTCGACGCGTGAGGTAGTACAGTCCGATCACCTGCAGTGAGCAACGTAAACGTGCAGTCGACCACAGGAGCTACGAGCCCGAGCTCTGCCATGTACGAGAGGTTGTATGTCGCGTGCATCTGAAGCCTCGAAAAGATGAAGCGCAGGAACTCGTTACTGTAGATTTCCACGTTGAACCTCGGAACATTCAGGCACTCAGTGAAGGAGTGGGTTGCCTCTGTCAGCAAGAATAGGAGTCGTTGCGGGGCGAAGTCGACCCTTGAAGCACTTGCTGGACGAGAGGACTCTGCTGGATTGTCGTGGTGCCGGCGTAGCCATTGATCAGACTTGACGTGTGGGTGTCGACGGGCAAGTTGTGCGACACGGAGCCGTGGAGTATGATCATCGCAGTCGAAAAGGAATTGAGCGAGATCTCGACGTACAGGATCGAAACAGCGACTACTGCCAGTTGGTGCGCGAGTCGACTGAAGCGCGAAAACGGTGAGCCCTCAGGTGGACGGAGAGTTCTGCCCACCGAACTCAAAGCTTTCTGCGAGAGTCGACCATCTCGTGGGGTGACTTGCGGCATCTTGACGTCACCACCCTAGCTTAGCTAGCTAAACTAATAAAAATACTAGGGATAAGGAGTTTTTTTATCTTAGAATGTATTTTTTGGAGAGTATAGTACCGTACCTCACAGAAAGGTTACTGTGGGTGTAGCGCGTTTGGTACTCTCGTTACCATTTACTGCAGTAAAAAGGCAAATATGCATTCTGTATGTTAAGATGTATTAATACTACGTAGTAGCTCGGTAATTTCAAAAGCTGGAAAATGATCTACTCAAGGCTCAGCAGTCTGATTCAATAGGACCCTCGTTGGCTTGCGGTTGACCCATGTGCTCTTGGAAAAGCTCGTTATTAAGGCTGTGAGCCTGTCCGAGGCATTACGTTATATTCCACACCCAGGCCTGTTGCTCTAATATTCGGTAGGCGAAGCTCAAACGCTTTAAATTTAACCACCGATTTGGAAATGCTTTCTTTATGTTAAGAAAAAGCAATGAAACGAAACCAAATGCTCGAAAATCTTGTTTTGGCATTGTATCTGTTAACCATTCTTTCTGTGAGGTACGGCAACCGGAACTCGTTACATTTGGTTTTAGTATGTTACTTTAAGTATGGGTTTTAGAGGTACTGTTATTGTGCTTTGCAAATGTTTTGTCGTTTTGACTCGAGTAATAATAAATCATGATCGATTTAATAAAACGAGGTCAAAGAAAGGGACAGATCGATCTATTTAGCCCGGCTAATAACTCGAGCTACGACAATCCAAATCAGGGCTCGAGGTCGATCTCCTGGTGGATCTGGGCAGAACGAGGTCGATCTACGATCCCTTTTGCGTTTTCAAAAGCGCAATTCGAGGTCGATCTACGGTAAATCGATCCCTTTTGCGTTTTCAAAAGCGCAATTCGAGGTCGATCTAAGTAAATCGAGCTACCGCCTCTGTTTTGTACCCTGATTTGTGGACCGGCCTTCCTCGATCTAGGCCATAAAACGGGGCGACATTTTATCTGCAAAGCACAATACATTTGGTCTCAAATGTGCGAAGAAAAAGGTTAACCCAGGTCCAATTCTCACTAGTTTTTGGTGGATACAGCACCCAAATCCTAGCCACGAAATCGTCCTTCTTCACGATGGAGGAGTTGTACGAACGCGTCCTGGCTCACCTGCCGACGCCGCAGCTGCACAAGAGCTACAATGACGTATTACGCGATGAATTATCGTCTGTCTCCCAGGCGTTGGACGACGTCTTGGCAGCCTTCGCGAAGCTGGAGGAGGTGCGCGATGCCGTCTCAAAGCTGCAGAAGCAGAGCCACGACCCGCCAACTGGCGGTCGCAGGGACAGCTCGCGGACATCAGCAGACAATGCGATGGAGCTGCAGCAACAATTGCAGCGTCAAGTGGAGAACCCCGCAGCTGGGATGAAGGTGGCAAAGCTGAAGCGGAAGCGGGTGCATGAAGAGGCACCAACAGCACCGGGAGGTGTCCATCCAGTGGGTTTTAGTGGTGGCGAGAAGGCGCCTAGCAATGGTACTATCAACAAGGTGGAGAGGATGGAAACTGCTGTTGATTCAGACTCGGAGAACTCGGAGGAAGCAATGGGTAATACACGTAGGGCGCAGAAGTCCAAGAGGAGGAAGAGTGTCGTGGTGGAACGAAAAGTGGCAGCAGCGTTTGACTCCGCGTCGAGTTCATCGTCCGAGCCAGAGAGTGGTGAGGATTCTGACGAGGTGGAAGGCAGTGAAGCCGCTTGGAAGGCTCTGATGAGCAAGGGGGCGCTTTGTGCGCCATCGACCGAAGTGAAGGGGGGTCCGGACGGCGTCAAGAAATCTGAAACGGGCAATAGCGCCATTACGCAACTGTTGAAGAAATCGGCCACCTACTGGAAAACAATTGTGGAAGAGGTGGGCAAATTATCTCCGATGTCTCGGTCGTTCATTATTCCAGAGGTGCTGGCTGCGTTGAAGGAGTCGGTGGAAGCGGATGTGGATGGTTCGCAGCAGTCGGAAGTGGCTTGTACTTTGAAGATTTTGCTGGGTTGGGGGACTCACAAAAGAGAATACGACGCAGAGTGTGCTGGGATGTATCGTGAGTACGCTGATGCGGTGGAGGCGTACGCGGATCGGCTTCCTAGTTCTGCACAAAAGGACGAGCTCAAGAGGTGAGTTACACTGTGACCTTTGTTGTAGTATCCCCGACGCTATGCATTAACTTGAGGCTGCATTTCACCGGTCTAGGCTTAATGGGGCGCTATCTACTACGATCAAGCGTCTTGATGGAGTCGTAATGAGCAACACTGCCAAGGCGACCCGTGAGGGCTCCATACGAGAGGCCAAACGGACAGATGCAGTATCGAATGTGATTGGACGCCCAATTAATGGTGAAACGCGAATCGGGCGGCTGCTACGTTTGCTTGTTGCATTCAAAAGGGAATCTGCTGATCCAAATGATACGTTCGGAAATCGAATGATCAAGGTGGTCGGCACAATGTCTCGATGGCTAAGTGAGGACCTACACAAGCCCCTCTTTCTAGCTTTATATCGCGTGGTCGTGAACACATTGCTGAAATTTTCAATTCGCATACCTAAAGTATCAAAGAGAGATCGCGTTGTAGGGTACGTACACTATCTCTACGCAATGCTTGCTCTACTACGTAGAAGTCGATTAACTAGGCCCATTTACTCCCACCTGTAGACTATTGGAGAACATGTTTGATGCGATTTCAGGCTCACCCAACTCCAAGGAACGCCTGGCTAAGATTCATAACCGTGTCACACAACTTTTTGAGGAAGTGAAGCAATACCAGGGGAAGCCCATATTGGGCCTGGAGAGTAAGAAACTGATGGACGCTATTGGTATCTTGAGGAACGATGTTACTACCCATATCGGGATGCAACAATGCGCAGCTGTGTCAAGATATTCAAAGATACCCTACAAGCTCAAAACACGACCGACATCAAGACATCGATGACCTTTAAGGCGCGTTTAGAGACAATTGCGAAATGGCAGACCAATTATCGGTAGAATAAGAAGGCAAGGTGCCGCCAGAGATAGGTTTGGATCTGAAGTACATGTCTGTGCAAACCGCAACAGCGAGAAGATTTTTCGAGTCCAGAATATATTTCAACGCGTCCAAGGCTAGCGTCAACTTGTTCTCTGGTACTTCGCCGCAGAGCAAGTGACCGATCACATAGTCTGGGATGTTGGCAGCTCCGATCTGAATGTCCTGGAAATACTGTAGAAGCTCAAGAAACGACCGACAAAGATGCAGAGATCAGCTTTAAAGCGCCCTTACGGACATTTGTCAAATGACAAGCGATTGATCAGATAGAGTAACCATTGCACAGCTCAACATTTTTTTGCGGGCTGAAACTGGTGATCGCGCTAAAGTCGAAGGAGAAGGAGGTGCCCAAGCAGACGAAAGAAGACATGGGGGCTAGGATCGAGTCTGCCTAAATATATATTAGCTGGTGCAGTTTTTTTAAATCGCCAACTTGTTTGCTTTTATTATTCGTTCTTTTTTAATACTTTTTTGTCCTACGGCCTTTGAAACCCTGCTTGGGTGTGGCAATCATTGGTAGTCGGCGGTGGCGACAGCAGTGGAGAATGGTCCAATTCAAGAGGGAGTCTAGCTTGAATCGCCGAACAAAGACTGCGACCCAGTGTGCGGGACGGTGTGACGTACACCAACGAGTGCAACCTCGGACTTGCGGCCTGCAACAACCCCAACAAGAATATCACGATGGTGTCCGGAGGAGAGTGTGCTGCGCCTTCGTCCAAGATCCCCGTCGGCAAGAGCGACAGTGGATCTAAGTCGCTGTGTACGGGCGCGTGACTGGTGAGAACGGCGTTATACATTCGAAGTACCGGAGTGTTAGCAGCGACAGCTACACGCACTTCGAGAGTTTTGTTGCCTTTTAGACGGGTAACGAGCAACGTTGCCACCCTGGGTAGGTGCACTAAAGGTGTCAATTCATAAGTACAGATTATCTGGGGTCCCCAGCATGTGTCTTTTTAGTGGTATCTTTTTGCCCTGTCCGTGATCTACTTTCCAAAACGCTAAAAGCGGAGTATCAAGTGATACAGTGCTGATCTACACGAACAAAGCCCGAAGAAGCTCTGAGATAGTAGGGGATGTGCGGCTTCCGAATTTAGAAATATTATAAGTGTAGCAATCTTCTTAACACTGTTATAACTTTGTTAAAAGTTGCTGTAATGATCTGCACATGCAAGCGCAGAGCAATACGACAACATCCGATGTGTCCGCGCACAGAGAGCAGGAGTTGCCGTCCGCATACTTACCGGTTGCGCAAGCGCTTGCTCCGGCCAACCACTGCATGTTTAGGACTGCGCGCCACGAGGGCGCCCTCCGATAGATGGATACCAACAAACAGATAAAACAACAATTCAGTTTCCATTTTACCCGCAATCCCACAAGTACAAGCCAGCACCTTACACTTGGTAGCACTGGCGCCTCCAGCGAGCGCTTCCTTCCAGTTCCAGTTCCAGTCTCCGTTCGAGTTCCAGTTCCAGATCCAGTCCAGTCCTGCCACGCGTCGCTAGTGTGCACGCCGTCCAGCCTAGTCCATCCCGCGTTGCCGTTGCGCACGCCGTCTTCCTCGCCTACGTTCTTCGGTGCGCCGCGCCTGTACCTCTCGCCGTTCAGCTTCTCCGGGTGCGCCGCGTGCGTTGCCTCGTCCGCAGCTTCGTTCCGCTCGTCGCCGACGCGACCTCCATTTTTGCCGGGCTCGCTCCTTTTCTTTCTGGGGGAGGAGTGGCGACGCGCATTGTCACACGTCACTTCGTGTCGACATCTCATTGGTGCATTTAGCCCAATCACTCCCGCGTGTCCATACGCGGCACCCACCTCGACCTTCCGCTTGTCGCCTCGGCTGTCACTTGCAAACAGTGCGCAGCCGAGTGTAACACCCGCGTCGGTGGCCGTTACGAGTCTAGTAGTAGGAGTCTTTGTGCTCCGAGGCGGGCTCGAGCTAGCGCCGGACGGAATTGCACCAGTTGCTTCCTTCGGGACGCTGGAGCAAGTGGTTGGTACTTGTCGGAAACAGAGCTCCAGGACGAGCTTCTGTGACTTCGTTGGGGCTTACAGACATTGTCGGAAGCAGCGCTCCTGGGAGTGCCTGCGACTTCAAACTTTGATTGATTTGGCTGAGGAGCTTGCGCGCCCAAGCCATCCATTGACGACGTGTCTAGCGTAGGCGCAAACATGGATGAAGCAGCGATGCAGCACGCGGACAGTGTGCAGCAGATGTTCGTCTCGCTCGCGGCGATGATGCGCGAGCAGCAGGAGTTCATGGCACAGACAGCCGAGCTGCAGCGCCAGATGGCGGCGACACTGCAACAGCAACAGCAGCAGCAATCCACCTCGCAGCAGCAGCAACCGTCGGTGGCCGACTCTTCGTCGCCAGACACGTGCGAGTACCGGGCCGAGGGCATCACCATGCCGAAGTTCTCCGGCACCAAGGACGACGACGTCGCGGACTACCTCTTCAGCGCCAAGCTCTACTTTGAGTCGAAGAACATCAAGTACGGCGCCGACTCGCCGCAGCAGCGCCCCTTGTCGCTCTTGGTGACAAACTTGAAGGGACCAGCAGCGGCTTGGTACCGCGAGTACGTCTCCCACGACGGGAACTTCCTGCACTCGGTCACGCAGTTCGAGGAGCTGCTGACCAGCGAGTTCACGACACCCGATCGGCAAGAGCACCTGCGTGACCAGCTCCTACGCCTGCGCCAGAACAACTTCACCTGTCTTGAAGATTACGTGCCGGCCTTCCGGCACATCATCTACAAGGTAGAGGAGATGAGCGACATCGACAAGGTCATGCATTTCCAGAAGGGGTTGGTCGTAGAGATCAAACAAGAGGTGAAGCTGCGCCAGTTCAGGAACACGACAGACGCAATTTCGTTTGCACTCATGTACGACCGCACGCACGCTGTAGGATCGCGTCGAACCAACGTGAACCGCGGAGGCCAAGGTCCACAACGCCTTCAGCAGTCGTCACATCACGTCGAGGAGCCGACCCCAATGGAGATCGGGAGTTCGCGCTTCTTCTCTCGCGAAGAGTGTCTGCGAAGTAATCTTTGCTTTTACTGCAAGGAGCCCGGACACCGCCTGGCTACGTGTCCTAAGCGGCCAGCGCGTAACAACCCCCGAGGCTCATCTCGTCCTCCACAAGGGCGCGGTTCTTTCCGCGCAAACCAGGGCTTGTTTCGCCGCATTGTTGAAGACGACGACGCACCCGACGACGATGACGACGCCTACGCAGACAACCGCGACGACCACGTCGAGGTCATCGACAGTTTGCAGCTGAACATGGTGTCTCTCGACGCGAAGTTGTCGCCCAATCGTGAACTGTTGAGGTTCGAGGGAGCGATGAGCGGCCAGGCAGTGCGAGTCTTGATCGACAGTGGTGCAGAGCGCAACATTGTGCGTCCGGGCCTCGCGCAGCACTACGTTGAGGCCACCAAGGTCGCGGCCGAGCGCTTTGATGGCACGACAACCCCGGCGCGTACCGCACAGCAATGTTTGGAGACTGTCTGCTTTGATGGCAGAGTCTTCAACGATGTTTCTCTCATTGAATGGGAGGTATCTTTAAACCAAGACATGATGCTCGGTCACCCGTGGTTAGTGCAGTTCAACCCGATCATCAATTGGCAAACCGGAGTGATGCGCTTCCCCAATCAGCGTGTAGTACATGACTTCGGTTCCGTGAACAGCAGTCATGAGGTGGCGGGACCGACGGTGGCTTCAGTGGAAGTGAAACCGGAATTTCTTCAGCACCCGCTTCCCCCGAACCTGCGGCAGCAGCTCGATGACCATGTGCAGGCAGGCTACTTCAGTATGCCGTTGGGACCGAGCTCACTAGCAGCGCTGGGACACCAGACCTTACCACGCATCTTTGACGACGGTGACGATGGTACAGACGCGTCGCCGCTGTGTGTTCTTGCGGCTGCGGAGTTCGAGAAGAAGGTGAAGGCTGACGAGTACGTCGAACTGTATCATGTCACGGTGAAGACGTCGCCCAAGGTGAAGTCCGTGCCATTGCAGCTTCAAGCGGTTCTTGAAGAGTTCGCAGATGTCTTTCCAGCAGAGCTGGCACCTGGATTACCACCAAGCCGCTCCATCGAGCACGAAGTGGTCTTGAAACCAGGGGCGACGCCAAGCAACCGAGCTCCCTTCCGCCTCTCGAAGGTTGAGCAGGAAGCATTGGACATCTTTGTGGCAGAGCTGCTGAAGAAGAACTGGGTCGAAGTGTCGAACTCTCCCTGGGTATCGAACATCTTCGGCGTGCCGAAAAAGGATCCCTCGACGGGCAAGTTCCCATCCCGCTTGGAGTGGTTGCACTCGAACAACCCGCACATGCCGATTCGATGGGTCATCGACTATCGCTTGGTGAATGCCGCCTCGGATGTAGCTAAGATCCCGCTACCGCACATCGAACAACTCTTCGATCGCATGGTGGGCGCAGTGGTCTTCTCTATTCTCGACCTCGCGAGTGGATACCACCAAATGCCCATGTCTCCGACGTCAAAACAGTACACGGCATTCAGGAGGAACCATGAGATCTATCATTGGAACGTGGCGCCCATGGGTCTGGCCGGCATGCCAGGCACGTGGACACGCCTGATGTGCAAGCTGCTGAGTTATCTACTGTTCGTGGTCGTTTATCTTGACGACATCTGCATCTTCTCGCGATCGATGGCTGGCCACGTTGAGCACTTACGACAGGTCTGCGAAGTCCTGCGCGCTAACAAGCTTTACGCCCGTCCTGACAAGTGCGACTTCGGACAAGCCTCTGTGGACTTCCTTGGCCACACCATCTCTGATAATGGGTTGCACGTGGACGCTCGCAAGACTCGAGCCATCGCAGAGTGGACCGAGCCATGCAACATCAAGGACCTCCAACGCTTCTTGGGCCTCGCCGGGTACTATCGTCGCTTCATCCACCAGTTTGCGACGTTGGTACTGCCCCTGAGCTCTCTGGTCAAGAAGGATGTCGCTTGGGTATGGAACGAACACCAGCGCCAAGCTTTCAATGCCATTAAGCTCGCGCTCCAGCATGCTCCGGTGCTTCGTCTGCCGGACTTTGAAAAAACATTCATCGTGCCAACGGATGCCAGCCATGCGTGCATTGGTGGAGTGCTCTCTCAGATGCATGATGGCAACGATCTCCCCGTGGCTTTCTTCAGCAAGAAGCTGGGACCTCACGAGCTGAACTGGCCTGTTTGCGAGAAGGAGCTAGTTGCGATCAAGCAGGCGCTTACACGTTGGCGTCATTACCTCCATGGAGTCTCGTTTGAAGTGTACACGGACAATTCGGCGTGCAAGTGGTTTTTGCAGCATCCACGCCTGTCGGGTCGCCTGGCCCGCTGGCTCGACTTCTTTGCGTCCTTCCAGTTCACTCTGCATCATCGTCCAGGAGCTTTGAATGTCGTTGCGGACGCGTTGTCGCGCCCCCCTGATGCTTCATCGAGTCCGGGGGAAGGGCAGGAGGATTGTGAGTCCAAGCCCGAGCCGGTTGTAGTGTGTACGGCGCGTTGACGTCTACCACATGCACGAACATTCGAGACGTGGTCTCACGACGTACCATGGCTACGACGAAGCTCCAAAGCATACCGCCCCGGGATCAAGCTGTGATGCTGGCCGTCAAACAGCCAGCCACAAAGGCACTCGGAGTTGGCACAGCACAGTGGCGCATGAGGTTGAACGCAGCGTCAATGGAGGACAGCACGGTGATCAGCTCACTTCAGCTGGATAACCAAACGAAGCGGGCGTTTCAGAAGGCATACGGCAGAGATCCAGTCTTCAAGCCACTGTGGAAGTCCAGACGCTCGTCGGAAGAGTACGAAGTCATTCGCGGGCTGATCTACTTGAAGAATGATGACAATCTACGCCGCCTTTGTGTACCAAACAACCGGAAACTTCGGCTCGATGTCATCCACAACGCGCACGATGCTGCCATCATGGCGCACCCTGGGATCCGCCGCACACAGCTAGCTGCAGCTCAGTGGTACTTCTGGCCGAGCATGGACCTGGATATCAAAGCCTACGTGCAGAGTTGCAAGTCTTGCATGAGGTACAAATCGAGCACGGGGCGGAAGTCAGGCAAGCTTCAACCAATTCCGTTACCGGCAGCTTGTTGGGATGTTGTCTCGACTGACTTCATCACGCATTTACCAGTGTCCGACGGCTTTGATGCGATCATGGTTGTGGTGGACAAGTTGTCAAAGCGTCCAGTCTACATCCCGACGCACACCGCAGCGACCGCAGAAGACACTGCCAAGCTGTTCTTCAACAATGTCATCCGGTACTATGGAATCCCATCGACTATCATCTCCGACCGCGACCCGAAGTTCACGTCGAAGTTCTGGACAGCTCTTGTGCAGCTGATGAAGATCAAGACAGCGATGACGACTGCCCACCGAGCGCAGGCCGACGGCCAAACTGAGCGTCAGAATCGGACTCTCGAGGACTCGTTGCGATGCTCTATCTCGTACCATGACAACGAATGGAATGAGCACCTGCCCATGATTGAGTATGCGCACGCAACACTGGTGTCCACCTCGTCAAAGCTGTCGCCCTTCTTCGTCGACACCGGCCGTCACCCTAAGAACCCATTGGGTAGTGCTGAGAGCGATCAGCCGGTGGCGAGGTCTCGCGTAGAGTACGCGTCTCGATTTCTTCAGCATCGTCAAGAGGTGATCGAACGTGCTCGGAAGAATCTGTTGGATGCGCAAGAGGCTCAAAAGAAGTTCTACGACCGGCGTCGTGCAGCAAATCCATTCAAGGTCGGCGATCTAGCCTTGCTGTCGACGCAAGACCTGAACATCTCGCACGCCACTGGCGAAACGACTCTTCTCTCACGGAAGCTCATACCGCGATTCATCGGTCCGTACCCCATCCTGGAACTACACGGCAACGTCGCACTGCTGGATCTACCGGCCAACTTGAAGCACATCAGTCCACGCTTTAACATCGACAAGCTCAAGGTATACAACAGCAACCCTGATCGCTTCGTCGGTCGTGTGATCCCGAAGTCGACCCCTGTGATCTTTGATGACGACGGTGAGCTGCTACATGTTGTCGAAGCCCTGATCAAGAAACGGATCTTCAACCGTCAACCTGAGTATTTGGTCAAGTGGCACGGGCTCCCTCACCATGAGAACACGTGGGAACGCGAGCGCGACATCAAACACGTCAGTCACTGGCAAGCGCTGCTCAAGGATCTTCGCCAACGCAATCAAGTAGCACGGGCCTAGTGGAATGCTCTTCAACAGAGGTTTCACGGTACTGTTCCTTACACCGAGGGTCTACGGTACTACCAACTTCAACTTCGGCAACTTCAACGTTCAAGGTGCCGGGGGGGGGAGTGTAATGATCTGCACATGCAAGCGCAGAGCAATACGACAACATCCGATGAGTCCGCGCACAGAGAGCAGGAGTTGCCGTCCGCATACTTACCGGTTGCGCAAGTGCTTGTTCCGGCCAACCACTGCATGTTTAGGACTGCGCGCCACGAGGGCGCCCTCCGGTAGATGGATACCAACAAACAGATAAAACAACAATTCAGTTTCCATTTTACCCGCAATACCACAAGTACAAGCCAGCACCTTACAGTTGCTACCGCGATTTAAGGCATCTAACCTATTGCCCGCCACTTTCACTGGAATGTTGAGTGGAGGAGGATTGCACCGTTAAACAGCGGAGGGCATCCCGCGCATGGAAGCGGCAGCGGAGTGAGCAATTACGTCGCTACAGGAACCCGTCGTGATTAACTGGTCGATTGCTAGCGTGCATGGCGATCGTGAAGTACAGCGAGGCGGGGTGGATATAGTCAAGTATGCTGCAAATGATGGCATCGTGATTGAGGCAACACCGCTTTTGCATGACTTTCCCTGGTTAGTTCCAGAGAAGGTAAAGAACAAAAGAGTGCTACAAGCGCTCAAGAAACAACCATTCAGGCAGTTCTGATTGGGGCTTGCAAAGCATCTAGGCCGCCTAGTGGACAAACTACACAGTCGAAGAGGTCAGTCCGAGTGGGTGAAGGCGACGCAAGACCAGACACTAACAGAGCTGCGTGCTCAACAGAATGTTCTGACGGAATTTCAAGTCTGGACATTGCTGTGAGTCAACTTAATTTGTATTTTCCAGGGCGTGAGCAAAGTGTACACTGCCGGATGACACAAAGGTGCGAGGGCCACAAAGAGACATTGGAGCGCCTCCTATGGACCTGTCCGTATGCAGAGGCTGTATAGATGATTTCCGTGGAGCATTGGGCAGGATCAACAGTAACACAAGTGGAGCTGGCGAAGTACCTGCTTCGCGATCTCCACCACTCGGTTCAAGCAACGTCTTATCGCCCTATACGGAGAGCTAACACCAAAGCATGCGCAAGCGGCGCGCTGCCTATCTGGTCGGCCTTCTGCAGCATTGCAACAACATCACTCTGGATGGCACGCAACGGAAACGTTCATCGGCAGGAACTGGTTACAGTGCACCAAGGAAAGACACAAATCTGGAAGATCACGTTACGTCAACTTCAGGCAGTAACCCACCGAGATTCCAGGAGTACCGAAAACCGATTGAAATCCCGTTTGAGTACGTTACCTCGAGTGAATTCTGTCTGGCTAATGGTTGGTGAACCAGTACTTCGAGTACGCACTGAGCTGCACGGTCTGCACGTCGTCCGATAGGTTGGATGCTTGTAGCAACCCGTCGAACTTGTTGACGTCCAATCCGTTTTCATAGGCCGGCAGGATCCTTTTCAGGTGCGGCACGAGCTTTTCAAAGAAAGCTGCCAGGACGCCAGCATCTCTGATCTCGGCAAGAATCGGACCCATGTTATCAGCCGAGTTCGTCATCGACAGCCTCAACAGCACAGCGTTCGCCTTCAACGTGACCACCCAGCCCATCTCTTCTTCCTCCTCCTCCTCCCCTGCTTCTTCTGCATCGTCGCTGGCGTCGTAACCATCGCTGTTGTCGTAATCAACCTTGTGCGATCTCAGGAATCGGTGGTCGTTTCCGGTGCTTTTGTCGAGATCGACACGGTTTACCACCTTGGGCTTGGAAGGCGCGACGGCAGTACCACCCGCGGCAGCATCCAGGGTCCCGACGAGAGCGGCTGCCACAAGCAGCAGAACGTAGCCCGGACGCATGACGCATGGATCTCTTGCTTCAAAGGATGGAGTGGAGGAGGAAGCTTGTGCCTTTGGAAGAGTGTCAATACCGACCACCACGTCTTCGCTGATAAGCGACTCGAACTACGTACCGTCGTCGATGGTTGCTGTAGCGCCTGGAGGAGATAGGAGGGTTGACACATGACATAATTAAAGATTCGAAAATTAAACGTTGGACTGGCTGGCAGGTTTCCCATCTATTAGGTGTAGAAATATTACGTGAAACCGGAATACTGAAGTGTACACTTTGGGCGCAGTTGTTTCATTGAGTTGCTTTATCGGTTGCAGTTACTGCTCGCGCAACCTACCGGAAAATCGGAAACGAATCTGAAGTTGGAGGAGGGGGGTCTTGATTTTGTGCATGCAGCGAACGAGTACGTACAACTTGTTTTGCCTATTTGCAGTTGTTTTAGTAGACTGACAGGGCCTAATCTACAAACCGATGAGCAAAGCAACTTCGTTAAAGATTTCAGTTTTTATTACCGCTGCTTCGGTCAATATTTCGTTTCGTTTCGAATTTAGTAGTGTCACTTGACATGTAAACTTCTTTGAGCTACATGTAGCGTTGGTCAATATTGACTAATAGGGGTTTAAGGCACAACCCCACCCAAGCCCGCCACTGCTGATTTGCTACAAATCTTTGTGGGTTGTCACCACCAGCACATGGTAGAGGCACGATTTACATACCGCTAGGCGAAGAATTAGCTTGGTGTTGAGCTGTTCGCCAAGTGCTCATGCGAGACGCTCTTTTGTTAAATACGTAATATTAAAGAATACTAGTCTCCAGGCCGAGATACTTCTCAAAGCTCTCGCTTTGCATGTATCTTCGATCAAGTAGGTCTGCTAAAGAAGGGTACGGTGCCGCCTACGTTGTTGAGCAGTATTTTAGTAGCAGCACCATGCTTTTATCGTCCTCATGGTGGTAAGTTACTAAAACATATGTCCAACTCGCACAGTTTGATATCTCCAGTCCAAAACAAGCTATTTTGCCTGAAAGTCAAAATTTTAATTCTGACCCCAATTTGGGATGGGGAGCCGATCGCAGAAGAAATCGTTTCTTGTGCTTTGTAGTCGAGACGGCGCATCCGTGCTGAATGGGCTGGATGCATCGTCGCTCAACATGAAAGCCTCAACTTCAGTGACCAAGGGTAAAAAGCACGTGACATCCATCGGCACATGTAGTATGAAAAACTTTCTATTGCTTAATTGACTTTACTCGTTCGAGGAATGGCCAAATCCGTTCAAGAAAATACGTTTTGAGTTGCTTCATTTCGTATCGAGGCGGCATCCGTGTGCTCAACGACTGCTGTAAGCCCTTGGCCCTTGTGGTGAAAAAAGTACGCACTTTGGTGAAGAGCGTACAGATTTTGGCTCTTTCTGTAACACATTGCGCGTTTTCTGCAATGGGGGATGCTTCGTCATACAAACCCCAATATGGGGAGGTGATATCAACACTGTTGATTCAACAGCGCGCCCCCCGTTAGCTGCAGCGCGGCTACATACAAATTCCAATATCGACGTACAGATACTAAAACCCCAAAACAAGCTGCTCGTACAAAAATGTGCTTTGAGGATCAATTTGCATGTTTTGTCAAGTGTTGGTACTTAAAGGATATGGCCATAAGGGAAACCAAAAAATTAAGCGCAGGTAGGAATCGTAGTCGACCTTTTGCAGGAGGAGAAACATATTTGCAATACGAGTGTAGTACTAGTAGTTAGAGCTCAAGAAGCCATTGGTTCTGCTTGCGCCAACCATGTGAGCCTCATCGGCTACAATTGGTTTGCAAAATGCAAGAACACGTTGATAAGTCTTAGCGGCAAATGCATTGCGGATCCATGACATCCCAACCCATTCCGGTTCAGATCCATGATCCGCCACGGCGATCCATGGCACTACCAATGAGATCCATGATCAAACCCAACCGGATCCATGAGTATGATCAAACCCAACCAGATCCATGACTATAGCCAACCAGATCTATGATCAAACCCAACCAGATCCATGACCGTAGTCAAGCCGATCCATGACCTTAGTCCCCCAAGCTGATCCACGATGGTACGAAGATGATATATGGTGCTAAGCCACGAGAATGTCAAACTACCTACCAAACCTGCCGTCACAAATTTTCCTGTGTGTATGTGTACCTAACGATAATGACTGTCAGTCCATGTTCACGTGGATGGAGCTGAGCCGACAGTATGTAGCAGCGCCTCTAGGATTCCAGTAACAATAAGCTAGCTAGCTTTCGATGCCAAGAAGCATTCCATGCAGCGTACCAACGTTTGGCAATACACCTGTGCGCCTGCGCTGCAGCTAGCGGGGGGCGCGCTGTTGATATCACCTCCCACCCCAATATGTTTCGCTGCGCTAAACTGGCCGGCGCTCGTCAAAGCATCCTGGTTTTTCCTTGATGCAGGTAGCTCGCTTACAAAACACTAGAACCACGACAAGATCACCTTGTTGTAGGCGAGTTTCTGTTGATTTGCGGCATATTTTTAAATTTCTGAGAGGATGTCTAGAAAAAAAGTTATGACCATTTTTCCGCGGAAAAAGTAAAACATTGCGGTAAACTGGTCGAGCACCTTATAATTAATTTATGGGTGCTGCGAAGGAGCGGGTTCGTAAACGATGATGAGACTCCGTATCTGTACCAAAGCCGCGAGCAAGGATCCCGTGGACGATGTGTTTTTAGTTACGTACAGTAGTCCCTATCTTCTACACTGACAGGAAGCTTATATGAATCTGGTCTGGCTTGAATGGTGACTTCCGAATCTCTCACTTCGCAATAGACCCTCGACACCCAAGAGCGTAAATTTCCCCCAGCGAAGCATGCAGCGCATTACCCTGCTAGCCGCCATTACTTTCTGCGCGGTAATCAACGCTGCCGAAGCCGCCGTGCATACCCAAGAAGGTCTCAACTCAAAGATTCCTACTCCCGACAGCGAAAGTACTAGGCTCCTGAGAGCGCACGAGGTGGCAGATAACGGCAAGGATGCCGGTCTCCCTGCAGACGACGAAGAACGAGGGGCTAATGCGGGGTGGGTATCAAGACTCGCCGATATAGACCGAAAGACGTGGAAGATGCGAAAGCTCGACATGAAGCTGGCTGAGAAGACTTGGATCTCGATTGGGTGGGACCCCGTGGAGATATTCAAGTATTTCAATCGCTTCAACGCCTGGGCGAATATTGAAAACAGCAAGAGGACCATCCAGTGGTTCAGGTTCACGAAAGCCTACAGAGCCAAGAAGGGGGTTGGTAGCTTCCCGGACTACGAGATCTACCATTTGCTGCGCAGCAAAGTCCCAGAGGAAAAGTTGGCGCTAGCTTTGGAATCGCTGAAGCAAATACCGGACGTGAAGAATCTCGCGGAGACCGTGCAGAACTATCAGCTCAAGCTCTGGGTCGACCGAAAAGAAACTCGCACCAGTATCGCCAAGCTGCTTGGTATTCCTCACAGTCCGACCATGGTAACGGAGCGCGGCCCGAAAGATGAGATTCTGAGCCATTTCAGCAACATATTACTTGGGAGCGAAAAGAAGCTGACCAGAAGCACATCGATTCGCTAGAAGGTTGCATATGCCATGTAAGCTCGGTGATTGCGGACAAAGTTGTATCATCACCTTCTCCAATCATTTTGGGCTAAGATGCGGAGCTGTTGAGACCTTCCAACGGGTACATAGCAATCCCATTAGAGCGTGTTCGCTAGGTAGCTGGAGATGGAGAGGACCTCTCATCAACTCTATTTCTTGTCTTTTGATTGGTCAAAATAGTTTAGTTCACAACGTGACAACTGGAGAATTACCCCGTCTCCTTCTCCAGTTCCCAGAGCTGGAGAAGGAGAAAGTAGCTGGAGATTGAGGCAGTTCAGCCGCACACACAATGAACGAAGAGGAAGCTGTACTGGTTGCTACATGCTCAGCTGTCGCACAGGTTGCAGTCCTCCTATCAGGAGAATCCGACGATGCGCCGCAAGGCCCTAAGGAACAGATTCGTACCGTGACCTCACTGCACTTTGAGCCCATGCTCCAGTCAGCCGCGTATGCAAGTTGGTTTGAAGACAATCTTCGCTGTACCAAGCCAACTTTCCTACGTATTGCTGGTTTACTACGAGATCAAGGTGTTCTGTTTGCTGCTGCCAAAGTACGGCAGCATAGCTTTGAGAAGAAAGTTGCAGCCGTGTCAAAACGAGCCCGCAGCAGGGCATCAGCTGCTGCAGTCGTCCACGTAAAGGAGGGTTGCTTCGTAGCGATAGACGTTTCACCAGTATTGGCCTTCTTCTTCTGATTCCCAACGCGACGATGTGAGTCTTGGTTGCGGGCTGACGCAGCTACAACTCCGAGCGCAAAAAGCTGGCTGGGTGTCTCTGAATGCGGCAGCGCCAGCGAGGAAGTGCGGGCATCCAGCTCGGTTTGAGTAGTGGCCGGTGTCGCATAACAGTCTGGGCAAGAGCAACATCAGAGGCAGGTATGTCCAAACTGGCAGCAGCCAGCACGAGGTCGCCACTGGCTGACGGGAACGGAGGCGCAGCTCTCGGAGCGTCATCGGCAGCTTGGTCCATCTTGCCACGCGTCGGGCACAGTGTTCCCGGCCGACGAAGAACAGCAAAGTAAGGAGAAGGAGAGCGAGTCGCACTGTGATCGGCTAATTTTACCTAGATGCGCTCTGTTGTAGCGAACAAGCTGGAGATGGAGACGAAAACCAAAAGTGTGACCGGATTGGTCAAAAGTAGGTAGCACACAACAAGACGACTAGAGATGGCACTGTGAATTCGTCTCCAGCTCTTTGAGGTGGGGAGGGGCGGATCTACCTAGAGATTTACAGGGCCAGGCACAACATGGGAGACGAAGATGCAATTGTCCTCGCTGCGTGCTCCGCCGTGGCACAGGCTGTGGCTTTGTATGCGTGGCCGCACTGGTGAGGCGAGTCGGCATTTTCTCAAGTGGGGAGGAGAGCCATCCCATATCTGTCCTGTGATTGGCTTAAAATTTGTCTGGAGATGGATACATAGCGAACGAGCTGTAGGTGGAGATCAAGCACCATCTCCATCTCTACCGTAGTACAACGCGAACAGGCTCTTAGGATACACGAGTACGGAATAAATTCCTGGAAACAAACGTAGACACAGGAACGAGGTCAGGTAGCCATCTCTTTTCGTTTTTCGCTATGTGAATAGCATGTTAGCGCTTTGGTGCACCCATCAGTTAAGGTTACCTTCAAAGTGAACTATCTCGAAAAATGCTGGATCAATCGTGTTGAAAAGGGAAATAACCACCACGTGATAAGAGGGTCGCATTTATAAGACCCCATCGGCGGTATTCCCGGTGACTGTAGCAGATTTTTTGTGGTGACCAACTCCTCGTGCAGTTGGTGGAGAAGCGGACTACCCGGGAAATGTGTGCTGGTCGAGGTGCTTGACTCACCGGGAAGACAGCTTTTATGGGAGTTTCAGCATGCTTACCGCCGAGCATCAGGCAGCTTGGTTACTCTTTTTCGGTTTAGACTCACTTCTGGGTACGTAAACTCGGGACAAATCTCGGGTGGGAACAAACCCAGTAGCGTTATTGGGATCATGTACACACACAAAAACGAGTTAGAGCTAGTTATCGTCTAATAAAGAAGCACTCGCATTACAATAGTAGTACACGTACCACTTTGAGCATGCTGCGTAGTCTCGCCGCATGTACATCACTTGACGAATCGAGCAGAGCAACTTCTCCAAGTGAATACATCCTTCCATATTGAGCGACTTCCCGTTATCGCATAGTTTCGTGAGCGTTTCAAAACATCCGTTCAATTGGCACAGGCGATCGATTGGCAGCAGTGATGAATCCGCTGTCCATCTGATCGTGTTGAAAAGCCATTGCACGAGGTCCACAAGTTCGTCAAAAGCCTTCATCTTTTCGCTGGACGCAGAAATGCAGCGTACTTCTTCTTCATAAGTCGTGACGTAGCCGAAATCCTTCTCCACACTCGCAGCGTTATCAAAGCGTTTTTGAGAGCCCGATTTCGTCACAATCGTCGAAGGCGGCGACGTTACATCGGCTGTCCAAACAAACGTTGTCCGTGGGAATTCTCTGCACACCCTGCAAATTGAAAGAGAAAAGGTCATCCCATTCGGAACCTCTTTGCAAGGAGCGAACCCTTTCCAGCTTTGAGATAGCTTCCCCCAGCATTGGTTCTCCACGAGGATCCCACATCTCGAAGCGATATCCAATCAGCTCGTGAATTAGCGCAAGTTTCTGGTCAAACTTGGGCTTCCCGATGCATCGCTTCGACATCCACACGTCCAAGTCGGCTACCATCTCCTGCAATATTGCCTTGAAGTCACCGACTACTTCAACAGGCACCTCAAACGTCTTAAGGTGTTGCCGAAGTTGCAAATGGTTCCTACAAAATAGCTGTAAGCATATACGAAGTATCACGCAGTAAAGGTAAGCGTACATGTACGTACCTCTGGTCGTGCTTGGATAAATGTCACGCAGCTGTTTCAGCAGCTTCACTATCTTCCCAGTTGCGAGCACGTCCACGCGGCTGAGCTGGCGTTTAAGTTACGGTAGAGCAATGACCATCCCTAGTCGCATATCGTCCATGAAGGGCTCCGTCGCGACCTTATTGTCCGCTTCAACGAGCACCCTTTCAGCCGTGCAGGCTGCAGAAGCAAAGGCCTCTATTGGTGAGGGGTCTGTTTCCTCATCGATCAGCTCGACAGCTGCAACCAGCACTAGAGCCACGAATTTCCCCAATCTGGAACGGCGGTTCATGCTGCCTAAACGAGTGAGCGCCTCCTGTCTCAATCGGGATAGCGTGCGCTCTTCTTCCATTCTTTTACGTAAGCTCGCCTTGTCAGTGAGGGGGGGCCACAGTCACGTTTGGAGCCGCATTCTCGGAGTTACTATCCGTTGCGCCGATATCCGTAGCTATTGGTACTTGCAGCGGATCGTCAGCACGGGGATCCTGCTACGACTTGTATCTTCGATTCTCTGCCGCTTTAGCTCCCTCGGGTTCTCCTTGCTCTCCACATTTTCTTGTTGTTGTTCTTCTTCTTCTACTTCAGCGCCCTTCCCCTCCGTGTCTATCTCCTTTGCAGCTCGTTTCTTCTCTTCTGTAGTTCTCCTGTGTTCCAGATCCTTTGGTCCCGCTCTTAGATGTTGAGAACCGTTCTCCTTTTCTTCTTCTCTTTCTCCCTCCTCCTCCTCGGTGTCGGATGACGCATCACTTGCCCCCGAACTGCTCACCGCTCGGTTCAGTTGGCACACTAACGTGCCGACCTCGTTGCACGCCGCGACCAGCTGCTCCAGAGCCTGCGCAACCTGCGGAGACTCGTCCACGAACACCACCGCGGTCTTGCACAGGTCTTTGGACGCCTGGACGACGGTCAAAGCGTGTCTCAAGGCGCTGACAGCGGGTGAGAGGTGCGTTCTGGCGCTCTGGAGCTCTTCCTGCACCGCCTCCGTGCTCTTGGCGCGCAGCTCGGCGGCGCTGAAGCGTGCCAGGTTCACCTCCATCTTCAAGTGCAAATTCGTGAAATTTAGGTTGATTCGTGAAATTTAGGTTGATTCGTGAAATTTAGGTTGATTCGTGAAATTTAGGCATCGATCGATCAAGTATTGATGGCCGACACGCTCGCGCTGTATGAGCGGATTCTGGGGCTCGTGAAGCCCGCGGAGCTCCACCGCAGCTGCAATGGCGTGCTGAAGGACGAGTACTCTGCGCTGCAATGCGCGGTGGGTGAAATTCTTGCTGCGTTCGCCAAGGTGGAGGAGGTGCGCGATGCCGTGAACCAACTGGAGCAGGGCAAGCCGCCCACCGGCCGCACTGCCAGCCTCATGGAGGCGATGGATGCAGCGATGCAACTGCGGAAAGACCTGAAGGAAAAGCTCGAGGAGGTGGCCGCGGGCATGCAAGTGGTGAGTCAAGTTTGGGATTGGGGTAGGAGTTGTTGCTGGAAGGGTTTCTAAAGTATTGTTGGTTGTGTTGATGTTGCAGCAGGAGGTGGCATCTGCTGGTGATAAAGAGGAGAAGAAGGAGAAAACTCGGGAGAAGAGAAAGAGAAAGAAGGAAAAAGTGAAAGAGAGAAAGGATCCAGAGAAGGAAGCGGGTGATTCTCCTTCGTCGTCATCTTCTTCGAGCAGCAGTGAGGAGGAGGAAGAAGTGAAGCCGAAAGACAAGAAAACGCCAAAGCGGGCGAAAGTCGAAGGCAAGAAGGATGGCGCGTCTGGTGATGGCAAGATGAGTGGAGATCTGGCCATGGCCCACGATGCTTTGAAGACCATTTCGACGGTTCGGACGGTCAACAGGAGGATCCAGTTTGATATGGTGAATCAGTGGGCGGAGGCACTGTTCGACCTCAAGCGTATTCTCAAGCACCAAGCCAGTTGCGACGCTAGTACGACAGACAAGCCGGCCGCAGAGGTTGCTGCCCGCGCGCTGGAGGCTGCAGCTACGATTTTCCAAAAGCTTGAGTGGATGGATGAGCGCATTAAGGAAGTGCGATCTGTGATCGCAGCGCTGACAGACGCTTGCTCCAAGAACGAGCAGCTGAGGATTTACTTCCATCGGTACGACCTAGGTGTTGACCGTGCTGCCTTATCTAGTCATCGAAATGTTTTTAACGGTTGCTAATGTTTGCTAGGGTTCGAGCACAGCTGGAAAGTCTTGAAATGAGCATCCCTTCCGCAGCAGCAGAACTTGCTGAGCCGTCCAGTAAAAGTGGATCCCGGTCATTGGAGGAAGGTCTTCGCAGTTATCGCACTCTGAGCTCTAAGATTCAGAAAGTGTCCGCCGATGAAAAGCCATCGTTAATTTTCGAGGCGCTTGGAGCGATTCAACAAGTGATGGCAGATGACACGAATTGTGCACGACGAGAGGAATTGCGAAGCTCAGTCGAGAGCGCGGGCCGCTGGATTCGTGAGGTCTCACTTCGGAATGAATTGACCCAGGAATATCTGCGCTTTGCGGATAGCGTGCGCGATTACAGCAAGAGGCTGGGCAACCAAGTTGGATGGGAAAGGTACGTTCGCAAGCTTGCATGATTTTAAGGGGCTTTGCTCACAAACTCCTCAATATGCGTTCAGGCTTGTCATAAGCATAATGGACCTGCTTGACGCAAAAGCAAAACCGAGCAAAGCGTCTCAATCGCCTCGCATCTCGAAAACGGCAATGGCGAAGCAGGACCTGCTTAAGTCGCTACTCGCTCAAGTGGAGCAGTGGCAGGACGGCATTTTCTCTCTGGACCAGCTTGACAAGTTGATTAAGGAGCTAAACAACGTGGTGTCCTACAACTCAATGGACTGGAAGCCACTGGCAGACCCAACGGTGCGCACCTGCGTTTGGAAACTGAAAAGCTGTATCCAGCAGATTAAAAAGCCAGCCCACCGCGACAAACGCTTGAAGACAGTCAATAAGTGGAAGGCGAGTATCGACAGGCATCCGCGCTAGCTCGTTGATGAGCTCATGTGCGGTAGCAAAAGATTTGCCCAAGGCTTCTTCACTCTGAAAATAGACCTCCGTTGACATCCGTTGCTACATGCAAAGGAAACGACTCAAGTCTCCGTCCCACGGACTTCGGCAATCCTCTGGCTCTGATGTGCAGCCACCTTTGTTCACTCTTTCGTTCCCCCATATCGCTCGTCAAGTCCATCCCAGGCATTCACCGCCAAGGTTAGCCAGACAATATGAAGCGCAGTACTGGAGGCTATGAGCTCATCCAGAAGCAATTCGGTGAAATCGACGGCGTGGTGGTCCGCCAAGCCACGCAAGCCGGCGAGATGGTCGCTCAGGCAGTTGGTCTTCCTTGGGAGGCCAAAAACAAGTACTCCATTCACCGATTGCCGGCTGACAAGAAAGTCAAGAACGACCCGAAGGATGCAGCTGGGTGGTCCCCGACTGGAGCCGAGCTGAGGGCCCTCGAGCCGTTCATGCGTGCCCAAGAAGAAAGCTGGTTCTGCACGCGCATTGTGCTGCAGTACCTCGGCTGCGCCTACCTGCGCCCGCTCAAGATGCACTTCACTGTCGAAGGAGAAACAGGCGACGCGTACGTGATTGAGCGTCCGTTCAAATGCGGCGGCGGAATGTGCTGCCCGCTGGAAATGCGGCTGGACGGCTTGAGTGGCGAGAACGGAGAAGTTAAACGCATTGGCCGCATTCGAGAGGACTTCTCGCCGTACATGAATCGTTGCTGCTCGGCGTGTTGTCTCGCCACGGCTTACACGGACATCGAGCGCGCACTACCCGACGGGTCTTACGAGAAGCGCTACTCAATGCGAGTCAACGTGGCGTGCTGTGGCCGAGTCAACAACTGCTGCGCGCCGTCCTGCTGCCGCAATGACGCGGTGTACGACATCTTGGACCCCGAAGGAGCGGTTGTAGCCAACTTGCAGGTGAGCTTTGGCAGTGGGGAGTGCCTCAAAGCGATCTGCCGCGCTGGTGGGGGATTCACGAACTACGTGCTCCAGTTTCCACGTGACTCGACCCCACAAGACCGTGCACTGCTGCTCGCTGCGCTCTTCCAGCTGGATTACTCGATTTTCGAAAAGAAGTAGACACAACAGTATAGGAGGATTGCTTTTGCTTCAAGAAGCTTTTGTATCGCTCATGGTTTGCCTAGCAATTATGATGCTACTTTACTTTTTGGGTTGGTTTCTTCATGGTGGGTATATCGTTGCGGTCTTGCCACCTCCATTCTATTCCGATGCATCCATCGTTGTGTGGCTGTCAATCTGGTGTGTGTGTGTGTGCAGGTGTAGATGTCTTCGTAGTTGGCATCAGGTGTACCAATGTTTAAGTTATTCTTTCTGCTTGGGGCTCGTCGCAGCGTTCATCTCGTTTGGCCCGCTAGATTTGCTTGAGTTACGTGTTCGTGGTTGGTTGACTTGCTTTTTCAGGATCGTTTTATCTTGGGGGTTCAGGCGGGTGCAGTAGCTTATCGGCGCGCAACACTGAGCCGCTTCACGCTCCTTGACGAGCTCAGCTCCGATCCTTTGCCAGCTGCCTGCATGAAGCGCTTGATAAGCAGGACGTGGTTCCGCTGGGGCATGTGCTTGGCTGTTCCCACAGCTCCACTTGCTGTACTCGTGGAACTACCCGCAACACTTTCAGCGGCGCGCACTGACACTTGACCCGACGAACTGCTACTCCGCTCACTGTCGTGGGTGCTGTGGTGGTGGCGGCGGCTGGATTTACCATGCTTTCGCCGGTGTCGCGACAGCTTCTTCACTCGGGATAATTCTAGCGACATCACATCATCGTCTTCAATTATCTCTTCGTCTTCGTACTCGATCGCAACGTCCTCCGCTTGTGGTGAGGGCTTTCTGGGTGTCATTGGGCGGCCCTGGCGGTGGGGTGAGAGAGGAGTCGACGAAGGTGCTCGAGGAGACATTGGTCGAGTGGGCGACACAATCCGTGGAGACGTCGGCGGGGCCGCTTGCATTGAATATGCGTGGGTATCACTTGGTCGACTGCTGACGGCAGACACCGCGGTACGGATATTCTGTGGGCTACAAGATGCCAATGGACTCGTAGGAGAAGCAGGCGTTGGACGGTGGCGGGGGCTTGGCAGGTACTGAGAAGTGGAGTTCTCGGTGGTACTGGTAGATGGAGGTCGAGATGTACGGGGAGGTCGAGGGCTGGTAGTACGAGTTACCTCGTCGATGGTAGAGCTCGTGGACGGTCGAGTCGCCCCATTTTTGCTACTGGCATCACTGCGACTACTGAACGATGACATTGTCTCCTCCTGCATTCCTTCAAATGTGCGAGAAACGTAGTGCCCTCGAGTAAAGCGGTGCGACTCGATGAATTTCGGCAGCATGATCAATCCATTCTTCGATCTCTTCACGTATTCCAGCTTCTGTCGTTGGCGCTCCTTCCTATACTTTTCCGAATGCGACCAGTGATCTCCGTCGTGAGTGTAGTCTGGTGGCAGGATCTTCATGCAAAACTCCTGCAAGTCCAGATCGTTGCTGTTGTCCGTGTCATATCTCTTGAACAGTCCTAGACACTGTGCTGGGGTCAGTCGAAAGCCAAGGGCAAGAAGTCGCTCCCGGAACTCTTCCATTGTCACATGACTGGCCTTCTTGAAGATTTTGTATGCCTGGCGGAAGGTATCAGAGCTCCTTGATGTCGCCTGTTGGATTTTGTCCCGTATGCGCATTTCGATTTCATCCAGACTCCAGCTTTCCATCTCAATTTCAGTCATGTATTGCTCAGGGTTTGCCATAGCTTTCTCTTTCTTCTTTTTCGCCTCGATCCGGTGTAACTCGTCAGCAGCAGCTACCCAGGATATTCCAATGTAATCAGGAGGCAGTACACCGTGAATGAACTCATTCAAGTCGATATCACCACTGCCATCCTTGTCAAATCGACGGAACAGAATGTCAGACTGGACGCGAGTTAGCGCTAGTCCAATTGCTTCCAGTGCTGCGTGGAACTCGTGTGGTTTGATTCCGTTCACTTTCTTGAAAATGCGAAAGGCCTGCCTGAAGCAGTCTGATGAGCGAGACGTGCGCTGCTCGATCTTCTCGCGCAACATACGCTCAATGTCAGCAATAGTCCACGATTCTTGCACTGATTGCACTGCCATCGAGTACAACTTCCGCCGGGAGTCGTCAACCTTTTGCCTGTCCTTAACAGACAACCAGAACGAAGTGGAGTAGTCATCGAGCATAACGCCTTGGACAAACTTGTTCACATCGAGGTCGCCGGTTTTATCAAAGTCGAATGTGTCGAAGAGATCCTGGAGCTGCTTCTCTGAAACCCTCAGCCCAAGCCTCCTCAGGGCCGAGTTTAAATCACTGCACGAGATCCCGGTAGGCTTCCCGAACAGCATAAATGCTTGCTGGAAACGGTCCGTTTCCTCCGAAAGTTGGTCCATTCTTTCACGTATCATCGTCACAAGCTGCTTGGTCGAGACAGATGGCTCCTGGTCTGCTGCGCTTGGGTCGCTTCGTGGACTGGTCGGTCGGTCAGGTGCTCGGTTTTCCTTGGTAAAGAGAGTCGTGGCAAATTCAATGGTATCAATGACTCCGTCCCTATCTCGATCGAACCGGACGAAAAGCTCCCTGCACTTGGGTGGCGATATCTGTATCTGGAGCATGCCCAAGTGGCGATGAAAATCCGCAAATGTGATCGTGTCTGCACTTGTAAAGAAACGAAATGCTTGTCCAACGGCGTCCGTTGCACCACGCGGCATTTTGTCTTCGAGTCTCCGAACGATGCACTTCTCAAGCTCATCCAGAGCCATATACTCGTACACTGGAGTCGACTTCCTCGGGCTGGGTACCGCATTTGCTGCGTGATTGCTACCCCCACCAACCTGTCGTGGCGACCTGATCACAGGTCGGGCTGCAGGCTCGAGTTTGATAGAGATCTTGGTGGGTGAGCCATGGCCTGAAGCTTGTGTTGGCTCATCGGGAGAGAAAAATGTTTCTGGTAGAAATACTCGTTGAGCAAACGTAGGATAAACGATCTCGCCGAGGTCTTCTTGGTCAATCCGGCGAAACAGCTCGTTGCACAACCGTGGAGTAACGTGCAGACCGAGCCGCACAACCTTGTGGTGAAAGCATTCCGGTGTGATGGAGTTTGTAGTCGTGAAGAAACGGAATGCTTGGCGCGAGTAGTTCTCGTAGGCGCTTGAGCTCGGAATACTTGGGTCGACCGTACAGAACATCGCGTGGGTGACCTTGCGCAGCTCCTTGATCAGTGCCTCCACCGTCGTGATCTTGGGCGTCAACTGAGGCTCCAGGCTCGCTTCATTATCTGGAGGAGGCGCTCGCGGCATCCTACCCGCTGGCCGGGTTGGACGGCTGGCCCGTGCCTTGCTCAGGGCATAGCCAGCGCCGCTCAGCGCCAAGCTGCCCACAGGAGGCCCCTCCATATTCCAGTGAACAGACTATTGCCGAGTGCTCCAAATTTGTGGGAGGAGCGATTGACGCGGACAATAGAGTCGTGCAGCAGGGGCGGCTACCCTTGCCCGAATGCCTGATCACAGCGCACGCCACCGGTGAAACGGCCACGCCCACTGCGAGCAAATACTTGGCAAGAGAGCCTGGCATTTTTGGCGAGGTATTTTCACGGACCGAGAGAAGACGACGACCATCTAAATTTAGGCAGGTAGGAAGGCAAGCGATGCGAGCAGCAGACGTCGGCCTTGTCAGTGAACTCGTTGGATCCACCCATGGTTGAGAGTGCGTTGACCAGAAACCCTGCTGGCAGACAGCAAAAAATGGTTCGCTTCATTCATTCGCGTTTGAATCTCATTCCTCGAGATATCCGCCATCTAGAAAGCCCCCCACCTTTTAGGCCGCATAAGAGAGCTGCACAATCTCGCGAATATTAGATCTGCAGTTGCGCTCTTCCCATACGGTTTCGGCCCGGAGCACTCCGTCAGCCTGCACGAGCCCCACGAAGTGCTGCACGCTGCCATTGGTGCCGAAGTAGTACTTCTTAGCAGCCACCAGCGCGCGGGCGTGCGGCACGCGGCGCAGATGCCTCTTGATCGTCTGCATATGCATTGATTTTACACAGGTCACGTTAGTCATGCAGCAAGAAAGCCCAGCTCACCAACCTGATGACGCACGCACCTGGTACAGTTCCACGGCTACCGCCTCCGTGTAGATGGTCTCGGCCGTCAGGATGAGGTCGAACTGCATCTGGTCCTCACTGAGGTGCTCCACGTCCCTCATGTACTCGGTCATGCTGCTCCAGGCTCCGGCGTAGAACTCGGCCTTGCTGTAGAGCTGGTCGCTCACGTTGCGGCGCACGTTGGGGCTCGTCGTGAGTTCCAGCACCTCCTTGTTGTAGTCGCTGAACACCACGCGCTGGGCGCCGCGCTGCAGCGCGTGGATGCCCGGCAGTCCGTGGCCGCAGCCCAGCTCCAGCACCGCCGGGGGCATCTGCGCGCCGTCCTGCCGCAGCTGCGCCTCCACGAAGCGCACCAGGTCCACGGCGCACTCCCAGAGCTTGAAGCCGCCCTCGTACACGCCCGTCTGCACGTCCGACGTGCTCAGGATGGAGCTGATGGCGCCCGTGCGCGCCAGGAAGCCGGCGTCCGTCGTGTTGACGATGTCGAAGCTCAGGTCGCCGCCCACTTGGACGGCGGAGAAGGCGGCGGGCGATGCCGAAGCCGACGAAGACGCGGAATGGACGAAGCGCTCTCCATTGCGCGTGGGCACAGAGGCGCCGGAAGAGGCGGGAGAAGGGGCCAAGGGCGCCGGAGACGCCTCCGCAGTGGCGCCATCCAGCGCGAAGTTGAACGAGAAGGACATATTGCGGAACTGCAGGAGTGTTGGTTGGTGACGATCCTTTCACAAGTGATACCCAGCGCCCTTTGCACAGGAATATGTAGCCATGTAGTGCGGATTTGTATTGAGGTGAATTTTTGAAAAATTCTAGAAAGCAAGACGAATCCCTCTGGTGAGTGATATGTTGGCTTTTTGCAGCTTCACTTTACCTTGGCAGCGGAAAGGAAACAAACATTGCGATCTGCCCATGGCATCGCCGTCGCCGTCGCCGTCGCCGCGCTCGCACCGCGAGACGGTCGTGGTGAGCGCCGAGGAGCTGCTGCACCCGCTGGAGGAGCGCGTCTTCCAGCTGTCGCAGGAGCTCACGCAGACGGACCCGCAGGTGCCCGCGCTCTCGGACGACGAGGTCATCACCAAGCTCAACATGTAAGAGACCCCAAGAATGGGTTTTTCGCCGTGGAAGTGGACCTACTGATGACGTCATATGGGTGAATGGGTGGTGCAGGATCGCTGAGACGCTGGAGGAGGTCGAGACCAACTTCCGCAAGGAGAGATCGTCCCCGTATCGCCGCGACGGTAAGATCCGACCCACAAGTTGAAGCTGTGAGGACGATGGATAGTTGACGTGGGTCTTTTGGGTTTTATTTTCTATAGGCCACCTCATTGGGAACCTGCTGCAAGTGCTGGAGCAGAATGAGGACTTCTACCCAATGGTATGCAGCTCAACTTGCCCTTTTGGAGGAGGGAAGACGTTCATATGACTCATTTGGGTTCTACTTTGTGGTCTTTAGCTGGAGGGGAAGCTGTCGGATCTGAGTGTGAACCGCGTCAAGGCTGCGACGTGTCGGTTGCTACTGGCCACGGTGCCGGTCAATAGCCGAGCGATCGTGCGCATGCTGGACGACGATGAGGAGATGTTGGAGCGAGTGTGTGGCTTTGCTACAGATAGCGATCCAGGACTGCGGTGCTATGCGACGGGGTTGCTGTCTGTGGGGTTGAGAGACCGCTCGGTTGCGGACACGGTGGTGAATAATGACACGCCGGTTAAATTGTTGAAGAGGGCCAGGATGTACGCGTCCAAGTTGGAGAAGGAGCGGCAGCAAGCGGTCAAGTATATCCAGGACCACTTGCGTCTGGCTTCGTCTCGTCATAAGAAAACTACAGGTGGTGGAGGCAACACGTCGACAAAAGCAACAACACCGCAGAGATCGCTGAAGAGGAAGCACTCGGATATTGGCAGTCGGGCACCAGCACATGGCAACGAGCATGGCGAAGGTACGGATGCTACAGCAAGCATGGATGCGGAAGAAGAGGAGGAGCCGGCGGTGGCCGTTCCGATACAGCAGTCATTGCCAATTTCCGGTGGCGATGAAGACGTGTTGGGTGGATTTGAAGACGGGTCGGTCGTGATGCCGCGTCCTGAGCATCATGAAGAGGACTTCAAGCGTCTGGTAATGCTCGAGTTGCTGTACACTCTGGATTGTCTGGGATCGATGGGAGAATATCTGGAAATTTTTGCACCAGCACTGAAAGAAGACATCGTTGGGACCGTCATCACGTTCTTGCATAGCAAGAATCCAGCAGTGATATCGCACACGATGACGCTAACGTCGCATTTCCTCGCGCACAAGAAGTTTTCGTTTTCGCTTGTTGAGTCGGGGGGAGTAGACCTACTGTTCACGGTATTCAAGTTACAGCAAGCAGCTGGCCAAGTCGGTTTGCTGGATCGCAGCCTTTCAATGTGCCTTCACGGATTTGCATCTTCGTCTGCAGTTATTGAGCGCCTGGTTGTGATGAGTCCGGAAAACATGCTGTCAGCCGCGTTTACTCTGCTTTCCAGCCCGAATGACCGTGCAAGACAGAACGCTGTGGTGTTTTTCAGCTTGACGCTGGGGTTCAAGGCGATTCTGGACTACTTCGAGAAGCACAATGGACTGTACACTATCCTGAATATCATCCGAGTGGGCAATCACCCGAAATCAGTGGCACAAAGACAACTTGCTCAAGATGCCTGCTTGTGCTTGCGTCAGTACGTGCGTATGCATATGGCTATGGTGACGCATCGGCTCCGGAGAAAGCTTGCACAACTGAACCATCCGTCAAATCGGCAGTCAAACACAGCGCCAGTATTAACGGCGGCAACCGCGGCGTCTCGAATCCCAGCTCGGGTCCCGAAAATTAACTGGTCTAAGGCAATCGACCTCGACGACAAGACTCACGAGCAAAATATGGTGTTTTACGAGAAATATCGCTTCAGTGCAAGCAGTGGCAACTCCAACAATTCATGGTCTGCTGCAACCGGTCCAGGCAATGGGATGTGGCCTCCCGCCGCAAAACTCAGTCATTTGCGTGGCATCCTAGTGCTTTTGGAGGTTGTGGCTATGATGTGCTCAGTAATGCAAAATACTGATCCGGATGCTAACTCCTCGACTATACGGATATGGACCGGAGAACGCGCACAATTTTGCTTGGACTCTCTTCGCGTTCTGACGCTCGTGGTTCCCACTTTGGCTAGTGAGGTATGCTCGACAGAAGTATCCTTAGACGAGGGTAGCACTTCCAAGCAGCTTGGGATGGCGATTCTGCTGGAAATTGCAATGAGCAGCAATCCAAGAGACTCGGAGTTGGTTCGGGATGCGCTGCGAGTATTCTGCAATTGTGTGTCTCCACCTCACCACGAAGACTGTTGGCAACACCCTTACAAAGACATCCGGCAGTACACATTGACTGCTAGAAGCATGAGAACGAAGAAAGATGACCAGGCGCAACGCTCAAGCTCGGAGACAACAGACCAAGGACCGAACGCGGCTACGCCCGATAACTGTTCGAACTGCTGTTCTAAAGCTAAAGATGACAAAATGTTGCGGCCTGTGCGAAAATTGGCGAGGGAGAGAAATGCGATCAAGGTGTGTGTCTATCTACTTCGGTACAAGCGGTCGGTGCAGAATGCAGATGCAATTCGACTTCTGGCGACGCGTGCGCTGCTGGGGTTATCTCGCGACCGGCACATTTCCCAAATTCTTGAGAAGATGCAGGTCGGGCAACTACTGTCCGATATGATTCGTAGTGATCCAGTTTTGGAGGAAAACGCTGACATTCACGTGCGCTTTCGGGAATCTGCCTTGGATTTGATTTCTCACGTGACGCATCGAGCGTCCAACGTCGTGATCAACGAGGCAACGGACCCTACTGTGAGGAAAATTGAAAAGGCAAGCATCGTTGCAAGTACCAAGATTACTTACGACGAGAATGAGTTACTGCGTCTAATTCACGACCATCTCGTCACGAAAGGACTGCATCACGCTGCATCTGCTCTTGTTGACGAGGCCAAGATTCACGTTGAGAAGCAAAGGAAAGTGTCTTCGGCTGGCGATTGCCGAACTGAACCAAGCCTGGTTAATGGTGGAACAGCTTCTTCAGATCAGACGAGCTTTACACCACACAAGAAGCAAATAGTTGCTAATCAAGACGTGCCCCTTAGCGTTGCAAGTCGACGCGAAAGTGGGTATCTAAGCGGGGATGACACACCGCGCCCGAAAAAACTGCAGCGAGTTTCATCGTTGGGTTCGATTGTGCCAGAGCTGAAGAAAGTTCAGGTTGCAGAATCTGCTCAGGGTTCTCGTCTATCAGTGAAAATATCCCGACCGGTAGATGGAAAAGTTAACGCCGCCACTCCAGCTACTCCTTATTGCCAATCGAGGAAACGAATGCGTCAGGCTTTCTCCAGGCCACATCTTTTTCAAGATACTTCGTGCAAGCAGTCAGTAACTTCCCCAAGGCTCGTCTCGGGGACATCATGCTCTGACGCTCTTCAAAAACTCCCAATTAATACGCGATGGAGTGCAAATGGCGAAGCTACAGCGGTGACCGCATCGAGCAAGTTGGACGATATCATAAGGCATTACTTGCGAGAACAACACCGCCAGTGCGCCAACCCTGTTACAACAGTGCCGCCGTTTAAACTGCTGGGTAAAGGTTCGTTGCATCGGTGTCCGGATCCTCCAGCAAATATGTCGTCGAACTTGAGCATCTGTTCGCGGTTATTGCGTCGAAGTCGAACGGGGTATCGTGCTGGTCCACATGCCTTTTCAACGTACTACGCTGATGCCGGAATTGACCGCTACGTGTTTAGTCGATACCGGCCATATCGCACTGTAGGTGCTCACGTTGGATCGTTCGCCTGGGGTGGGGTGAGTGTCGCTCGGTTCTTCGGAAAAGATCAGCAAGACATGCTGATTGCCAACCATGACGGAGAATTACGTCAATTCAATATCGGGTCTGACGAAGTCGTTGAAGAATGGACGTGTCACCCGCCGTCAAGCGCAATCGTCGACTTGGAAACGAATGAGTCGACGTCCATTGGCGCCCAAAGTCGCCTAATTCTAACAGGGGCAGTCGCTCTCTCAGAGCTTGCCGTGAATGAAATTGGACTGTGGGAAGCAAACGACATGAGTGCGCTAGTGGAGCGTTGGCGATTTAAAGGCGGGCTTCGACCTCAATTTAACCATTACGGAGATCGGATCGTTGCACTCGACGCTCGCCCTGTGGACGAAGAGGATGAGTTAGATAACCTCGGTATCACTGTCAAAGGTGCTGTTGTGCTCGATATCGCTACTGGAGACGTTCTGTGCGACCTGAAAGATGCAACGCGCTCCAATGACTACGGAGCAGAAACTAATTGTTGCTTCTCGCCTTGTGACGGGACTATTCTCACGGATGGAATGCTTTGGGATGCCCGTATCCCTACTCGCGCGTTGTACAAGTTTGACAAGTTATCCAATGTCGGTTGTGGCTTTTTCCACCCTAACGGAAACGAGGTGATCGTCAACTCAGCAGTATGGGACCTCCGTACATATCGTCTATTGCGCATGGTACCGGCGTTGGACAAGTGCACCATTAAGTTCAATCCTTCCGGTAGTGTCTTGTTTGCATACTATCCGTACGCTGGGGTAAGTACAATTCTGCTTGAGATAGCTGGGTGCAAACGGTCACTGACTTGTTCTGACTGTTCTACCAGGGCGATTATCTGGAGCGCCGAAAAAGCAAGCTCAAGTCGTGGTTTCGAGTTTTGGACTCGCGAGACTACAAAGATATCACGACGATCGATCTGGGTCGACCTGTGTTTGATATTAGTTTAAACACCAATGGCACGCTGCTATCTGTTGTTGAAGGGCGCTACCTGGAGGCTGGTGACGTCGACGATGATGATTCGATTTGCCGTCTGTACGACGTCGGCAGAAAACGCCCAGCGGAGGACGACTCGGATGCAGAGGACGGTGACGATGAGTCCGACACGCTGGACGACGATGAATACGACGATGAAAACTCTAGTGATGAAGACGACAATATGGACGAAGATGAAGAAGATACTGATGAAGACGTGGAAGAGATGTCCGATTCTGACTTAGAAGAAGCCGAAGATACAGAAGATGAAGACGGGAGCGAAGATGATGACGATGAAGATGCTGCTGCACACATCCTTGCTATCGAGGGTGACAGCGGCGATGAAGACGGCAACGGCTCGATCTTGTCGACTCACGATCTTGGCTATTTGTTGGAGCTTCCTGATACTACGTATTACGAAGTTCATGGCCAATACTCAAGCGACGAAGACGACGCTGAAGAAGACGATTAGAGTGCAGACTATCAGTGACTACAATGCCAGTGGCTGTGAAAATTATGTAGAAATATGACCAGGCTTTGTTACTGGCCGATTGCGTTTGCTTGCAGAGATTGTTCGCAGGGGACTACTCCCGATTTATCTGTAAGCTGAAACGAAGTTGAAACGACAGGCTTCCGCTCGTGCTTTGGCGCAGTTGCTTTTTTTTCGGAAGCCCGAGCATGGCGACCAAGCCTGAAGTGGATGTGGAGACACTAGGCGATAAGCCTGTGCTGCTGAAGCGGAAGGACTTTCTAGGGAAGGAAAAGGCGGCCCAGAGCCACCCCAACCGGACCTACTACTACCGCCAGCCTACAGATCTGCAGCATGTGATCGACACATCCACAAGTCTTCTTGTACGTGAGCCAAAAGATGTGAAGGTACTACTAGCTCGAGGCCAAGCGCTCTTTAAGCAGGCGAACTACGAACAGACTATTCGAGATCTCACGGAGGTCGTGACTCTCGACAGCGCAAATGCCGCTGCCTTTTACACACGAGGGCTGGCATACTCGAAGCTCGACAAAGTGGAGCTGGCGATCCGTGACTTCTCGCGGGCCCTTCAAATCAACCCAGAGCACGTGAACGCTGCATATGCCCGCGCGTCGTGCTACAACTCACAGGGAGATTTCGTTCGAGCGATTGATGACTACAACTTTGCGTTGCTGAAGGACAAGAAGCTGAAGCTGCAGCAGAAACATCAGCAGGAACTGCATCGGTCGGCGACACTAACACGGCAACAACTGCAACGCCAGAAGCAGCAGCAAGATGAGAATGCCAGCAACGCGTTCATTTTCTCCCAGCGATTAAAGAAGTCGAACCTGAAACTACAAAAGACAGCAGATGGTGAAAGCGACAACAACGATGAAGGTGGACCGCGAGAAGAGAAGACTGCTGCTCCGTTGGGATTCTCCTCATTCGCTGATTCACGCCATGCATTCTCAGAGGCTAGTTCAGCATCGAGTGAAAACCACGCGATGCCAACACCACGCAGTGCAATTCTCCTGCCTCCATCCCCAGCTTTATCCTCGTTTTCTCCTTCGGATCGACGAAGATCACTTCCCACTGAAGCAGTATCTGCTAGCAAAGCGGCAGCAACGTCCACGTCGGTCACTGCGTCTGCACGAGAGGAGGCGGAGGTACATCACGCGAGGGGTTTCCAGTATCGGCAGGAGGGCAACTTCCAGGCTGCAGCTGACGAATACTCGCGAGCGATTCAGCTAAACCCTCAGCATTTTAAGGCATACTTCAACCGTGGCTTCGTTTATGACAAGATGAGGCGGTTTGATGCCGCCGTGGAAGACTACACGCAGGCGTTGAAAATGGACCCACATAATGCCTTCGCACTCTACAATCGAGGAATCTCCCTAGATCGCAGCGGTGATTACCAGGGTGCTCTCGCTGATTTCACCCGCGCGATTGAGCTGCTACCGACCAACGCCGACTTCTATCACAACCGGGGGTTCTGCCACCGCAAGCAGGGCAACTTCGAGCTGGCCATCGCTGACTATTCGCGCGCTATCGAGTTCAACCCGGAACACTTCAAGTCGCTGTATAACCGTGCGTACTCATACGACAAGCTGGGCCGCTACGAGGAAGCGGTGCAGGACTACACAGCTGCACTGCGCGTCGAGCCAGAAAATGCCAACGCGTATCACAACCGCGGCAGCACTTACGACAAGATGAAAGACACTACCCGGGCCATCGCTGACTTTGACCGTGCTATCACTCTTCAGCCACGCTCCGTGTCGAGTTATAACAGCCGCGGACTTTGCTACGACCAGCTCGGACGTCACGAGGAAGCCCTTCAGGATTTCGCCCAGGCACTCGCACTCGATCCACGCAGCGCCGTATTTTACCACAACCGTGGCTACTGTCTTCGGAACATGGGGCGCTTCGAGGAGGCCGTTCACGACTACAGCGCTGCACTTGCACTCGAGCCGCGCAACGTTGCCGCCTACAACAACAGAGGCTATGCTCTTCGGAAGCTGCGTCGCTATAAGGAAGCCGTCGCGGATTACACGACGGCACTCACCATTGATCCACAGAATACAAGAACCCTAAGCAACCGAGCCTACTCGCAGGCCAAGATGCAGCGGTTCGAAGAAGCCATAGCCGACTACACGCAGGTGCTGGCACTCGACCCTCAAAACTCCTACTCACGTCACAACCGCGCCATTTTGACTGCCAAGTTGAAAGGTGGCGATGTAGACGAGCGAGACCTAAAATGAGCTGCACAAACATAAGGCGAGCAAAAGTTAGGAATCGATTATGTTCTCCCCTCTGTCGAGTCGTGTTCACATATGCATTCCTATATCAAGCGAGCTGCTATAAGCTGCGTCGCTGATGAACTTGCTGTTGATAAACGCAGGCACCTTGTTTCAGTTGCATCGAATTCTCTAAATCGAGTTAGTAACCTCGCATGTGAACGGCTTAGAACTTGAAGCCGGAGTGCATGGCCGTCACACCGAACGTGAAGTTGGTGTACGAAACGCGCTTGAAGCCGGCGTCCTCGATCATAGCTTTGAACTTCTCCTGGGGCGGGAACTGGCGGATACTCTCAACCAGGTACTGCGAACAACAACACCAAAGATACGTTAGCAACGACAATATCTCTACAAACCCCCTACGTACAACAAGATCATTTACCTGGTACGACGGTCGGTCATTGGCGACCTTCTCACCCAGCAGCGGGATCACATTGAAAGAGTACTGTCGTCACAACGCAAACCATACAGTCATAACCCAGCCAGCTCAACGACAACAGTCTCCCCCCTTTCACCCACGTACAGCGTCGTAGAACTGGCGAATGAGCGGGTTGGGCACCTGGCTGAACTCCATGCACATGAAGCGGCCTCCGGGCTTGAGCACACGGTAGGCCTCCTTGATGGCGCGGTCCACGTGCGTCACATTACGGATGCCGAACACGATGGTGTAGACGTCGAACGAGTTGTCCTCAAAGTCCAAGTGCTCAGCGTTGCCTTCCACCCAGCGGAAGAGCGATGGGTCGATGTGGGGCAGCACCTTGGGGGCGCGCTCCTCGCCCACCTGCAGCATGGACGAGTTGATGTCGCACACGGTGATCTCCGAGCCCTCGACGCCTCTGGGCGACTTGGCCAGCTGCTCAGCGATACGGAAGGCGATGTCTCCGGTGCCTCCAGCAACATCCAGGCACTTGAGAGGTCCCACGGGGTGCAGCGTGTCCACGAACGAGTCCTTCCAGACGCGGTGCATGCCGCCGCTCATAAAGTCGTTCATCACGTCATATCTAGCAAGTCGTCATAACAAGATATGAGAAACGTATTCGGTCATATCGATATAAAATTAGAGATTCTGTAGCATATGCCTACCGCTCGGCCACATTGTGGAAGACGGACGCCACCATCCGCTCCTTGTCCTCCTCAGGCACCTGCTGGAAGCCGAAGTGCGTCGTGGAGCCGGCGCTTGAGGACGCAGCGCCGGAGGACGAAGAGGCCGTCGACAGACTGCGCAGGAGGCTGGCGGCGCGAGGCGCGCGGCGCAGCACGAGCGACGGACGCATGGGCAGCAATATGACACTAACGCCAGCAGATCTGAGGTCGAGAGGCGACGTGCGTGGCGATGAAGCTCATAGCGGGACTAAGTACGAGTCAAAAACGTACCGATTTTACGGTACATGGATACATGTTGGCCACACGTCACAGATTTGCTTGCTGTCTGGGCAGTCTCTGGGTAAGGTATCCTACCTGGTGCAAGATTAGTGGTTCTCGTAGGCTTTATTTGTGTGTGTTCATATGGTTTTCTGTGGTGACGAGATACATGGTTGAAGAATCTGCCTTGTGCTGGAATTACGGGAAGCAGGCAATACTGGCTCTTGAAGTGGGGTCGCGTCAGCTGAGAGATCCGCTCCAACGTTCCTATCATACTCGCCAATTTAGCCGAGTGAGAAAGACGACGGAGTGTCATCATGGAGTTCGTGCACCGGGAAGGGTTGGTCCTTGAACCTTCAAGTGTTCTACAGTATCCACCCAACCAGCGTTGTTGCAATGACCTCGAGCTCATTATCCGCACCGTGAATCAACACCGAGCACCCCACCGACGCCATCGATGAAGCTCTGCGCGCCTCTCCTCGGACTAGCAGCCGCTACTGTCCAAAGCGCTGTCGCCGCCACCGATGTGTCAAGCTGCCTGTCTTCTTCTTCCACGGCCTCTCCGACGACTACACCGCTGGAGACAACTACGTGGCGAATCTCACTGCTGAAGGCCGCACGGTTGTGTCGCTCTCCTTCTGCGACTCCTCCTGCTCGTTCGAGTCTCTCGTGAAGCAAGTCCCGCTCGCTGTCGCCGCCGTGCGGGAGACGGTGGCCAACAACTCCGTGTTCGACGATGGCTACATCTTCATCACTCACTCACAGGGCGGCGCCATCTCACGAGCTGTGATCGAGGAAATGGACGACCACCAAGTGAAACGCTACATCAGCTTGGCCGGCGTTCAGAATGGCATCTTCAACGGACCCGACGATGCGGACGCACTCGCGGCTTCAGGACCCAGTTACCTGAACTTCATCGTTCCGGCCGAGGTCTACAACTTCAGCAAGTACTCGTCCGAGGATGTCTACGGGAAACTTGAGCGCGACATTGTCCAGTTCACGCTCGAGAACCCGGAGGTGCAGTATCAATACTCGTACTTCAATCTGCAGCGCTCCCCACAGTTCGGTTGCTGGGCATCCTCCAACATCTTCCTGCCCGTCCTGAACAACGTGAACCCGTGTCTGCCTGGAAATGGCCAGTGCGTCTACGACCAGCATCGTCGCAAGACCAACTTCTTGAAGCTCGAGTCCGCCTACTTCTTCATCTCACCCGAGGATGGAACCATTACGCCGTGGCAGTCGTCGATCTTCGGGCGATACTCGGAAGTCAAGTCGGTGAACGAGATCGAGACGAACTTCAGCAGCCTCTCGGTCGTCGACATGAAGGACACGCTCGAGTACACGTCGGACACGTTTGGCCTTCGCACGCTTGACGAACGCGGCGGCCTGTTCTTGGTGACTGCCGATAACGTGACGCACGTGTGCTGGTCCCGCGATGATGAGAGCTGCTCTTTCAAGGACGCATACGACACGTACATTTACCCTGTGCTTCACTAGACTGGTTTGCATACAGCCAACGAGCTCATTCTCGCAGTACCATTCAAGTAGAACGAGTAGTACTTAGTAGCGCTCCGCTAGGTATACTAGTAGTAAAAGCTTTCGCTGCTGCAGTTGTGCTGAGCCTCCCTCACTTTCTCAATCGTGTCTTTTCAAGGTTCGGTAGATCGAGATTTGCTTTTTGAGGTGCTGCTCGTTGAAATCGTGCGCATACTGAACCAACGTGGTGAGCTGCGGGCTATTGATGAGCAGGCTGCTCATCATTTCAGCCGCTAAATGTCTTACGAAGTACGAGTACTACAGTATCAGACCTTGGAACCTCAAAGAATTCGTCCACAAAGTTCCTTTCTTCATTCAGCCTTTGATAGTCTAGGGGGTGCATTAATCGCTTTGTAAGTACGCATTCACGAGATTCATCGACGCTGGAAGTGTCAAACGATATGAATGCAGCGATACCCGCGGCAGTCGTATGTAAAAAAAATTAATGCTGCTCCAATGGGCCTTAACGCTAGAGCTGTGTTATGCTTGTATACAACTACTTGTTACGCTCTCTCTCATGTAACCGCCGAATTCTATGCTAGCTGCTGCAAAGTGTCGTGGCTCTCACATCATGACTTTCAGCCATACAACTTCCTCAACTCTGCGGTGTATCTTTCCAAGAAGACGTCATCCGCCGTCGAGCGCATATTTAACGCCATTGCGACTTGGCTGGGCTCCATTTTCTCCGATAGCAGTTTGTTTCGCAGTGACGCCTCCAAACTATTCGCGAAGTGCTTCGTGTTCGGAACCGATTTCGCTGATTGAATCATTTCCCACACCGACTCGGGGAAGAACTGATGAGACAATGCCTCGATCACAGTAATTTGCTTGCTGGGCATCCTCGCGTTGTAGTAGTGCATGTACATGTGCCACGTGTTGAACAAAGGGCTTTCCAGGAGCTTGTCTGTCGTCTGAATATCCAGCACTTTGTAGAAGACGTAGTCTGGCGAATGGCCCTCGTTCAGCCACTCCCGGAACTGCTGACTCTGCAATCTAGACGCGAGTTTCTCCGTGCTGCGGTTCTTCTTGGCAGCCTCCAGAATTGTAGACAAGCCTTGGTCGCCATAATACTCCGTGAGTATCGGGGCCATCAACGTGTGCTCGTTGTATTTTTTGTTCAGGTCATCGACGTACTTGACCCAAGTGCTCCAGTTCGGATCGTCGAAGAGCTTCGTTCCCGCCGTACTGAGCTGAAACGCTGAGCTGAACAAATCACGGGGAGAATGACGTTCGTCCAGCCAAAATTGAGACTGTCCTTTTCCAACTTGAGGCCGATACTTTTCGTACTCATTGACCTCTTAGCATGGTTGATCATTGTCAGCACACGGTGCTCAGTGTACAGCTCTCTCAGTGCCGCGAACAGAGTCATCTTCTTTTCAGGGTACAGCATATTGTAATTTCCCAGGTACTTGGTCCACGTGCTCCAGGCTGGACTGGCAAACGTATCTTCGTACAAACGACGTTTGAACAAGAGGAGGTAGACGTTCTCAGGCGAATACCCGCTTCTAAGCCAGTCATGGAGCTGCTCAGCATGTAATCTCGAGGCAAGCTTCTTCGTCTCTGGGGCTAACTCCGCCTTTTCAAGCACTTTAACCAACCCTTCGTCAGCATAGTGAGCTTTGAGTACCTGGTACATCGAGACCTGTTTCGCAGAATGCATCGCATTATAATCGTCCAAGTACTTGGTCCAGATTTTCCAGTTGATGCTCGCAAAAATACCGTCATAGGAGTGCTGCTTGAACAGAAAGCGATACACGGCGCCAGGCCAATATCCGATCCGCGACCACTCTTGGAGTTGTTCGCCTTGCAGTATCGCGGCGATCCTCTCCGTCTCCGGAGATAACTTCGCCTTTTCAATCGTCTGGAGCAAAGCGTCATCCGTGTAGTGCTTTTTCAAGGTTCGGTAGATCGAAAGTTGCTTCTTTGGGTGCTGCTCGTTGAAATCGTCCACGTACTTGACCCTCGCGGTGAACTGCGGGTTATCGATCAGCGTATCAAGTGTCTTGTCAAGCTTTAGGGCCTCGAAGGATTCGTCCGCAAAGTTCCCTTTCTTCATCCAGTTCTTGATTGTCTGCGGGGAGACTTTTAGTGCCTTGAACGCACCCACGAGGCTCTCGAGGCTGGAAGTGCCGGGCACCCTCTCTTCATCGCTGACGGTGTAGCTGGCAATTCGTAACATCCTCTTGGCTGATACACCGGAATGGCTTGAGAGGGTCGAGCTCGTTATCTCGGACCCCCATCCATTGGCCAGACAGCTGAGGGAAGCGTGAAAACACTCCATAATGTTAGTAGTGGCACCGAGCAACAGCGACGCATGATGGTGCTTTGTAGCTGCCGTCAGTGTGCACCGCTGAGCGAAAGACAAAATGACAGGACGAAAGGGCCAAGTTAGCCTCCCGACACGTAACGCGAAACGCGTTGACTCCAATAAATCTGTTCAACTGTATCTTCGCGTCAGCTCGTTTCGCGTTTAGCAGATCAGTAGAAAGAGGGTGAAACCTTACCTTGACAAAGTACATGCAAGGCTTCATTTGCGTATGAAGTACCAACGCACACGTATAATGCTGAGATACTGCGTCGTAAAACACAATGACAGCTCCTAAGCCAGGCAAAACATCAATTTCGTCTCAATTCTCACGAATCTCAACCGATGCATCGTTCCGTCACTCCGTCTCCGCTACTCCTCCCCACCCAAGTGATGCCAAGAGCTTAATCTGCGCGGCCAGATAGAATGCCGTCGCCGTCGAGATAGGTTTGTCGCTTTTCTTAAACCCCTGGGGGATCTTCTCGTCCACCAAGAAGGACTTGGCATGCTCCACGGAGATGGTCTCGGACTCGTAGTCCCCCATGCCAATGAGCAGCAGCGCCGACTCACCATACGCCGCAGCTTGGCCCTTCACGGGCAGAGCGTACTCCGGGTTATCATGTTTACACTGCGCCTCTCGCTGCCGCCGCGCCGTCGCCATGGAATGTTTATCCAACTTTCCCTCCTTACTTCTAGCGAACAAAGCGTCCGCCAGCATGGCGTTAATGTGCGCTGGGTCCCCCTTAAAGTACGTGTCGTCGTGCACCAGCGACGCGTCGTGCTCGATGAAGCCGTGGACGCTCAGGTCCGCCAGCGTCAACTGCTGCGGCAGCGGGCGCGTTAATCGCTCCGCCAGCGTCTCGTCCACGTTGAAGACGTCCACAATGGCGTTGCGGATGAGCTCGGGCGTCAAGTTCTTGCCGTCGCGCGGCAAATAGCCGTGGTTGGCCAGCGAGTTGAGCGCTGGACACGGACTGCGGTGGTTGGCGGCGGAGTTGGGCGGCGGGAAGCCGGAGACGTCGGCGCCGGACGGGCGCGCGTAGTGGTGGTCGTCGGAGCCGGCCGTCTGTGCGGCGTCGGCCGCCGTGTGCACGCGCAGGTTGCTCGGCGGACGGGCGCAGCACGCGCGGGAGAACATGAGCAGCGCCAACAAGAGCCACAGCCGCGGTTCAGTCATCTGGAGTGGAAGATCGCAATGACTGGACCCACGGAATGGGCAAGTTGAAGTGGAAGCACATCAACTAGGGTTTGCGACATATCCATGTGTCAGACCCTAGTTGACACCCAAGTATCCGGCGCCAAAGAGACGCAATGTAGCAACATCAAGCGTCAATCGCTTCGCTCACCACCCCACAACGCAATTACCCGCTCGATAGATAGATAACTCCATGGGCGGGTCTTCGGCGTCCTCGTCCTCCTCCTTGGCGCTGTGGGTGGCGCTGCCCACGGCCGCGGCCGCCGCCGTGCTCGCGTACCTTCTGATCCCCGACGAGCGGCAGCGCGCGATCCGGCGGCTACCGGCGCCGGCCTCGACGCTGCCCGTGCTGGGCAACACGCTGGACATGATGAGCCTGGAGCAGCCGCGCCTGCACGACTGGATTGCCGAGCAGTGCAAGGCCTTCGGCGGGCGCACGTGGCGCCTGCAGGTCGTGGGCGCGCCGCCGCTCGTGGTCGTGAGCAGCGTCGAGGGCTTCGAGGACGTGCTCAAGACGCAGTTCGAGGTCTTCGACAAGGGCGACCGCATGAACACCATCTTCCGCGACATCGCGGGCGGCGGCATCGTGGCCGTGGACGGCCCGCAGTGGGTCGCGCAGCGCAAGATGCTGAGCCGCCTCTTCACCATGCGCGCGTTCCGCGACACCATCAGCCAGTGCGTGCACGACTACACGCTCGTGCTGGGGCGCATGCTGGGCGACGCGGCGCGCACGGGCGTGCCCATCGACTTCGCGGACGTCATGCACCGCTTCTCGTTCGACGTGTTCACGGACATCGCGTTCGGGCTGCAGGGCAACTCGCTCGAGGGCGGCGAGCACACGCAGTTCATGGAGGCCATGGGCAAGATCGTGCACAACATCGAGATGCGCTTCCACTCGCCCGACTGGCTCTGGAAGCTCAAGCGCGCGCTCAAGCTCGGCAGCGAGAAGGAGCTGGCCCAGGAGGTGGCCATCCTGGACAAGATGGTCTTCACCATCATCAACAAGAACATGGAGCGCAAGTTCAACCCCGACGCGGCCGCGGCCGAGTGGCCCCCGCGGCCGCAGCGCAGCACCAAGGACGTCGTATCGCTGTTTCTGGACGCGCACGACGAGCAGAAGGCGGCGGGCGAAGACGGAGGCGACACGCCGCTGGACGCCAACTTCCTCAGGGACATCGCCGTCGTGGTGCTGCTGGCCGGCAAGGACACGACGGCCTGGTCCATGTCGTGGCTGATCATCATGCTCAACCGCAACCCGAAGGTCGAGACGAAGCTGCGCCAGGAGCTGCGCGAGAAGCTGCCCAAGTTGTTCAGCGACCCGAGCTACGTGCCGACCATGGATGACGTGGAAGGTCTCGTGTATCTGGAAGCCGTGCTGCGCGAAAACCTGCGCCTGAACCCGCTGGTGCCTCTCAACGCCAAGGAAGCAAACCGAGACACGACGCTCGTGGACGGCACGTTCGTCAAGAAGGGCACGCGAGTGTACATTCCGTCGTACACGTTGGGCCGCATGAAGAGCGTCTGGGGTCGAGACGCATCCAAGTTCAAGCCGGAGCGGTGGCTCATGCAGGATCCGTGGACTGGCGAGCAAACCATCCGGCCGGTGTCGGCCTTCCAGTTTGTATCTTTCCACGCCGGGCCGCGCACGTGTCTGGGCATGCGGTTCGCCATGTTAGAGATGAAGACTGTCCTGGCCTACATGCTCAGCAAATACCACTTCACAACGCGCGAGAACCCCAAGAGCTACACGTACGACGTAGCGTCGCTGCTGCAGGTCAAGGGCCCGCTCATTTGTAAAGTACAGCGAGCCGGCTAGACTTCGAAGTTGCGTCTATAGCGTTAGGTCTGGCCGTAGAACCATCGTGCATGCATCTCTTCTCCATTAATCTAATCGAATACAATCTAGAGCCTACGCACGGCTCCATGGACAACACTAGAGACTGGCTGGTGCCATCAATGGTCGATATGGAGCTGCTGCGCTCAATTCGCGCTACCGTCTTTGCAGTCGTCCATTGTCGAATTCGCTCGACCGGCTTAACATCTCGCCATGAAGACCACCGCAACGTTGTCGGTCGCATTGACATGTGGAGCGATCGCAGTGGCCCTCAACTCGCTCTTCTTGGTCGACAACTCGACTCCGTCCTCGGTGTTTCAGTCGCTGACAACGGGGGCGCACGAATACTTCCGACCTGCAGACGACCAGGTCTGGGGGCTCCCGGGGAACAGCTCGTTCGCGTACTTCCGCAGTCCGTGTCCAGCGCTCAACACTCTGGCGAACCATGGCCACATCCCCTGCGACGGGAAGGAGCTGACCCCAGCGATCCTGGGCGAAGGCATCATGAAGGTCTACAACTTCGACAAGAGGCTGCTGGACCTCATCTTCCTAGCGATGCCGCCGAACTTCACGCTCGCCGACCTGGGAGACCCCAACTTCATCGACCACGACGCGTCCTTGGTCCACGACGACTCGTTCTTCCAAATGGCACCGTTCAAAGTCAACAAGACCCTAGTGGACGAGCTGCTGGCGAGTGCTGAAGTTATCGGAGACCGTGGCGGTCGTGCTCTCACGAAACACGCGGTGGCCCGCTTCCGCCGCCGCCGGGAGGTCGAGTGCGCCCGAGATAACCCGGAGTTCAGCATGAGTGCTTTGGCGAGCTTCGTGGCCAACGGAGAGGCGTCCTTCCTCTTGCAAGGCCTGGGCGACTTCAACAGCGCGACCATTTCGGTGGAGCACGCGCGCTCGTTCCTCGTTGATGAACGAATCCCCGCCGACTTCCGTCCATCCAAGACGCCAATCACCATCACGAGCGTGCTGCTCGCCATCGCAGAGCTCAAACTCCGGGCCTGGCTTGGCTAAGGTGGGCAGTGTCTTGCCTATATTGCGAGTCCATGGTCCACTTTGAAAATATCCCGTGCGATCTGGTACCTTGATCATATCCCACGTACGTAGCGAAGGTATTCAACCCAGGATCAGTTCCCAGCCACGTCCTTTGGTTCACTCTTCATTTTATCTCGTTCCTGGTCATGGGCAAACAAACCGTCAACTCGGCATTCCTCGTCTTGGTGCCGCTGCTAGTCGCAGCGGTGCTCAACGCCTTCCTCTCCTCAAACCATGTTCCGGTGGTCGTGCCACAGCATTTGGACCTCACGTGGGAGCACAAGTACTTTCGACCGAGTGGCGACGACGTATCGGGAGTCAAGGGTAACCCAGCCAAGAACCACCGCAGCCCGTGCCCAGCACTCAACGCCCTGGCAAACCACGGGTATCTCCCGCGCGATGGCAAGAACGTGACACCTCACGTGCTTCAAGACGCCCTTGTGGAGGTCTACAACCTGGATCAGTCACTAGCAGAGTTTCTAGTGAGCACTTTGGCCGACAAGTTCTCGCTCGCCGACCTGGGTGAGCACAACGTTGTGGAGCACGATGCCTCGCTCGTCCATGATGATGCATGCATAGGAACGGACCCGTCTTCCGTGAACATGACGTTGGCTAGCAGTCTGCTTGCACGTGGCAACAAGGATCAGTGCATCACCAGGATGACGTTGGCTGCGTATCGTCGCGAGCGTGAGGCTGAGAGCGCCGCTAATACTCCCGACTTCGAGGAGACATTCACCGCCCAACGAGCTCTCACGTCCTATTCCGAGTCCGCGGTCATGCTGCTGGTCATGGGGGATGAGGCCACGACCAGCATCTCAGTCGACCACGCTCGGTCGTTCTTGATCCAAGAGAGGATCCCAGACGACTACGAAAAACCCAAGGTACCTGTCACACTGTTCCGGTCGCTGTGGATCACGCTGCAGCTGAAGGTGCTTGCTTTGTTGTCTCCTATACTAGGCTAATGGTTGTGAATAACGCCATTGAGAACAAAAATGAATCAATTGATTTACAAGTTCCTCATCTCTCTCACCTTGCATAGGCAACCCGGAGCGTTGCTCCGGGAGGGTACACAGGTCGACGAATAGTTTCATGATAACGGATAATAATTGAGTAAATCCCAAAGTTGTTTTGTTTTTAATCCTTAAAAGCACTACCAGCCCAACTCTCTAGTTGATTCTAACGTGGGCATCTACTGCGCCTGCCCGAGAATGCGTAATTGAACAAATAGTTGCGCACATCGAAGTGTATCGATACTGTTTCAGCCAAACCTTTGTGAGGCTGGTAACCAGCAAGCCCCGCCCTTCTTTATCGTGGTGGGTTCTCAGGAACCGAAAGTCACCAATTGGCTGCGTTGGCGCCAGCAACGAGAGAGCTACACTCCACGACAAAAAGATATGGACACCACCAAAAGTGGCTGTAACTTCGTCATTTTTTATCGTTTTAAGGTGCGGTTTGGACTAGAGTTGCAGAACACGCTGAAAAAGATCTGCACGCTGCTAACACGCGCGCTTTTGCGCTTCTTCGGGTAGCTCACATACAAATCACTGGTTCTGCCCAGGTGGCAAAACTTATGGACAGCTAATCCCCATACAAAATCCTATATAAACCAAAACCCCTTACAAATGATACGACTTGGACTTTGTATGGGGCGACAAAGAACCAGCCTCACCGGGATACTCGTGACGTTAGACAAATATCTGATGGTATTATCGTGTACTAGAAGGTGTGTTTAGTAACCTGTAATAAATTCATCGACCATCGCACAAAACTGAGCAAGTAGTTAGCAATTGAAATTTCGAGTGGTGGCTACCATGTATTATCTGATGATTTGCGAGGCACGTTCAGTTGCATACTAGTTAGTGTCAATTTGTAGCTCTGTATGCTGCTATCTCATGGATATACGATTGTCTTCTCCATTCTAAACTGTTGGTAGATGATATATGGCTCAGTACTAAGGTAGAGTGGAGAAATCATGGGTTCCTTTGTCGCCCCATACAAAGTCCAATTCGTATCATTTGTAAGGGGTTTTGGTTTATATAGGATTTTGTATGGGGATTAGCTGTCTATAAGTTTTGCCACCTGGGCAGAACCAGTGATTTGTATGTGAGCTACCCGAAGAAGCGCAAAAGCGCGCGTGTTAGCAGCGTGCAGATCTTTTTCAGCGTGTTCTGCAACTCTAGTCCAAACCGCACCTTAAAACGATAAAAAATGACGAAGTTACAGCCACTTTTGGTGGTGTCCATATCTTTTTGTCGTGGAGTGTATTTCATTCATTTTGCAGGTAAGGTATACCGTGCCCATTTTTGTACTGTTGTGTGCTAACGATCAGACGAGAGAGCTACAGTAGCGGGACGAAGGAGAGACGCATGGTGCGCTGATCTTGACCATTTAACTTGAGGATGTTAGCTAAGTGACAATAATGATCCTCAATTCAAAAATAAAACAAACAAACAAACTTTTAACTTGAGGGTTTGGGGGATAAATTGCGGAATGAGATATACGCTAATGGCCAATTCCTTGGAAGTGGGTGCTTCAACGCAGGGAAAAAGTCTTGTTCAAACGAACGATGCTCGTGTCACTGTCGAGTTGAGCTGATTGGTTTGGCGACAGACACGAGGTTGGGCATCTTCGGCTAAGAGTGATTGGGTATTGAGCAAATTGACATGTAAAAAATGCAGCCTGTACCTAGCAAGTCATGTTGGTCATCTTCAGCTAAGCTTAGTCGATTATGGCGCAAACTGATACGCCTTCAGCGAAGCCATGACGCTCTCATACTGTACTAGAGCCAGAGCTGGAAAAACCTGTTGATTTTCAAAAAATGAATTAGGTTCTGGGTTTTTGGGTAGGTTTAAACTGATTTTACTGGTTTTAAACCAGACATCGTCCACTGTCATACTCACTCTGATGTATCACCCTATTCACCCCAACGCATCTATAAGGTGCTTACCTTACTAATTAATATGTTGTTGTTCGTTCCGATGTGCATCACTGATGCAGCATCCGTTTCTTTAGGTCCGATACGCATGCACGGGTTCGCCTTGGCTAGTCGTGATCGTCAGTTCTATTATGTACGACGAACCCGTATGCATCGCTGCTAATGCACTAGCGTCGACTTTGTAAGCCTCGATAAAGGTGCTCGTTGACGCATCGAGGCGCACGCACAACTCATGAATGCCTTTGCCAAATGCAATGGATGCACGCACAGAATGCAATTATTGCTGATTGTGTTCATGGCTGACAGATTTCAATTGAAAATCACCAATTTTCCCCCATATTCCTCTTCATCCAGATTGAGACACAGGTGCGGATGCATCTCTTTAGCCCCGTTCTTCGTTGCTGGTTAAAGCTTCATTTGACTGATAACAGAGTAGCAGCGTCATTCAATCATAAATCAGGGGCCTCTGGCGTTCTCCCACACAGGGCATACTGGCCCTGTGTGGGAATGGTTACAACCCCACGTCGATCGTAATAAGCCAAACTCGGCTAAAACACGCCCCGCCGCAATATATCTATGTAGTATACCAGCATCCTGTGTAGATGCAACGAGGAAAGTCGCAGTAAGTAGTAACTTTGATGAAGTTGAACCTAAGACCCAGCAAAATTCGACTGGTAGGTTTTTGAGTTTAAACCAGGGAAAAACCTAAACCCAAATTGCCAGTGCAGGTTTTGGTCAAGAATAAACGATTAGTATCCACCTTTGGTAAATAATGTGCATAAATTTTAGCATTTATCGACGGGGTACCCGATTCCGGCAGATTTTAGCTTAAACATTAAAATTAAGAAAGAGAGACCCGGTTTGGTACCCGGTTTTGGAAAGTTACAAGTTTTTTGCTGGGGCCAAGCACAGGTCTTCCGACCTGTGAATTTCTTTCTGCTCAGTAGATGGCACGCAGAAGGCGACTGCCGTTGCAGATGGATGTAGCGGCGATGAAGAAGGTAAAGTGGCTTTGCTTCTGGTTCAAGAAGCGGAACGCTGTCAGCTCTGCGACTGTCACACCGCCAACGTAGTATACCAGCACATTGGTGCGTTTACCGCCGTTCGCACTGTCATAGTTGGAAGCAGCCTCGGACGACATGCTGTGGTGGCTGCTGGAGTTGTTCCCACTTCCGCTCCCCAGACTCAGCAGTGACGATGTCGGGTCCTTCGCCAGCGTCTTGTACTTCATGCCGAGCGATTCTTGTAGTAAGCGAATACTCATTGGCGCGTAACCCGTGTAGGGGAACATAAAGTGAATATCCGAAGGATGTCTGGTGTCCTCGTCATCCAGAGCACCGCGCATTAGCAGAAGCTGCTTGCGCATTTTAGGGAAGTCGAAGCGGTTCTCGACAGAGAGCAGATCCATCTTCTCCAATTGCACAAGCAGCGGCAGAATTTGGTGGCCGTAAGTATGGCAAAGCTGCTGGCGATACCAGGCCAGCGTGTCTGGCTTAAGTCCGCCGCGGACGAGAGAGCACAGACAGAGTAGCTTGATCACGTCGTAGAGATTCAGCGGAGGCTCACGCAAGATAGCCTCTTCCAAAAAGCTGTCCACGTCCTTGGCCGCTGCTGATGACGCACTCGGGCCAGCACTCATGATGGTCATTTCTGTCTCGACGCATCCACGCAGTGCAAGCTGCGTGCTCAGCTCTCGGATACGCTGCACAAGCTGCAAGTGGTGGGCCAACGATCGCTTCTTCTTCACCAAATGCGGCGCCTTGGCCAAGAGAGCCTTCACCTTCTGGAACGCTGCCTGGCTGTCCTTTGGTAAGTCAGCACTGGACCCGGCCGAGCTGCCCCGCACTTCTGTGGCCAAGTCTTTGGCGACATCCACGAGCTGGTTGGAGACCAAGTTGAAGTTCACGTCGCGGATCTCGTCGAACAGCGCGTCGAGGTGGTTCAGCACCACTTTCTGCGTCGTCGTGGTCGTTGTCGACTCCTCTTTGATACTGCTGCTAGTGCTTGCAGCGTCCTCCGCGTCCTCCTCCTCTTTCTCGTACGTGACGACGCCATGGTTCACGCCCACGAGCGCATCCAGCAGTCCTTCATACGTCATGGGCGTCAGCAACATAGACAAAGGGTCTTCCATGCGGTCAATCACTACCAACTTGTCCATGGGCGCAGCCACATCGGCCTCCAGCTCCTTGGTCCCTGCAGCTCGACTCATCTTGATCTTCTGCTGCTGCCGATGGGCCAGCTCCAGCATCTTCTTGACCCTCTGAGCGAAGAACCCATGGCACGTGACGTCCAAGATCCTCCGACCCGTGTGTCTCTCCACGGCCAATACACTCTTGACGACGTCCGTCAGCGCCCTGCTGTCCCCCTTCACATAGAGTTCTCCGAAGACACTGTCGTGACACAGCGCCGCGACGCCGCGGTCCACTGGGATGAGGCCCAACGCCAAGTTGGCCTGGCGGATGAAACCCGCCACACCCTGTCGCTCCATCTCCAGCGTCACGTCGGAGGTGGCCGAGGGCAGCCACAGCACGGCACAGTGGCGGGTCGGCACGAGCTCCAGCGGCCGGAGGGCGTCGGCCAGCCGCTTGGCGACGGTGGGCAGCGGCGGCGCGACCACAGCCACGTCCAGCGTCTTCTTCCCCTGTTCCTGGTTGGCCTGCGGGTCCTTGGAGATGTCCAATTGGCGCTGCAGCTGCGCGACGTCGCCCGTTTGTAGCTGCACACTCAGCAGGCGCGAGATCCCGAGCTTCTCGTAAAACTCGCTGCCCCCCGAGCCGTACGCGAGCAGCTCGAAGATGGCCAGCTGCGAGGCATCGACGGCGAGGACTACCTTCCCTCGGGACGAGCTGGCCGCGCCTAAGGCCAGCTCAAGGGACCGGGAGAAAGCGGTCAACGCATCCGACTTCAGCGCGGCTTCCAGCTCCATTGTTGATCGGTACTGTACGGTGATTTATAGGATTGGTATTTAGTCCAGCTGGACCTATTCTCGGTGTTCGTCATTTGATTTTAGTCCTTGAAGGTATGCATCTACGTGTACGACAAGCTCAGCTACCGCTCATAAGTCCGCCGACTGCTGCGGAGACTTGGTCTCCACGAATCCTGCTGACTTGGGCTGCTGGCCGCCGCTGTGGAACAGCGCCTCGATGTCTTCCAGCATCATGCCCTTGGTCTCCGGGCAGAAGAAGTACACGAACACGCCGCAGATGCAGCACAGACCCGCGAACAGGAAGAACACGCCGTTGATGTTGAGGTGCGGGAAGAGCTTGACCACCTCCGTCATGACGGCGCCCATGGCCCAGTTGGCCGCAGTCGACAGCGCCACGGCCGGCGCGCGCACGCCCAACGGGAAGATCTCAGCCGGGTAGATCCAGCACACGGGCCCCCACGAGATGGCGAAGTTGAACACGAAGAAGGCCGTGCCCACGGCGATGAACCAGCCGCCCACCTTGGGGCAACCCGCGTTGTCCACGTTGCCGTCGCAGATAACCGTGAACAGGATGGCAGCGAACAGGTGACCGACGACCATGCCCACAGCGCCGATGAGCAGAAGCTGGCGGCGGCCGAACGTGTCCACCCATCGCATGGCCGGGATGGTGCTGAGGAAGTTGACGCCCGAGAGGAAGAAGGCCGCGTAGATGCCGGCGTTCGTGATGTCCTTGAAGATGAGAGCGCCGTAGCTGAAGATGGGGTTGATACCCGTGGCCTGCTGCAGCACTTGCAGCATCATCGCGATGGCCACGCGCTTGAAGATGGACGGCTCGAGCAGCTCCGTGAGTCCCTTGTTGGCGGCCAGCTCCTCCGCGACCTGGTCGCCGATCACCTCGAGCTCGCGGCCCACGTTGTCGGTCTGGCGGAGACGCTTGAGCACGCGCTCGGCCTCCTCCTTGCCCTTGTGCAGGTACGTCCAGCGAGGACTCTCGGGCACGAAGAAGATGCCGAGCATGACCACGATCGGCGCCGCCATGGCCACGCCGTTGGTCGTGCGCCAGCCGTTGTCGTGGTTCTCCACGATGATGTTGACGACGTTGGCCAGGAAGAGGCCCGTGACGACCGTCATCTGCATGAATCCGGAGAGCAGGCCGCGCAGCTCCTTGGGGGCCATCTCGGCGCCGAACAGCGGCAGCGAGAACGACGAGTTGCCCACGCCGAAGCCCTGGATCACGCGGGCGATGTACATGAGGCCGTGCTCCTGCGCCTTGTTGAAGCAGACCCACAAGGTGCCGACGCAGAACAGCAGGCCGGCCGTGAAGATGGTCCAGCGGCGGCCCAGCTTGTCGGCCACGATGCCGCCGATGAAGGCGCCCACAAGGCAGCCCAGGTTGTACGCCATGTTGTACCAGACCGTGAAGTCCGTCCACTCAGCCGGCAGGTCCGACGAAGACGACGTGCACTGCTCGTACGTGAAGTTGTGCCAGCCGACGCAGTAGTCGTTGATGAACGAGTCCATGATGAGCACACCCGAGGTCACGCCTTGGTCGTAGCCGAAGAAGAGGCCACCCAGCGCGGCGAACACGCACACGATGATGGCGTAGGTGCGCGAGCCCTCGGTCGGGACGTCATCGTCGTTGTTGTGGACGTTCACCACGACGCCGGCAGCCATTACGAAGGGGAGGGAGTGGAAGCGAGGTAGCTGTAGAGCTTGCTTGTTGGGGGTGGTTATGCCTTTTGCGGCAGGTGGAGAATCGCACAATGACTGAAGCGGTGGCACGGTCGGTGGAGCTGTGGTGGTAACGATCGCTTCAAGCGATTCGCTTGAGTCGGGTGGATGTGTACATATGTTTGGGAGAGGGCCGCAGAACTTGATTGAGGGCGAGCTGCTGGCTTGAGGTGGGCCTGCAACATGGCCCGACAGCGACCAAGTCTCAAGCTCAGCGCATTGCGTCAACAGCTGGGGGGGGTCAGTGTTAAAGTTCGCGGCGACTTAGGATCGCCGGGACGTATTGTCCTGCTTTGCACGCTGCGGGAGTGTCTCTGTTCGTCACCAGTCAGTCGGCGCGCACACCACTTGATTTATTTGGCACCACGTTGAAGGCCGTGGCGCACGAGCGTGTTGCTTTCCTCTTCGTTTATCGTTTGTACGCGCAACGTGAGCCTCGGGATGAGCCAGTGATGAGTCTGGCGTTTTAGTGCGTTGTTCGAAGTGGATATGAAGTACACTCGTACATGTATTGTGCTTTGCAAACGTTTTGTCGTTTTGACTTGGAGCTCTCCTCGATTTATCATTAGTCGAGGTCGATTTAATAAAACGAGGTCAAAGAAAGGGACAGATCGATCTATTTAGGCCAGCTAATAACTCGAGCTACGACAATCCAAATCAGGGCTCGAGGTCGATCACCTGGTGGATCTGGGCAGAACGAGGTCGATCTACGGTAAATCGATCCCTTTTGCGTTTTCAAAAGCGCAATTCGAGGTCGATCTAAGTAAATCGAGCTACCGCCTCTGTTTTGTACCCTGATTTGTGGACCGGCCTTCCTCGATCTAGGCCATAAAACGGGGCGACATTTTATCTGCAAAGCACAATAACTGGTGCACCAAAAACTATGTTGGTTTTGTCCGAGTTGGACTTCGAATTCGTACACGTTGCTTTCTGAAGTTTCTGCTTGGTGCATTACAATTGTACCACGGCAAATGTTCATTGTACACACGAATTGATGTGCTGCACCACAATGCATTCGAGAACCTCCGCCGTAAAGTTTCGATGCAGCGGAGACCATCGATTTGTTCGTCCCTACAGTAGAAAACAATGCTCAAGCGCTATCCCTCTGGGCTTCTTCAAACAGGAATTGTTGAGGCTGTACATCGTCGAACGCCGCTTTGCTCAGCAGCAGTCTGGCTGAAGGAGTGTTTTAACGTCAAATCCGTGTGCACCTGTACCGTTTCAGCACAACATGAACTTCAACGTTACTTCATGCATAATCTGACCGTGTGGTCTTGGAGGAGGCAGAGCTTATTACCACAATGCATCTCTAGGATTTGCAGTGATATTGTGGCAAGATCGTGGTTATTTGCCACAAGCAACCACAATCTGCCACAATATCACAAGGAGGCTTGTGGATAATTGACACAAGCCACATAATCTTGCACACATGATACAGCTGGTTTCCGGATCTCGCCCACCTTCAATTTCACGTGGCGTTATTCTCAACGTTTTTTTTGTGTGGTGAACACAATCGCCTGCCTAAAGTGATGTGTGGACAGGAGACGTTGAAGAAGGTGGACACGCACGGAGGCCACTGCCACAACTAGAGAATGTAAAAGGATGGCCGAATTCGGTATCAACCGGTTGCATTCGAATGAAATCCGAATGCAACCGGTCAATAAAAATCCGGATTCTGATCCGGGTTCATCCGGATGCAATCCGAATTTGGTTTGGGACGTTTCTTTGTACACATTCTGATTTTATCCAATCATGATCACTCAAAAAATGTGTATCATTCATTACCCCGTGGTAGCCGATTGCTGATTTATTCGTATATAGAAGGATAATCCATAATGTAATAAGTCAAACAATCCGAATGCATTCGAATATAACCGGATTTATTCGATTTTCAGACCGGTTGAACCGGATGAGACAGAAATGCCAATCCGAAATCCGAATGTCATCCGATTAAATTCTCTAGCCACAACGGCTACAGTATGACCTGGTCCGTGATTGTAGTCTATAGTGTCGCGTTCGAAGTGGGTAGCTACGCAGAGCACACGAACTACCCCGGAGAGGCGCTGACAATGACATCTCTACTGTGGATTGTGGAGATTGTGGCGTAGATTGTGGCGTAGATTGTGGCGCAGATTGTGGCTTAAATCCCCGGACAAAATCATCATGAGCGACCCCGAAGGTTTCTCAAACACCGTATTGTTCCTCTGTGACTCTTTAACTCAGTGAGGTATTCGTTTTGCGTGCCGTTTAAGCTTAGACAGGAGGTTCTGCATGTCAACCATGTCAGACTCGCAGTCCGCGTGATACGATACGTATTTTAGATTCTTTTTGCGCTGAAAAACCACTTTACAAAGCGAGTTTACAGCTATTTCCAAGTACTCCGGTGCTGTCCGTTACGAATAAAAGCATGCCTTTAACTGGATGTCCCTTCAACAATGCCATTTGTCGGTCATCTCATCGCCAGTATTCGAGATCTTTCCTCCCTACCATAAAGGTCACACAAATATTTATAGTTTTTATATGGTGCATTTATAACTGAAAGAAAAATTACAGAGGCGCCCGACAACACGCCAACTTTAAGGATAAATTGCTCGAGATCTTCGTACATTTAGCGTTTCATACAGCGGCATTACCCAAGTTAGACGGGGTTTCTATCCATGACGGTCTCAACGTCTTATTGAAGAGTTAAATTTGCCGAAATCACAGCCCAGTTAAGAATGAAAGGTCCACAAAAAGCTATAAAAAGTCTTAAAAAAATCAACGATACTCGACTCAGTTCTTTAGAGAGAAGATTTTACGTAGCACTTTACAATAAGGTTGGAGATCGAAACGATACCAGCAGCAGCGAAAACGAATCACATAATTTGATTAGAGACACCGTATCCTACAGCGATTCCAGGACTATCGTTCTAGTCCCTCACCCAAACAAGTTCGCCATACCGTCAAAATTCCAACGGGGTTGGACTGCTTCCAACCAAAATCGGTCTAGCAACAGTATTAGGTTTATTGTTCAGCTGATATTTAACCTCATGGCCGCCGATTGGATTCTCGGCCAACAGTCCAGAAGCTTCCAGGTTAGTGCAGCGAGTCGTGCAACGCTGCTTGTGCTACCTGTGCTGACTGTGCTGCTGTTGTCTCTGCGTGTACACAGGCGCTGCTGGCCGCTGGGCCGCTTGCTGCTGGGCTGCGTGTGCTGCTGGGCCCTGTGTGCTGCTGGGCCCTGTGTGCTGCTGTGCCGCGTGTGCTGCAGTGCCGCCTGTGCTGCTGGGGCCTGTGTGCTGCTGGGCCGTCTGCGCTGCTGGGCCGTCTGTGCTGCTGGGCCGTGTGTGCTGCTGGGCCGTGTGTGCTACTGACGCCGGGCCACTTGCTGCTGGGCTATGTGCGCTGCTGGGACGTGTTTTGGGTTGCACCTGTGCGCTCTCGTGGCGTGTAGCTCAAGTGGCCGAGGGTTTGGACGAGGATGGTGCTGTTGATGGATGCGACTTACCCGCGCCCACGGAGCTCGTGAGGTTGAGCGCCAGGCCTTCGGGCCTGGAGGATCGGGTTCAAACCCCGACATGGGCATAAAGTATTATGTGTTTTTGCTTTCTGTTTGGACAGGTCAGCTAAGAGAGTGCGTGCTACGCCTGTTGTACGTATTGTGTATCTTATTGACTGTTTAGTGTGCTGCGTGTGCATTTAGGTGAAGCGCAGGAATGGCGGAAGGGCGGAATTGGGTGTCGGGTCGACGACTTCGCCTTCATAGTAGCGCTCGCGAAACTGGTCAAGGAGGACGGAAAGGTGGCCTGCTTTGTGAAGCGCACGCATGGCTTTGACGACCGAGCCAACGGCTACAGCCTGTGAGCCTTGTGCAGCCAAGTATTCAAGCGTCTTCTTCTCGGCTTCGACTCCAACAGCGTGGACCTCCGCCTTGTACGCTGGCGAGGCCGGGTCCAGCTTGAACCCAGAAGGTAAGCAGAGCATCATGAATGCAACTGCGTGTCGTGACTCGTGAAGGATGGCTTTGCTAACTGTTGTTGATTCGTACATGCGTGGTACAGCAGTGAACCACTCGAACCACACTGTCGATAGCGCTTTGGAGGCACGTTTGCGCGCGCGCTTTGGCTGCGACTGCTCAACGTCTTCGTGCTGCTGCTCGGTAGTGTTTGTTTTCTTGTCAATAGATTCTGCTTTCGTCCCCAAAACAGCCAGCCTTTCCTCTACGCGTGTTTGGCGGAGCAATAGGTCGTCGAGCTGCTGCGACAGCTTTTCGAGAACACGGAACATGTTTCGAGAGGACTCGGCCACTGTTTCTTGTTTCTCTTCTGCAGGTGGATTGAATGCAGCTCGGAGGGTGATCGACCATGTCAACAGCTCGGAGGCCTGTAAGTTGAGGACACCAAGGGCTTCATGAATGCGACGGACGTACGGGCTATCCAAGCGATGGCGTTCCATCTCGGGGAAGTGAAGGATCAAGGTCGCCATCAACACTTCGAGCACCTGAGGATCCAAGTTCCAAGACACTGTCGGGAAACCAGTGACAGCAGCGAAGAGGAGATCCTGCAGCTTCTCCACGCGCGCTCGGACAACTCCGTCCAGGGCGGTAAGGTCTGGAAGTCGGGCGCCCGCTTGCGGGTTCCACCCGCTCAATTGGCGCGCAACTTGTTGATCTTCGTGTGTTGTGTTCAGCATGTAGGAAAACGCCTTGCTCACGCGCGACATATTCCAGCCCCCGCGTTCAACAACCCAGTTCGGGCTAATGCGACTGTCGGCGTTGGCGTGCATGGCCCCACCTCTTCTGAAGGAGTGCGAGGTAAGTCCCTTCGTGAGTCCACTCTCCTTTGCTGCTGGCAGCCCACTAACCGTGACTAATAGCCTATTGATATAAGCTTGGGCACCAGAGGCCGAGTTGGCTCGACATGGCTGTGGAGTCTTGCATGTAGGTGCTTCCGCAAGCTCGCGGTCTAGCTGCGCAATCAGCCCCAGCTCGCCATCGTCGTCTTGGTCGTCGGACGCGGACAGCGCAGGTACGGCAGCAAATTGCGGGAAGATGCGAGTTCCTGGAGCGGGTTGAAGGGCGAGAGCGACAGCTAGCACGTGTAACGGGCACGTGAAGGGATCGTTAGGACCCTTAAACAGGGAGATTCCCTGTTGCGAAGCAGTCTTCACAGGCTTAAAGCGGAGAAATATCATACCGCCTAGCATATACGCACAGAATTGTCAGCATAAATCGTGGGGTTAATTAATACAAAAATTCAAAATCCTGCACGATTCGTACCGGGGTATACACACAGCTGGGCTTTCTCCAATTGCTCAGCCTCAGAACCACGACCGTAGAGGTACCACATCAACGCCACTAGTGCTGCATCCAGGTAGTCGGAGTTGGCGGAAGCGTGCATGTAGAGAGCCGAGATGATAGTCTTTATATCTTTCTTAGTACATGGTGGCGCTTGTTTCGTGACACCTTGCTCCGGCCTCTTTTCACAGTACCGATCTAGAGTTGATAGCATCTTTTGCAGCTTCTTAGCTACACATTGGCCCTGTTGCGGGTACAGATCCGCCAGCCAGTTCTTAACATTGCCAAAATAAGATAGCACAGTGTTCTTGGACAGAGCTACTCCTTGCCTTCCTACTTTTTTCACTAAGAACCACCCATACTTATCTAGAATGACAAACAAACTCTTGCCTGTGCTGTCCTTAGAAATACGATCATGCACTTCTGTGAGCGTCACCTCCTTCTTCGCAAGGAAGTCTTCGAAGGACTTCACAGCCGTCGCTCTGCTTCTCTGGCTGTTCGCAGGAACTAGCGATGCCACCGACATGCATGTGTGCGTCGGAACGCAGAATGGAGTCGGAGATGAGCTGGCAGGGGTTGGAAACCTATGAATATTTATTCTATTTGTAGTTCACTTGATGTTTGTATGGCATACTCGATATCAAATCACGTTTCCAACCAGATATCGTTGGAATGCTCAGATCAGCGGTTGACAGTCATTCCCTCGACTTAATTGGTCGAAATTTTAAGCAACGGTAGTGTCTATTGGTTGTAAATGCTAAGAATCGCAGACGACACACTCCTATTGGCCGGAAGCACCATACAAGCTTTAAGGTATTTTTCAGGGGTTAGAATCGCAGCGATATGCTACCATAGCGAACTTCTCGTCAATCAATATGCGTGGGTGCTTGGCAGCTGCTCAAACAATTAACAATCCAGAGCGACATTGTGTTGCATATTGAGCTTGGATACCTGGGAGATGTACTGGAATCATTGGCGCTAAAATCGGCAACTGTGGCGGCACCAAATCGTTTAATTTGTAGTACGTCCACGAGACGAAAACGGTAGACAGTGTTGGGGAAGCTGGCACTTCCGTAAGTTGTTGTTGCCGATTGTATTGCTTAGTAGGAAGCAAAAGGAAAAGTGAATAACTACGCGCTTTAGACATTGCTGCTCTCGCTACTGCGAGGAGGAAGCTCTCCTCTGCGCCATGGTGCTCTTCGAGCCACGGCTTCAAGCAAGTATTGCAGTTGCAACTGCAACTGCAACTTGTGCCAGCTGATAAGAGACTGTAACCGCAGTAACTACCAAAGTGCAGTGAGGGCAAGGCTTTCAACCTGAGCCCCACGCTACATAATTAATTAAATCAGGAGTTATAATAGGCTTGAAATTGACAGATGTACCTTTGCGTTTTGCTCGGCTTTAGGCGTGGATGTACTCGAAATAGCGCTAAATGACTTGTTCAAATAGCGTTTAGACTTTCCGTTTCTGCGCTTGTTTTGAGCGGCCCGGCTTGTGGATGTGCACCTGTAGTACGGCTTGTGCAAGCACAGTACTAGCTGGCAATTAAAACAAATGAGAATAATACTGAAACCTGGTTACATAAAGTGTATCTGCACGTGTATACAGTAAGTGCTTCTTCGAAATTCAGTCATGTGCCGTACCTGTTGCCGGATAGGTCTTCCACGGTTGCGCGCCACCACTGCCAGATCCTCATCAACCTTCAGTCTGCTTCATAAGCCGATTCGCCCGACTCTTCGAGGGCCCGATGCTTGTTCGACCGATGGCGTAGTCGCCCTGACGCGTACAGGGGAGGCGCTAGGTACGACAGGACATAGTTCAGCAGCGCGGATGCCGCAGCGAGGGGGGGGGGGCGGCGGAGGTGCGCGCGCACTTGAGTTGGGCTTGCGCTCGAGGGGGGCGAATTCGAAATGAATCACGACCACTGATGCCAAACAAACTAACGTTTTCGTTATTTTGGTAAGGCGTTGTTTTCGATGAAGGGCAAATCCGATATTAACATCTTGCCGCCACTTCTATCATTCATAAACATGTCGGCTATTTGGCTCTATTATTGTGGTAATAGTCACTCTCCTTGGAGGAAACTCCAAAACCCGCATACTCAGGCCTCCCTAATTGGGGGACGACTTGAGGATTTAAAATGGGTATGGTGGGGGACGATAGTGGAAGTAAGATAAATATCTTAGGGATTTGCATAGCCGGTGCTAATTTGGATTCAACCTACGATATTCAAAGTGTTACGATTCATCCGCATATCCGTGGGGAGCGTATGAAGAGCCGCTTTTCATTATCTTGATAATTGTATGCAGACCTGATTTCGACGCTACGCTCGCGAGCACAAAGCGAGCCACTCCCACTACAGTCACACCTCTATAAATGACACCCAGTTCGCTCGGTCTAATACGCTGTTTCAGTTAAAGAATTGATCAGATAAATAAATGGCTACATTTCTAATGGCTTATGTGCACAAGGGCTTGGTACCCCTCCAGCATTTTCGTACTCTTGTTTCGTTTCGTCTTCACACAAACAGAGCTCAACCAATATCGGTAGGCGCGGTATTGCCTGGTCCTACTCCTTCTTCTCATTGGTATTAGCAGAATCGCATCCCCTCAGGTTGTACGTGAGTTTCAATACAGTGAGGTTATAGGAATATTTGTTGTCCCGACATCCTGCCACCATGCCAGCAGTTTTATCTTTTGCTTGGTATCTACTGCATAGCCCCTAGTTGTCTCGACATCATAATATTTTAGTTTTTCGTAAAATATATATGTACGCTGCGCTGATTGTAAAAGTACTGTGGCTAGCTTATTTATCAGTTTTTACAAGCTTGCAGTTACTGCAAACTCTTTGTTCCAACTTAGCATCCCAAATAAAATTTCTCTCTTCGCTCGATTTGTTGTGGCGGGAGTAGTGGTAGCAATGACATACGTGGGAGGAGGCAGGCAAGCGATTGAGAAAAAATATATGAGTTTGGATCTATTACTACGGCGTCCATTTAGAGGGTTGAGGCGCCAACAATGGCGACCATTTAGAGAATAAAGAGGTTTTTGATCAGTTATAGAACACCGATAGTGAAATCCATATAATCCCGTTTGCAGTCGAGGAATCCTAACCAGATAGGGAACATATAGTCAGTTAGAGGGGTTCATTTAGGGAGGTGTGACACATCATGTATTGAGGCATTCGTTATGTGTCACACATCACTAGTCGCTTGGCTCAGACAAAGCGGGCCAATTTGGGCCATAATGGAGAGCCCATAGCTCCGCTTCCAGTGAAGAAAATTGACATCTGAAAGTGGGGGCGAAGAGGCCGTGATCTTGGTTCACGGCATACGTGAGCTTAGCGCTGGTTCCGATGTGAAACGCACTGAAAAATGCGCGCGCAAATACCTCCTTCGGGGAGGGCATCTAGGTTTTTGTATTGAACGGGTGGCTCGCTTTATGCGGTGGCTCGTTCTATGCTCCCCACGTACGAATTAGCTAGAAACGGATGTCAGCGAAAGAATTATATATCACTAATAGTGATAAAAGTTTTGACTAGCTCTGTAACTTTGCTTGATCGGTAGGGCTTACGTATTGATATTGGCGCCGCTTTACTTAAATTTAGTATTTTATTTATTAACATAGCCTATGATAAAACTGCTCCTAAACTTGCATTCTTCTGTAGCATCGCCTACAGACCAACGGCCTCTTCCAGTTTGCGGTCAGCTCGCCGTCCGTTTGAGCTGAAATGCTACTTGCCAATACCACCAATTACGGAAATTTAACAATATTTGTGATGAGTGGGGATGGTTTGGGGGTCGATCCATTACCGGAGAAACACGCTTCCACCTGGGTATGTTCCTGTTTGTTTGGGGTCTGAGTGAGCTCGATGCTTATCAAGCCACATAATTATCTGAAAATATCTTGCCAACATGAATTCACCTCAGAACCATAGTATTTTTGTGGGGGATGGGAACGGGTCTTAACAGGGGTATAGTGGGGGAAATGGGGACCATTTCCCCCAATTAGGGAGGCCTGCGCATGCTTGAGTTTCAAATCCACAAAACCCGCATACTTCACAAAACCCGCATATTGGGAACAGATGTCAATAGAATCAGAAATATTATTGTAAGAAATATAATATGAACTGTGCAAGTTCTCCATCACAAGAGCAGTTCGGCGTGGGGGTTCATGCCGAGCCGGTCCTCGTAGATGTCATGGTGCTGGCTCACAGAGTGGGGTCGAATCTTGCAGTCGTGGTGCTGGTGCGAGCAGTCGAGCTGGTGGCGGTCTGAGGCGAGCTGGTGTTCATACGAGAGAGAGCTGGTAGCTAGGGTAGCCGCATTGGTGAGAGTCGAACTGGAAGTTGGGGGAGTTGGGGTAGTGCTGGTGGCGACACTTCGAGCAATTGGGACCACAAGTTGAGGCGGCTTCTTTCATGTTTTGCGGTTATGGCTGGGTTCGCCGCAGTTTGTGCAGTGTTGAGCGCGAGTCGGTCTGCTTTCACCAGCACTAGGGATTCGTTTGACGCGCTTTCTTCCGCGAGGTGTTTTATTTCTCTGGGCAGGTAGTAGCGGGGCTCTAGTAAGCTCGGTAGAAGCTGGAATCATCACGGAGGCTGCCGAAAACGCTTTTGAGTAGCTTTCGATCATGTAACACGATCCAAAGCCTGAATAAGCCGACTCCAGCTCACCGACTACATTTAGTACGGTGAGCATGTGCTTGCATGGAATCTGGTGTTGATCCATGTATGTGCACGTGCAGCGATTGGTATCCAAGTCCACAGTACGGCGAAACGGGGGGATCTTGCCGACGCGCGAGACAGATCCATTCCTTGGCGTAAGCATCACGACGGCGTAGTTCCCCATTTCACTCAGTTGGTCAAAGTACAACTTTTCTGCGCCCGGGGACACCACTCTGTTCTGCTTCACCCAGTTGTCGGATTGCTCTTGACAAAGTTAGTCGACCGCCAACCATACAGAGGACGCTCACCTAATGTTGTATACAGGATCCATTTCTCTGGAGGGATGGCGCGGAGAGCTTGTTCCACCTTTTCACCACAGGTTTTGCGGATAACGATCAGTATGCTCTCGTATTGCTCTTTGTACTTGCAAGCTTGTAGCTCCCAAACCAGCTCCTTGTGCGATTGATTGAATGTACTGTATTTCTGATGATGTGGAGCAAGCACCTGCAAACATCATTGGGGGTCAGTTACATTTATGTGATCAAAGCATATAATTGCATGGCATACCGGACATTGATGTTGTATGTAGCGGCGACCGAGCGGAATGCGTCGCACCGGTCACAAAATACAGGGTACTCTGTAATGTCCAGACCGGCCTGACGAAGGGACTCGACAAACCAGGTGTAGTTGACGATGCCCTCAGCGTCAACCAGTGCCATCGCAATGGTGATGTTGTTGCAATTGCCGTCGCGACCAACGAGCAGCATCTGCTGTCCGCTGAAGCTTCGGTTCTTGGAATGTGCGCAATCGATGCCTAATATCTGTTGGTTGTACGGCATGCTGCGCACCAGAGGACCCGACACTACAACAGTCGGCCAGTGGAGTCGGTCTGGAAATCGGTTAACGAGCCAGGATTGCTGGAAGCGAGTTTCCCGAGAAGAGATGGGATCTTTTGGTACAACTCAGCTTGTTCACTAACAGTGCCCTCCGTAATGGAATCCTTTCCGCGGTATACTGCCGTCATGTTTGGTAGAAGAATTCACTGTCGGATGAAACCGCGTTTCGAAGCACGGCAGATTCTCTTAGTTGACGCCCAGTCATCTTAGGCACTGAAGTGCAGTTGATATGCTCCAGAGCTAACGAGCTGATCCGCCAAGTGCTGGTGGCCTTCCCGTCAACTTTAAGCTGGTAAAGCTGAACGAAGAATGGGCAGGTTCCTGTTTCTGACGTGCAGATGAACTTCTTGTGACCCCCGCCGTTCGGGCCGACCTTGACACTCTTGCCCACTGATAGAGCGCAGTCTTCGACGGCGTACTTTGCCTCCTTGCCATTCTTAAAGGTCTGTCCACGCTCCAGAGCGGACATGCCTTGAGTCACGAGGAGAGTTTCGTTTTGCTTCAGCGCCGAGAGACCTTCGCTTGCACATTTATTTATAGCTACTTCTAGCTTCCTTATCGCCCAGAATAATTTCTGATTCTATTGGCATCTGTTCCCAATATGCGGGTTTTGTGGAAGTACGCGGGTTTTGTGGATTTGAAACTCAAGTATGCGGGTTTGGAGTTTCCTCGTGGTTTTGAGCATCAAAGTGATGCTCAGGGGCGTTCTTAACAGAGGTAGGTTGGTATCACCGTACAACCAAGGTCCAAGTGTGCTAGAGACGTGCGGGTATCACCGTGCAATCGCTGATAAGAATGAAATGTATCCGTTCACCTAATTTTTCGATAGTCAACTACTTTTTATTTTTATTTTACCGGATGCCGCAGAGAGCGCTAGAAACCGCGTTAAAAGAGGACAAGACGACACGGGGTGTGGAGTCGCCACTTTACGCCCCCTCTTCCAGTCAATGCAGCGGTTAAGGTAGGTGGCATTTAAGCACAACTAGCACGGGGGCAGTGAAGCAAGTGAAGAGTACATCTGGAGATGCTGTTTTAGCGACGTTTTTGCGCGGAAATTTGCAGAGAAAGAGAAAAGTGCTCGCATACAAAACGCTGTGTAACTTCGGGAAGTGCTATGTTTCCCTCGTGACTCTTGATTGGACAGTTTGTTCTGTATCCCTAATCATGTAGTATCTCATAACTAAGGTTACGCGGTACCGCGGTACATGTACGAGGGAATTCAACTGCAAAATTTCGACTTTCCTCTCCGTACAACCGTGAACTCTTTCAACTTTGACAAAGTTCATATGCTAATATAATTATCCACGCAGGCTGTGTGCCTCTAAATATGTGGACTTAATACCTGCGTGACATACTAAAGCATAGCTACAGAACCAAGTGAAACTCTTCTTTGAGAAATACAGTACAATAGAGCGTTGTTTATTATGTATGTGTACTAACACCAGATGCCGTAAAGTGCTTTAAAACCAATGATTGTGCCCCCTCCCTTCGATAGTGTACATTCCCCTGAGTGGGGACTCGCGATGCATGTACTCCCCCCACCGATGCTCCACTCCCTAAACATTATTCGTTAATTTAATAATTTAGGCAACATGTATAATTGATTTCATTGAGATCAAGTTTATACTACTAGAAGTTTGTGTACCGGTGCCGAATAATCACAGTATAGCTACCGTCTCGGTGTTGTTTGTAGTTAGACCTTGGGGCAGAGGTTGTAGAGTACATGATACTTTAGAATGGTCAGGTTTGTCACTTGCAATGCCACGAAAGTCGCTGCATGGATCGTATGCAAACAAGTGTTTTATATTATAGGTTATCTGCTTCCAGTGTCGCAGCACTTGGGACTCATCTTTCCGTGCAAGCAGCACAATAGATACAGGTACAGTACAGGTAACTTCAGAATGCTCGGATTTGCCACCTACATGTACATATCTTATACACGCAAGCAAATACATTTGAATTTGTTTTCGGCTTAGCTGGCTATCTGTCACGGTGCCAGTGATACCGAAAAATACACTTACTGTAAGCGATACCGTCCTGCAGAACCTCGCTTTTAACCGCAAAGGTGATATTTTTGAAACACTTTTAAAAACCAGTTAGTTCCTTGTAGGACTTTCTACGTTACGATGGTTAGCGAACGATTACGTAAAAAAAATTACGTACTCGTTAAAAATAGAACGTAAAGATACGTAATTCACTGCGACCTTTCGATGCCCATTTGGATATTTGCCATGCGCTCCCCCCCTCGCCCCGCGAGTCGCCCGACACGCGTCAAGCCGCTCCGATGACGCCCGCCGAGAGTACTCAATCTCGACAGCAGCACAGCGCACCAGGTGCTGCGCCTTCGCAATCTCGAGAGCGTGATCGCGCCCAGCAGTACAAGGCATTCCTGGCGCCGCGATCATTTTACCACGAGCCATCGCTACCGCCGATATCCCCCCTCGAGAGCCCCCCAGTTCGTGCCCGGCTCACGTTTGAGGATGAAACCAAGATTGAAGACGCGAGAGACTCTACTTACCGCCAACCTTGCAGCAGATTAGCTGATTATGTTGCTCAAACTCATTCCACGTCGACTTCGCGTTTGGACTTCCCATCTCCTCCAACCGCTGGAGGAATCGCTGGAAAATCAGCTCTAGGGAAACGATCGGCTTCTGGCACCGAAGCCAACACCCGCAAAAGGGGTGGTCGCTCAGCTGAAAACGACCTGGAAGAGCTCGGCTTCTCGACACCGCTAATGTGCAACGACGTCGATCGCCAAGAATTGCTGGCTTGGCTTCAAGTAATCCGTGTGTGACAAGATCAAGCGGTGCAGTTCCAAGTGACTGCACTGGAAACACGCCGAGTCGTTCGAAGAAAAGCCGCGACCGCCACAGAAATTCTCAGTGCCCCCAACACAAAAACCGTTCACCCGCACCTGGATCTACTGTAGCGGGTTCAAACGCATTCGTTGGTGCTGGGCGTGATGCTGCTGCCCCCACCGCTTGTTCAACATTCGGAAGATGCGCAAGCCACAACATTGGATGTTCATTAGACTGGTATGCAAGGACGAGTTTGCGACGTTGCCCGAGAAAGAACTGCGCTCTGAACACGCGAGGTGTGCGTTTTGTACAAAGTGCAATACTGAGATCAAGTTTGAAACGTCCTCCACGGTGTACGTCACCAAACACATGGGGAAATTCCATACCAAAGAGCTGCAAGAAGCGGAGGCAGCGGAGGTGGCTCGTAAAAAGAAGGAAACTCAAGTTCTCGTGCATAAAGAAGTTGAAGATCTCCCTGACAGATCGACCCGTCAAGAGCCTGCTACTGCGGAAGAGCAAGCCCGAGCAGATACGTTGGCGGCAATTTGGGTTGCCAAATCCATGCGGCCGTTCAATATTCTGAAGGACAAGTATTTCCGGAAGTACTCCCGTTTTCTGAACTCTGTCGAAGGGTATATCAAGCCGGCCAAGCCGTGGAAAGCGCGTGAAAATGTCGACAACATCGCCGGTGCACTCCGTGAAACGCTAAAGGATGAAATTGCCGATGAATGTGACTACTACACTGCGTCGGCCGACATCTGGACATCCAAGAGCAAGCGCGCATTTATTTCGTTCACCCTCCACTATCTTACCCGCAACTTTGATCTCAAGAACTGGGTCCTCGAGATTAAGGTGCTACCGGGAAAGCACGACGGACGTCGCATTGCTAGCTGTCTGGAAAAGATTATGGTGTGGTGGGGTCTACCGAAAGAGAAGTGTGTGCTATTTCTGCGCGATGGGTCATCTAATGGTCGACGGGCATGCGAGATCATGGACATCAAGTCGATGTCGTGTCTTGCCCACGTTTTACATCTAATTGTGGGTGCTGGAATCGTGAAAAAGAAATCGGATCAAGCTGCAAAGGCAATGCTGGCTGCCGCGAAGTTCAGACAAAGATTTTGAAGCTGCTCTGGAGCAAGAAGCATGCGAAGCGATCGATCAATTTATCGCAGAATCTTGGGAAACCTCGCGGGCACATCTGGATCAATTACGTTCAATTGTTGACAAGTTTCGCAAGTTGTCTATTTTTTTCAGTCACTCGACCAAAGCAATGGACTGCTTGCGTGACCTTCAAGGTAATCGCGATGTACTCCTCCCGCAGTCTGACTGCGCTACACGTTGGAATAGTACGTACGCCATGCTGCTTCGAATGATCGAAAATCGCAGCTCCCTGGACGCATTTTTCGAGTATGTTGCCCAGACCGGCGAGTTTTCGGACTCTACGGCAGAACAGCCAACGGCGGAGCACTGGCTTACTATCCGGTGTTTAGTTGTTCTTTTAAGACCTTTTGCGGAAGCTACGGATGGGCTTGGCGGGCAGAAGTACCCCACCCTTGTGCTTGCAGTTCCGGTAATCCAGAGAAGTCTGAAGAATGACAAAGCTTTTGATCCAGTTATTCGATCTGTCGGTGATGAGGAGTACAAGTATCGCGTCGAGACATGGATGCAGACAATTCGGCGGACTTATGTCAAGCTCTTTTCCGAAAAATTGAAAGATAAGCTACCTGATGAGCTGCTATGGATTTCAGCGCTAGACCCACGATCAGCAGAGTTCAAGTACCTCAGTCGGGACGAAGCTTCCCTTGCCAGAACAAAGCTGAAAATGGCTGTGTTTCAGATGGCTAAGGAAATGAGCGAGGCCAAGGAATTTCAAAGCAGGCATGGGCAGATTTCCAATCGCTCGACACCTCAGTCAAGCGCCAAAAAAGACAATTTGGCTTGGCTCATGGATGTGTTTTCTGGCGGGACGGAGGAATGTAAGACGGAAGAGCTTTCCGCTGACGATGAAAAGCTGCAAGAGAAGTGTGAGTCTGAGCTGACTCTCTATTTGAGCGATGCGCATGGCACTCCTGTTACTACGAGCCCTTTGGAGTGGTGAACAAAGGACCGAAGAAGCAAGTTTCCCATTCTGGCAGCGCTTGCGCGAAAATGGCTAGGCTGCATTGCCACATCGGTGCCCTCCGAACGTGCTTTTTCTAAAAGTGGAAACGTCGTCACCTCAAAGCGCTGTTCACTGGACCCAGAAACAGTTCGAGATATCTTATTTGTTGGCGAAAACTACCAGGAGGCAGATGACAATTTAGCCAGTGAGGACAGCGACAGCAATGACGAAGATGAATAAGTTCATAGCAAAGGTCGATAGTTGTTGAATCGGAATGTTGTCCACGAAAATGGGCAATGAAAATGTACGTTTGTTTATCTGGGATTGGTGTTGATCCTCATTACGGCGCAACTACGCTGTGTTTCCTTTTAACTCTTCGATTAGTGTATGCAAGTTGGGAAACGATGCATAAAGGTGAGTCGGGCGACTTTACAAACAATAAGGAGGCGGCAAAACATAGTACACATGAATTACGCTGTCACCGATTTGTCCTACCACCGCGCTACGGGCACTACATGTGATTGTCTATATACACTGCATTTTGCGCATGATTAAGTCGTTCTACTGCTCTTGGCAACTATGTGGAGCAGCAGCGGCAAGGCGTTCAAGGAGGACTCGACTTTGACTTCAACACTCCTTACCTCTTCTTGGTACGGGTGCTCGCGTCATTGCTGCTCTGCGTCGTCAAGCGCTCAGTCGTCGTCATCTTCTGCTGCTGCACTGGAGCTGAACCCGTTCTCGTCGCTTAGTTTAGACGCGAAGACACCCGTGAAGTCGCTTCCAACCCAGGTCTCGTCCACCGTCGCGTCTGTGGGAAGCTATGGAGATTCCTCTCGCAAAGCATCGGAGATTGAGCCAGGATCGGTCTTCTCGTGGCCCCACCACTCGCTCTCGTCACGGACTGAATCCATGCACTACTGATGGACCCCTGCGGCGTACCACAGCACCGGAATACAACTCGAACGCTGGTCCATGACGATAAAAGAATGCGACGTCAGAGTACTCAGGCCACGGTCGCATGCCCGTCATTTGCTGCACTTTGAGTACGTAGTTCGGACAGTTCGCGATGAGAGCGCAAGGCTGCCCGGACACGAGAAACAAGCACTTGCTCTTGGTCAAGCAGCACGATGAGCCGGAGCTTACAGACTCGCCCCCGTGGCGAACATGATGCCGCGGAACTCGCTCTGGTTGAGCTTGGTCCGGCCGTCCAGCAGCCACTCGGGGATCGGCACGACCTGGTCGCGGTACACTTTGGGCGCGATGACGTACACAGCTTCGAAGCCGTCGCCCTCCTGGCGCACGAGCGCGTCCACCATGGGCTGCATGATGCCTCTGGGCGTCGTCGTGAAGCTGAAGACGATGTGGGGCCGCGCCTGCTCCGCGCTCATGGACGTGGACGCGAGGGCCGTGGGCGAGTTAAAGGTGCAGAGGATGACGGTGACCCACGCCACGCTCGTAGCTAGGAAGCACGTGAACCAGCGCCTCCAAGAGCTGAGTTCGTCGCCGTCGTCCCACTCGAGCGACAACTCAAGCACGACTTTCTCCGGCAGCAGCTTGACCGACTGCCGCACGCGTTGCAGCCGTCGCTGCCGGTGGTGCCGGGCGAACAGAACAGACAGCGCCGACAGGCATTTGGCGCAGATCGACACGCCACACAGCGCAGACGATTAGACGATAAGAGGCGCTTGCTGTGCTTGATGTGGACGGAGCGCACGGTGTCCTCGGTGAAAGACTCGCCCCGGTTCACTGCGCTCGAGTTGTGGCTTGACATCAGCGTCAGCTTCTTGGGCTTGGCGCACTCGATGCCGCTGGGCATGCCACTGATGAGATAACTCGGAGTGGATGACATCGACTAATGCCATGACTTTTAACCAATGAAACAAACGCTACATTTTAAACCAATGAATGCAGCTTTTTGTTATCGTACGTAAACTTTACGTAACACGGTAGATAACGTTATGTTGTTCGTAAGCCAGATAACGGTAACGTAGAAAGCACTAGTTCCTTGTATAGTACTGTACATGTCGTGACAAATATCATGTATTAAAATATGACTTTAGCAAAGAAAAGTAACTCAATGGACGTGTTGACCCTTTTCCTCCCTCATCATCAGAATCCTCTCAGTTTGTGGCAACAAGGAATACAGACAACGACGGATAAATACGGCAACGCAAAACCCGGCACACATATGTTGTGCATTTTACAATAGGTAATTCAGATAGCTAATCAACTTCGAGATTTACACTTGACATTTGTATTCCATATGGGGTTAAGTACTTTCTCTAAATTTGTGTGTACTTTATGCTCCATTACGTGTATTTTATGTCATTGCCTTGTACAATCTCTATCGTTCCTGACAGAGAATTCTGGCACATTTACTATGGAGGATGCCATTCAGTGGTGCCGGATTTATCCGTCGTTGTCTGTATGTCGTGCTGTGTAAGGAGGAGAATATACAGTATTCTTGAACGTGGAGTTGACCGCGGTAAAAGGATACAGAAAGCGCCCTTCCAAAACACGGTAGAGTGTACCCCCTCTTAAAGGGCGCATCCTGTGCCCTTTTGCAGAGTAATCGTCATGTAATCATTGTCTATACAAATTCTAAGTCTTACGCATTCATTCTATGCATCCTGCAAATCACCGTAGATGGCATGTCCCATGAGACACACCGAAAAGGCTCCGTAACTTTGTAAAAGGACGCCTAGAGCGCCCTTTTAGAAGGAAATATCAATGAGTTGTATACTATAATTTATTGAGGATACTCGCGAAAGGGTTAAAAAATGCTGCTAAATTTTCAGAATAATGAACTAACGTGCAGTGGAGGAGATTAACAAGGAGGCTCCCTGGACCACTTGTGTACCGATTCAAGATAACGTACGGATTCCCGATCACTTGATCAATCGTCAGGAAACCGTTAACCTCGGTATGTACAGTACATGTATCGATCAAGCGACAATTGCCTCCGCACCACCGACCGTGTCACCGCCTCATTCATTCTGCAATTCTCAGCCTGCTGCAACAAGCACACTCACTCCAACACAACAAGCTAGCAAGCTCTGCGGCTACCTCGCTTCCACTCCCCCCCTTCGCAATGGCTGCCGGCGTCGTGGTGAACGTCCACAACAACAACGACGATGACGTCCCGACCGAAGGCTCGCGCACCTACGCCATCATCGTGTGCGTGTTCGCCGCGCTGGGTGGCCTCTTCTTCGGCTACGACCAAGGCGTGACCTCGGGTGTGCTCATCATGGACTCGTTCATCAACGACTACTGCGTCGGCTGGCACAACTTCACGTACGAGCAGTGCACGTCGTCTTCGTCGGACCTGCCGGCTGAGTGGACGGACTTCACGGTCTGGTACAACATGGCGTACAACCTGGGCTGCCTTGTGGGCGCCTTCATCGGCGGCATCGTGGCCGACAAGCTGGGCCGCCGCTGGACCATCTTCACGGCCGGCCTGCTGTTCTGCGTCGGCACCTTGTGGGTCTGCTTCAACAAGGCGCAGGAGCACGGCCTCATGTACATCGCCCGCGTGATCCAGGGCTTCGGCGTGGGCAACTCGTCGTTCTCGCTGCCGCTGTTCGGCGCCGAGATGGCCCCCAAGGAGCTGCGCGGCCTGCTCTCCGGATTCATGCAGATGACGGTCGTCACGGGCCTCTTCCTGGCCAACGTCGTCAACATCATCGTGGAGAACCACGACAACGGCTGGCGCACGACCAACGGCGTGGCCATGGCGGCGCCGATCGTGGTCATGCTCGGCATCTTCTTCGTGCCCGAGAGTCCTCGCTGGACGTACCTGCACAAGGGCAAGGAGGAGGCCGAGCGCGTGCTCAAGCGTCTCCGCCAGACCGACAACGTGGGCCGCGAGCTCGAGGTGATCGGCGACCAGGTCGCGGAGGAGCTGGCCGCCAACAAGGGACTCACGGAGCTGCTCGAGCCGTCCATCTTCAAGCGCGTGGCCATCGCGATGATGCTGCAAGTGCTGCAGCAGGCCACGGGTATCAACCCCATCTTCAGCTACGGCGCGCTCATCTTCAAGGACATCACCAACGCTGGCATCTACGCGGCCTTCTTCCTCTCGGGCGTCAACTTCCTCAGCACCATCCCGGCCATGCGATGGGTGGACACGTTCGGCCGCCGCCAGCTTCTGCTCATCGGCGCTGTGGGCATGGTCGTCGGTCACCTGTTCGCTGCCATCCTGTTCACGGTTATCTGCGACGGCAACGTGGACAACGCGGGTTGCCCCAAGGTGGGCGGCTGGTTCATCGCCGTGGGCACGGCCTTCTTCGTGTTCAACTTCGCCATCTCGTGGGGGCCCGTGTGCTGGATCTACCCGGCTGAGATCTTCCCGTTGGGCGTGCGCGCGCCGGCCGTGGCGCTGTCGACTGCGGCCAACTGGGCCATGGGCGCCGTCATGACGGAGGTGGTCAAGCTCTTCCCGCACCTCAACATCAACGGCGTGTTCTTCCTGTTCGCGGGTCTGTGCTGCATCTGCGGCGTGTTCGTGTACTTCTTCTGCCCGGAGACCAAGGGCATGATGCTGGAAGACATCGAGGCGCTGTTCCACAGCGGCGGCCAGCAGCCCAAGTCAGCAGGATTCGTGGAGACCAAGTCTCCGCAGCAGTCGGCGGACTTATGAGCGGTAGCTGAGCTTGTCGTACACGTAGATGCATACCTTCAAGGACTAAAATCAAATGACGAACACCGAGAATAGGTCCAGCTGGACTAAATACCAATCCTATAAATCACCGTACAGTACCGATCAACAATGGAGCTGGAAGCCGCGCTGAAGTCGGATGCGTTGACCGCTTTCTCCCGGTCCCTTGAGCTGGCCTTAGGCGCGGCCAGCTCGTCCCGAGGGAAGGTAGTCCTCGCCGTCGATGCCTCGCAGCTGGCCATCTTCGAGCTGCTCGCGTACGGCTCGGGGGGCAGCGAGTTTTACGAGAAGCTCGGGATCTCGCGCCTGCTGAGTGTGCAGCTACAAACGGGCGACGTCGCGCAGCTGCAGCGCCAATTGGACATCTCCAAGGACCCGCAGGCCAACCAGGAACAGGGGAAGAAGACGCTGGACGTGGCTGTGGTCGCGCCGCCGCTGCCCACCGTCGCCAAGCGGCTGGCCGACGCCCTCCGGCCGCTGGAGCTCGCGCCGACCCGCCACTGTGCCGTGCTGTGGCTGCCCTCGGCCACCTCCGACGTGACGCTGGAGATGGAGCGACAGGGTGTGGCGGGTTTCATCCGCCAGGCCAACTTGGCGTTGGGCCTCATCCCAGTGGACCGCGGCGTCGCGGCGCTGTGTCACGACAGTGTCTTCGGAGAACTCTATGTGAAGGGGGACAGCAGGGCGCTGACGGACGTCGTCAAGAGTGTATTGGCCGTGGAGAGACACACGGGTCGGAGGATCTTGGACGTCACGTGCCATGGGTTCTTCGCTCAGAGGGTCAAGAAGATGCTGGAGCTGGCCCATCGGCAGCAGCAGAAGATCAAGATGAGTCGAGCTGCAGGGACCAAGGAGCTGGAGGCCGATGTGGCTGCGCCCATGGACAAGTTGGTAGTGATTGACCGCATGGAAGACCCTTTGTCTATGTTGCTGACGCCCATGACGTATGAAGGACTGCTGGATGCGCTCGTGGGCGTGAACCATGGCGTCGTCACGTACGAGAAAGAGGAGGAGGACGCGGAGGACGCTGCAAGCACTAGCAGCAGTATCAAAGAGGAGTCGACAACGACCACGACGACGCAGAAAGTGGTGCTGAACCACCTCGACGCGCTGTTCGACGAGATCCGCGACGTGAACTTCAACTTGGTCTCCAACCAGCTCGTGGATGTCGCCAAAGACTTGGCCACAGAAGTGCGGGGCAAGCTCGGCCGGGTCCAGTGCTGACTTACCAAAGGACAGCCAGGCAGCGTTCCAGAAGGTGAAGGCTCTCTTGGCCAAGGCGCCGCATTTGGTGAAGAAGAAGCGATCGTTGGCCCACCACTTGCAGCTTGTGCAGCGTATCCGAGAGCTGAGCACGCAGCTTGCACTGCGTGGATGCGTCGAGACAGAAATGACCATCATGAGTGCTGGCCCGAGTGCGTCATCAGCAGCGGCCAAGGACGTGGACAGCTTTTTGGAAGAGGCTATCTTGCGTGAGCCTCCGCTGAATCTCTACGACGTGATCAAGCTACTCTGTCTGTGCTCTCTCGTCCGCGGCGGACTTAAGCCAGACACGCTGGCCTGGTATCGCCAGCAGCTTTGCCATACTTACGGCCACCAAATTCTGCCGCTGCTTGTGCAATTGGAGAAGATGGATCTGCTCTCTGTCGAGAACCGCTTCGACTTCCCTAAAATGCGCAAGCAGCTTCTGCTAATGCGCGGTGCTCTGGATGACGAGGACACCAGACATCCTTCGGATATTCACTTTATGTTCCCCTACACGGGTTACGCGCCAATGAGTATTCGCTTACTACAAGAATCGCTCGGCATGAAGTACAAGACGCTGGCGAAGGACCCGACATCGTCACTGCTGAGTCTGGGGAGCGGAAGTGGGAACAACTCCAGCAGCCACCACACGTGGAACCCAGTTAGAGCTCAATAGACAGCAGGTCTCTGCCCACTGAGCAACGCAAAGCTTCGTAGTATATTTTAAACAGGATACTGCGAGATTTATCAACTGGCGTAGAGGGCCCTAAATTCTCAATTTTTTTAAAAACTGAAAATTTAGGGCCAGTTTAAAAACTGAGAAAAACAAAATTGGGTGTTAAAACACACCAAGTTTTTTTTTTTTACCCACTTAACGCGGTATCGAAAACCTCGACCGTTGTAGATTAAAAAAAAGACGTTAATTTTTAATATGGATAGGTTCTTGTATTTTTAATTCTTGATTTTTTTAACAGGTCTATTGTCAAGAGGGAAACAGCCTCGATGGTAGCAAAAACTTTCACGCACTTGAATCGACACGACAGGTAAATCGAATGTTGAAGTACGGCCCCGAAACAGGAATGTCCAAGTTGTAGCAATTCTTAATCCTACACAATGCTAACAAAACAGTTCGGGGTTTTAGTGTGAATGTCTTGAAGACCAACGATATGGTCGTTCTCAGTTGATTGACACGCTACTTCGGCATAGACTCCGTGATATAACTTCAGTAGCGAGGCATCTTCACAGGAAGTAGGTCACGACGGCGACGCTGCCCAGGCATCGAAACGGTGGACGAGGTTGAGGGATCCACGGCCCAACTCTCAACTGCAAACGCCCATTAATCTATCTGTACTCCAAGAGAAGAAGCAAAACACACACCAGCCATGGCATTTCCCTGCGATAGCATACACACCTACCTTGGGACCCGAAGACGCTTCAAATGCTGCAATTGTTGCCACGAAGCTCAAGCACCATGAAGTCGTGCCGATACATTTACCCGAGACACCCGCCGTCGGCATCTCCACGTCCAGTGGCAGTCGGCAAGTATGCAAAGTGACGTCAGCGGGATGCCTCAACTGCTTGAACAAACACGCACAGGGCCGGTACTTCGCCCCCGCAACTTTCGCTCTATTTGCGCACCTTCCGCGCAACTTGTTTCCCATCCATCAACTTCACGCAAGATCGCGCAACATTGTACCCCCATCTGGCAACCTGGACCACCGGAGCGGGCTCAGCTCGAAGATCTGCGTGCTTCAGCCTGGGCCGCCAGTCGGGATTCCCCCATAACAGGCGTCGACCCCCATGATGCTGTCGCTCGTGCGCCGCTCGCAGCCCCGCGCGACGCCCACGCTGGCGCGCGCCGCCTCGTCGCTCATGTCGGACGTGCACGGCACGACGCACGGCAAGAAGCACTGGAAGAACAAGCCGCTGTTCAGGCGCGGCGGCGACAAGCGGTTCCGCAACGGCCAGGAGGCCGCTGACATGCTCACGGACGAGGTGATTCGTCGTGACCCCAACCAGGTACGCATGCCCCCCATGGCTCAAAATGAAGCCCTTTGACTGCTCTTTCCAACGCGCCGTCGCACGCTAACACCCGCCGCCTGCAGGCCGAGTACGTGCAAGCCGTGCAGAACTTCGTCAACTCCGTCGTGCCCGTGTTCGACCGCTACCCCAAGTACGCGTGGGTCATGAAGACGCTCATGGAGCCCGAGCGCGTGATCCAGTTCCGCGTGCCGTGGATCGACGACGAGGGCAGCAGCCGCGTGAACCGCGGCTTCCGCGTGCAGTTCTCGAGCGCGCTGGGCCCGTACATGGGCGGCCTGCGCTTCCACCCGGAGACGACGCACGGCATCGCCAAGTTCCTGGGCTTCGAGACCATCTTCCGCAACGCGCTGGCCGGCCCGTACGGCGGCGCGCACGGCGGCTCGGACTTCAACCCCATGGACAAGAGCGAGTCGGAGATCATGCGCTTCTGCCAGTCGTACATGACGGAGCTGGCCAACTACATCGGCCCGCACACGGACGTGCCCACGTCGGGCGTCGGCGTGGGCCCGCAGGAGATCGGCTACATGTTCGGACAGTACAAGCGTCTGCGCCAGCTGCATCCGGGAGGCACCGAGGGCATTCTGAGTGGAGGCGCCTACCACTACCCGCAGGTCACGGGCTACGGCGTGGCGCACTTCGCCAACCGCATCCTGGAGACGCGCGGAGAGACGCTCAAGGGCAAGCGCTGCCTGATCTCGGGCAGTGGCACCGTGGCGCTCAACGTGGCCCAGAAGCTGCTGGACCTGGGCGCCATCCCCATCGGCCTGAGCGACAACTTCGGCTACGTGATCGAGGAGCAGGGCTTCACGACCAAGAGTCTGGCGGAGCTCAAGCGCATCAAGGAGGAACGCAACGCGCGTCTCGGCGCCTACATCATGTCGTCCACGACGGCCAACTACCACCCGATTGAGGAGGGCCGCCTGTGGGAGACGCCGTGCGACTACGCCTTCCCGTGCGCGATCCAGAACGACGTGGACGCCGACGCCGTGCGTCTGCTCGTGAAGAACGGCTGCAAGGGCATCTTCGAGGGCGCCAACTTCCCCTGCACAGACGAGGCCATCAGCCTCATCAAGCAGCACGGCCTCGCGTTCGGCCCGAACAAGGCCTCCAACGGCGGCTCCTTCGCGCTCATTACCAAGAACCTCGGCGCGTCCACGCAGCTGTCGGACGACGAGCTGGACAAGATCGTGAAGGGTGCGTTTGGCCAAGCATGTGAGAAGTTGTGACGTTGTACAGGTATTAACTTGTGGTTTTGTGTGCAGAATACATGTACATGCTTCACGACCGCGTGGCCGCTTCCGCCGAGGAGTTCAACGCTGCGGGCGACCTCCACACGGGTGCCAACATCACGGCTTTCATGAGCGTGGCCGCCGCCATGTTCCGCCAGGGTGTGGTGTAAAGCAGCTCTCATCGACCGGACTATATTCCAGGAAGTACTCGACCGCATCGACATTGCGACGTAGCAAGAGGAGGCGCAGAGAACGAGAAGCAGACAGGGGACGGCACGTGTGCGCTGCAAAGACGCAGCGTCCAAATGCGAAGTACTCACGCTAAATACACCCTCGTGGGTTTTGCTATCAGTCGGTCGTGGTGCTGTTGTTGCTGCTGGGGTCAGATGCTGCGGACTCGGTAGTCGGTGAAAGGCGAAGATCGGATTCTCCAACTAGATGCGGCAGCCTCAAAGATCCACGCTCTGCAGTCGACGACGCGCGGCAAAGTGAAGAATAACCGGTCCTCGAGCAGATCAGGCCCGCTGTGGTGTTCAGGTACTTGCTCCATTCCGCCCTGCGCCTCCGTCCAGCGAGATGTTCAGCTTCCACCCTCGTGTACCAGACGAACAGGCGGAGCCGCATTGCGCACGAAACGACGCGGGCCGCAACGGTTTTCAACGGCCGAGTGCAAGTGCTGCACCATAGTGCAGTGCTGTCTGACGGTTCTCCCCTCTGCTTCAACTCTGCTCTGCTGCTATCGTCCAGCATTGCTGCTCGTTGCTCTGTATTGCCCATGGTATCATATCATGTGGTAGTATTGAGATCGACAGCCTCTTGCGTTGTGCCGTCAGATATCTCAGTGGCGGCACGCTAACGAAATGAAGGTATCAACCAACGATCAAGCTTGGGCGCGGCTTCCTCACGCGCCGTTGGGTTGGTTGAACGCCAGTTGACCGTTGACAACGGAAAGAACTGCACTCTGTGTCGTCAAGGTGTCTCCTGGCGCCTCAAGAGCGCCATCCAGGGGTCAGATGAGGGTTTTGTTTCCGGAAGCCACCACCGGGCTGTTTCACTTGCATTCCTGCCGCCATCCCACCCCGTTCTCCACTTTGCTTTGTCCCTGCCTTTGGATTGCTGCAGGGTCTGAGCAAAAGCTATCTCCACGCCCAGCGCGTACACCAACCATTACAGCCTCAAGGAGCTTTATTGAGCTTCCATTCTAGCGAGAGTACACCGGAATCGCCATCTCAATGCCGGGGTCACAGCTCGGGCTATTGCCAGTGTTCGCTTTGGCGTACTGGAGCACAATTGCCAACGCCTCGACTTCGACTCAATCGGGGACACTCTCGTGCGACCGCGCAGTGCTCGGCGCCCAGTCTGAGACCAAATGGGTCGTAAGTTGTGCGTCTGAGGACGCGGCCCCGTCGGCGTTCTTCAATCCGTCGCTGGTGCAGAACTTCTACGTCAACAGCGGAGCGGACGTCGCCGCGTCTTCGTCCGATTTGAACCTGTCCTCGACCTTCTCCAAAGTCGACGAGCTCGTGTCTTCGACAATCACCAAGTTTTCGCTTTCAGCTGCGTCGGGATTTGCTCCAACTGTCCCAGTCACGATCGCACCCGCAGCATTCGCGGAGCTCTCCGCCCTCGAAATTCTGTAATATGATAAAGCGGTAGATTAAGTCCGTGCTTTCGATATCTGACGTTGTTTTGTGTTTGTTTGCTGCCAGATACTTGGAAGGTATCCCGTTAGCTGAAAGTGACCTGCACCTGGTACTCCCAGCGTCCATCCAGCAAATGTGAGTACTATCATAGTAAACCCCATTATTTTCTGTATCAGAAGTTCTCACATTTTGCTTCTTTGGATTGAACAGTTCGATTGTGGACTGCGGGCTCACCAATATCTCCTTCGAGTTCGCGGATGCCCTAGCTACGGCATATTCCGATCTCTCAACGATGTAAGCTTGCACCATACACTTGATTATACCTGTATTCAGCGATCTTACCAGGTGCTTGTGTCGTAGTGATCTCCGCCAGAACGCGTTGAGTGAATTTCCATCGGCTCTCTACTCGTTACCAAGCACCATTTCGACAATCGATCTGCGCGAGAACGACAAAATGAGCTTGACTACTGAGACCGCTGCTCACAAGAAACAATTGACAACGTGGACGGCTGACGCCGTCTTGAAGGCCGACGACGTCGTCATCGCTACCTTGGACTCTGTTGCTCAAGAAGAAAGGAGCTCGATCGTAGGTTCCAGAAGTATCGGATCTGCTCACACTGAGTCAAAGGCCGATTCTTCATCGGGGAGCGATCAAACGGTCAAAATTCAAGGCGGTGACCACATGGAGGAGATCCCCATCACAATCGTTGCTGTCGTGGTGCCTGCCGTGTTGGCGATTGGTGTCACACTCGCGTTTGTCATTCGTAAGCGGAAGCGAATGCAGAATCGAGACACGGACGCCATCTTGGACCTCCCTCATCCGTTCGGCAAGTTGGGGCGCGACAGATCCGAAACCTCGGGAAATTTCACCGTCGCCGACAGTGAGCTCTCTCGCAGTCGGATGTCCAGCGGTGAGATCGACCACCACGACACGAAGGACCGAGCTTCTTGCGTTGTTATCGCCGTCACCCACACCGACGCCTACGATGAGTCCAGCCACCAGCACGAGTCGTCAACTTCAGCCAACGTGGGCTACGTCAACCTCGCGTCGCCACAGGACTTCCACGCGAGCAATACAAGACGCCGAGCGTCGTTCCGTGATGCAGGAGACAGTACTCACTCACTTGAGTTACTCAGTACTTATAGCACGGCCAGTGCGACGCCAGCTCAAGCTCGTCTTGCAGCCCGGAAAGCGCTTCGATCTGCTCTGGAGACGCTGGTAACTAAACCCAGTGCCGATGGTCCAGCGACGCTCACGGTGAACGCCCACCGCTACACCTTCAGTCATGGGGTCAAGGTGGAGGAGACGCCACTCGCGTTTTTTATCGACTGCCGCGTTAGTGCAGAAGATGCGAGCTCCGAGCCAGCCCCTCCTGTCACGCTGGTGCTCAAGATATTTATTGAAGACGACGCGGATCTAGCGGGACGTGAGAGCTACGCGCTTTCGTGTTTGCAGCACGACGAGATGTCGAGGGCTTTCGCTCCTCGGCTCTACGATACGTCTCTGGAATATGAGCTTGTGCTGGGGAACGACAGTGAAGCGATGAAGTTGAACTGCTGCGTTCTGGTGCTGGAGACTCCGAGCTGCACGACGCTGCGCGCCCACATGGCTGCGTCTCGCGAGCCGCTAGTGCAGCAGATTTCCCGTGTAGTGGCAGCTCTACGCGCTCTCCACGCTCGAGGTCTTGTCCATGGAGCTCTACACGCCAACAGCCTCGTAGCGTGCTCGCCCGACGCTCGACTGAAGTTCTGGGGCCTCGAACACGCATCCAGAGCTGGTCACAAGGTTCCGTGCCCCGATCCGGACCTGCTCGAAACGTGGCAATCGGAGTGCGTCGCCCCTGAATTGGCTGCTCTCGCGTTAGAGGACAAGCACAGCTCACGCGCTGCCGCCTCGCTGGACGTCTGGAGTCTTGGAGTGATGATCCTCAAGATGCACGTCCCCGGTCGGCAGTTGGAAGAGTTCCAGGGCTGTTCAGCACCTCACGATGTATTTGACCGTCTCGCCACCTCCGACCTCGATAGTGAGCTGAGCAACACGTGCTACTTCCAGCGATCCATCGCCAAGTTCGTGCCGAGTGTTGACATGAAGGACCTATTGAGGCAGTGTCTTCAGCGCAATCCCATGTCGCGGCCGTCAGTTGACTCGATCTCCAAGCACAAGATCTTCCAGACCAAGGAGCGCGAGGTTTCACGGACCACGACAGTCAAGAGCGCGGTCGTGTCTCGAATGCTCTCGGCTATTATCGAGGAGAAAGGCTCACAACGTCCGTCGTCCGAGCCCGAGCGCGAAGCAAGCGGGAAGGACCAGATCCCGGTCGATAAGGAGCTTCAAGTGGTCACCGAGGGCGACGACAGTGAGCCGGAGCCTTTGCCGCCCAGTTTGTGGCTGTTCCTGCCCCCCGTGGAGCTGGAGGTTGACCTGACGTACCGTGCCAGCTTTTACTCAGTGGATCAGTGGGTTTCCAAGCTCAAGCGCCTACAACAACAAAGAGGAGAGGAGCTGCGGTTCCCGCTTGTCTTCATGTGCGAGTCCTGCGAGGCCAACGCGGCGGTTCCGTGCAGTATCACTACCTCCAACAAGTGTGGCGCGACGGTGACGACGTCCTTGCTGTCTCTGGTCATGCCGCTGGTCCGAGAGACCATGCTGTTCCTCGAAGCGCGCGCCATCTTGTCCAACGGTCTCAGCGTGGGCGAGACCAGCGGACTGTTAGGACCCCAGCAATGGGAAGAGCTGCGCACGTTCTACCAAGCGCTTGAACGCATGGAGCTGGCCACGTTGAACCCGGTCAATGAGGTGGAACTTGGCCCGATGGAGCAGCAACTGAAGGCTCGAGACCCGGAGAAGGCTCAGCAGGTGCTGGACGTACTCACCGCGCTCATTTTCTGCGAGGAGAAGCGCGAGTACGTGCGAAATCTGCTGGACGCCTTGGTTGGTGATGAGAATCTGACAGCGTCTCGAGTGGAACGGAGTAGCTGGGCAGCATTGCGGCGCTGTGATCGAGTGCTGGAAAGCTCGACGATTTCAGGTCGTACGCGGTGGCTATGCAGTCACCACGCGCCGCAAGAGAGCTGATTGTGTGTGGGTGTGTCATGAATCGAACTAAATACTCAAAGCTTGCTGTGCAGGCCCTGCACAATACAAATATGAGTCGTACAAGGGTAAATACTTAAATCATCATCAACATACGTTTGCCAGCTTTGCTTGGGCTCATTTTTTAGCATATTTAATGTGCTTGTGGTATCTTTAGCGTTAGCAAGTCGATTGAAATATCTTCGCAGAGTCGACGGGGTGTGACGTTAGTTTCAAAGAGTCTTTCCATTAGCCAACAGACTGGTCGCAGACTTTTCACCAGCCGACAGACTGGACGGCTCCCTCTCTACGGTCTTCGTCCCTAGTTCGGCAGCAGCCTACTGTAGGTATGTCGCGTGCTGACAGTACTGCCCCTGCAAGTGCAAGTCAAGTGTCGGCGCCTGCGGAGACTTTGGCTGTGGATTCTTTGCCCTCCCTTGTAGCCCAGACCGACGACGTCGCAACTTCTGGGACGCAAAAGGATGAGCAAGCCCCGCCACGTCCAGCAAAGCCGCCAAGAGCGTCGGCCTTCAAGCCAAGACTGTCCAGATTCCGGGGATCGAAGTCGTCGGAGCCAAGACCGTCCATCGTCCATGCCGTCGCTGCCGAAGTGGCCACTTTCTACGACGTCTTCGGGTTTCTTGGAGTGCCGATGATCATCGTGTTCCTCCTCTCGGCCGCGTGGACCTTCATGCTAGCAGCGATTTAAGTGAACGCCAACACAATCGCGAACTCCATCATGAACACCACCGAGTTCGACAATGGGCAGTTTTGGTCGCTCCCGCAGCCTGAACCTGAGCTCGTCATCTCGGCGGCAGTTCTCCTCTCGCTCTTTGGAGTTGGCTACTTGGCGTTGGCTGCCACCATGCTGTTCTTCTACCGCGCTGGCCGCCCCAGCGAGGACTCAGACGCGTCACATAATGACTCGCATAATGATATTGTCGACAAGCCAACTCAAGCTCCCTCATCGCCTCCTGCCTCGACAAGGAATGTATTGCATCGCTTCGTGTCGTGGGTGCACCGGTTACCTATGGACGTCCGTCAGCATTATTATGTAAGTTTTGGATGGGAGGTTATTCGAGTGTTTTGGGGGTTCCCAAGCTAACGATTTCCCCACTGCAGACAGCGGCGTTGGATCTGCCAAAACTCATTTTCCAGAGTATCACTCTTTACACCTACCTCCTGGATGGATTCCCGGTTGCGATTATCTATTACTACTCGGTCTTGCTGCTGCTCGTGGCTTGCTGCCGAAGCCAACATTACGTGAACGATCCAGATTTGATCATTGCTCGGCTTTACTACACGTAAGTGAAGTTTTATTTTACAGTACGCTTGCAAATCTCAACCTGTTTTTGTTGCTTCTTGTGGCCAGATTCGATCTCTTCTTCGCGGTGTTCGCACCCCTTGTGGTTCTTGTGTACTTATCACCTCGTTTCAGTTTGATCGTGCGGAATTCCTCACAAGAATGGAGACTCGCCCCCAGCACCTTCGACAATGTGGCCCGAATATTCGGCGATCCGTCCCAGATTTCAAGCTTCTGTAGTGCATTCCATTACCTGCAGTTGTCCTCAGGTGACACGCTATTCTACAAGTCTGCACTGAACCTGCTGTCCCTTTACAAATGGCGGAATGTTATTCTCACGCTGATCCGCAATTATCACGAGCGGGAACTCGACCGGAAGCGTAAAGCCTTGGTCGGACCAGTACCAATCGACTCGTCTCGCACATCAAGCCTCAAATCTATCGTCTCGAAGACTCTAACCGCGTCCAGATTGAAGCCTAAAGCAGGGAAGCACTTCGTGCCTAAACTCCTACTTTCTCTGGTGTTCTTCTTTTGGGGCATTTTCAACCTGGTGTTCTCGGTCGGATCGGTGCATTCGACGCAAAGTTTGTGTCGTAAGTACGCCAAGTGTGTTGTTCCAAGCTACCAGTGGAATATCGGTCGCAAACACTGCACGTGTCTTGTATTCGCCGACCGCGTGACCTCTTTAGAAACATACGCCGAGTGGGTTGACCCAGTTGATGCGACAAGCAATCTGGCCGAGCTGGCGGCTGCTGGAGAGCTGCATATAGTGCAAATTATCAATCGTGCTGTGCCTGCGCTGCCTGAAGAGCTAAGAGAATGCCATTCTCTTCAGCAGCTCATTCTTGTCTACACCAAAACCGAATCGTTGCCGGATTGGATGTCCGGATTCTCCCATCTCGAATACATGTAAGTATCCTGCCATTTTGTTACTTTAACAAGATATTTTGTTGTGAGAATCTAACCATAACCATTATTCGTTGTATGCGTTCTAGTCACGTTGAAGGGGACTTCACCAGCAAGAGACTTGCAACTGTGGCGGACGGGATCTTTGACAATATGCCGCACCTCACCTTCCTGCACTTGGGAGCAGTTCCGGATGTGGAAAAGCTACCATCACTGTCTTCCTTGAGAAACTTACGGTATCTAACGCTGGCTGTTATGGACTCGCTGGAGGAGATACCAAACTTTGACGGGCTCTCGTCCGTCACTGATTTGAGTATCATTCATGCCCCCCGAGCGACAGTCTTGCCATCTTTGAGCCCTTTAACGACTGGTCATCCGCGCCCGAAGCGCGGTTTGCTGCAATGGATTTCTATCGGGGACATGCAATATGACCGAGTCGCAATGCTTACCGATCTCCGGCGAGAAGTACCCTCTCACGTGCACAGATGCCCGTATTTCAGATGAAGACAAACTAATGGTTGAGTCGTTTGGTAGTAGATCAATCTGTCCCGCTTCGCCCCCTGTCGACCGAGAGAAGACCGCCCCGACCAAAACCTCGACGGATGAGCTCTGCAACGGAGTAAAGTACAAGGAGTGCACGCTAAATGGCGTTCAAGGAATATGCTACAACACGAGGATGATGGTCATCCAGTGCGAGACGACTTCTGGGTATATTCGAATGAGGAAGCTGCAGATTCAACGAGGTGTTGGAGATAAGTGCGATCCGGATGTGGAGGCGTGGTTTGGCTGTGCAAGTTCCTGATCAAAGATCTCAATCTAGGCTTTGCTCTCAACAACAACTAAATACAGAGAAATTCAGCTTATTATCAACTTAGTTGCCGGAGATAGAAGTTTCGAGTTCGATGGCGAGATTCCTACGGGCGAAGAAAAACACTTGAAACGACCGTCCCATCGTGCAAACGATCAAAACCACACACTTAACGTTGCCGCTATTCTTGCTTATCCTCCCGCTCAAGGCGGCAAGTGAAAATTGCAACGAACACGCTGCGGTTGCTTCATCGGTGACTTGTGCTGAGCGGAGATGTCTCCGCAGGTGGTTGGAGGCGTCGAAGATGACGGCAACGGCGTCGAGGCATCCGATGTGGTACCATCCCTCGTACTGGAGACGGACGATATCGTTTCATGCGGAGTCAAGCAGGAAGGCCAAGCTCAACAAGAAGAAGAGGAGGAAAAGAAGCAACAACAACAAGAAAAAGAACCTTCTCCAAGCTCGGAGAAATCTCGTTCACCACGACCGTCGTATCTGATGAATCGATTGTCCCGAGCGTCGTTTTCAGATGCTCGACCGTCCGTCGCGAACATTGTGGCGACTGAAGTGGCCACGTTCTACGACGTCTTTGGCGTGCTCGGAGTGCCCATGATGATTTTATTCGGCGTATCGGCCGCTTGGACGTTCATGCTGGCGGCCATTCAGATCCACGCGGACACGATGGCCAACAAGATCATGAAGACCACGGAGTTCGACAACGGCGAGTTCTGGCTGCTCCCGAAATCGGACACTGGCATCATTATTTCTGCCGTGATATTGCTTACCTTGTTCGGCACCGGGTACACGGCGTTGGCAGTGACGATGGTGTTTTTCTACCACAAGGGGGGCCCGAAACAGTCGGAATCAACGGAAGAAAACACTACGAGCACCCCCTCGAAAACGTCGAGAAGCTCGAGTATTTTGCTATCAGTAATTCCTCAGAATGGGTTCGTGATAAACGTGTACCAGCGTGGTTTGCGCTGGTATCAAGGACTACCAAGCGACGTTTGTGAACATTACTTTGTAAGTGCATTGGTTTTATGAAAGATATTAAGTCAGGTATCTAACATCTACGATTGGTGCGCGTTTGGCGTTGCAGACTGCAGCGCTAGACCTCCCGAAGCTTATTTTCCAGTCCATGACGATGTATACGTATCTCCGAAAGGGGTTTCCAACTCCCATCATTTACTACTATTCGGTGTTATTGCTTTGCAACTGGCTTGTCACCAGCTACCGAAGCCAGCACTACGTCGTGGATCCAAATCTGATCATTACTCGGCTCTACTACACGTAAGTGATACCTTCACAATTGTGCATTGTAGCGTAATGAGTCATACCTTATGACTAATCCATTGGTGTGGTTTAGTTTTGACCTTTTCTTCGCAGTGTTCGCGCCCCTTGTAGTTCTGATCTACTACATCTACACTTTCAAGTTTGATCGCGAAGAGTTTCTAACAAGGACCGAAACCCTCAGCCCCGGTATATTTGACGTCGTGGCTCGCATTTTTGCAGAGCCGTCGCAGATCTCCCGTTTCTGCAGTGCGTTCCACTACCTGCAGTTCTCGTCGGGCACCTCACTGTTCTACAAGTCTGCACTCAACCTCTTATCGCTCTACAAGTGGCGGAAAATCGTGCTGACTCTCATCCACAACCACCAGGAGAGACAACTCGAGCGGAAACGCCGGGCGTTGGTTGAACCAACCAAACCGAAATTATCCCGCCCTGGGATCATTAAAGCTGTCATCACCCGGACACTCTCGTCAACGCCGAAGATGGGGAAGCACGCCGCTCCGAAGCTCTTCCTCTCGTTTGTTTTCTTCGCTGCTGGAGTGCACAACTTTGTGTACTCGATCGGATCCGTGCAGTCCACAACAGCGCTATGCAGCAAGTATGACCAGTGCGCTCTCTATAGTTACTATTGGAACTTCGGTGAAAAAGATTGCACATGCCTGGTATTTGCCGACCGGGTGACTTCGCCGGCGACATTCGCGGAGTGGACCGACCCCAAGGATATCACGTCTCACCTTGCAGAGCTGGCAATGGCAGGAGAGCTACGCATTATTCAGATCATTAATCGAGCGGTACCAGAGCTACCGGAAGAACTCAGGCGATGCCATAAAATGGAGCAGCTCATTCTAGCGTACACCAAGACGCTTCATATCCCAGAATGGGTCTCGGAATTTTCCAGTCTGGAATATTTGTAAGTATTGCGATATTTGGCAATATGGTAACTCACAACTAACCTCATATCTAATGCGACTTCAATGTGACAGTCATATCGAAGGCGACTTTACGAGTAGACGGCTTTTATCCATTGCAGACGGAGTGTTCGATGAAATGGACCACCTCGCGTTCTTGCACGTGGGAACGTTACCGGACGTGGTTGCACTCCCATCGCTATCGTCTCTACACAAGCTACGCTACTTGACGCTGGCGGTTCTCGACTCCCTCACAGAGCTCCCTAGTTTTGAGGGGCTTACTTCACTCAGCGACCTGAACATCATCAACCTCCCAAGTGTGCAGGTTTTACCGTCCTTGGCTCCCTTGAGCAGCATCAAAAATATCGTGATTCGGGCCAGAAGCGCAGTATGCTGCAATGGGTTCATTACTGGCTCATGCAATATGACGGAGTCCCAGTGTTTGCCGATCGTCGGTGAGCATCACCCACTCTCGTGCACAGACGCACGCATTTCGGCTGAGGATAAAGCTGAGCTTGCATTGTTCAGCCGTACTATCTGTCCCGCTTCAATCCCGATCGATCGAGAATCGACAGCGCCAAGCAAGTACTCGACGGATGAACTCTGTGGAGGCGTCAAGTACAAACAGTGCACGTTGAATGGATATGAGGGCATATGCTACAACACGCGTATGATGGTCATCAACTGCGAGACTACAGCGAGCTATATCGCTATGCGCAAGCTCCAGATCCAGCGTGGAGTCGGAGAAGCCTGTGATCCGGACGTAGAAGCCTGGCTAGGCTGTACCAGCCCTTGACACATATCGTTTCGTCATATTTTAACTAACCTGCTATTATACATTTCATTGAAATGAAATGCAATATCCCGTGGTGAATAGTTATGAAGCAACACGCGCACTTAAGCATATCTTTTCACGCTAGCGGAGAACTATAATTTTCTCTGAAATACTGCTGTAATCTACCAATTGAAAGGCTCGATCAGAGGGAAATTAAGGGGCCTTGTTGCACGCGAAGATGTTCCTTCCATGCTAACTTTGGCACGGGGTCGACGCGATTTATCCTCCTTAAAGCTTTGGAATCTCTGAGGAAGATTGCACTCGTAGTAATTCGCATCTGAAGCGATTGTATAAATAATTCACACATACAAGTCCATTAGGTGAAAAATATTCACTGACTTGTACCTCAGAACTACTTCACTATTAAACAAAAACGAGCAATGTTCAATTGATGGTGGGTGGCATCGATAAGTATGGGGGTTGCAGGTAAGCTCAGATCCGCTGCCCCTTCAGTATTCCTACCTACATGTACCCGTAGCACCATCTAACCCTTACAGAGTCCCTTTAGCTCGTTGTATCTCCTGTGTCGCTCGTTGACCGCTCACTCCAACATGTTTAGCTCGACGAACAGGAACGTGACGGAAATGGCGAAAATAGAGACCTCAGCAGATCCGGACTTGTTTAGCTATTCTCGCCAGTCTACCACATCTCAATATGCCTTCTCAGGTAGACGAGCGTACAGTCGATGGAAGTCCAGAGTCCAGCCCCATGAACACCACCGCTGCTGCTGCTGCTGCTGCTGGTGGTGGTGCACAAGACGTGATTCCATCGCTCGTTTCCCAAACCGATGGGATCACCGACGAAATTCAGGAAAAAGACCCACGACTCACGTCATGTCGTCCCGAGAAAAAACGCTCGTCAAGACCTCCCCACCTCAAGCCGAGAGCGTCTCGAGAACCGTCAACAGACTCTAGACCGTCCGTTGTCAACTTTGTAGTCACTGAAGTTGCCACGTTCCATGACGTCTTCGGCATCCTCGGGGTACCCATGGTCATCATGTTCCTCGTGTCGGCTGCGTGGACGTTCATGCTAGTCGCTATTCAGGTCCACGCTGCGACGATAGCGAACGCTGTGATGAACACGACGGAGTTCGACAACGGCGAGTTCTGGCTGCTGCCGAAGCCCGAGACCCCACTCGTCGTGGCCTCGGCGATTCTGTTTACGCTTTTCGGAGTTGGCTACACGGCGTTGGCAGTCATGATCGTCTTTTTCTACCGAGCTGGCGCGCTGAAAGACGCCGAGACAAGTATTGACTCCGATCCGGGAATGAACAATTCATCTCGGTACTCGAGCATGCAAGCGGCGATTCAGCAAAAAATAACGAAACAGAATTTTGTCCAGAATATGATCTTGTGGGCGCGCGGATTGCCCGAAGACGTCTGCGAGCACTACTTCGTAAGTGACCGTGGTTGGATTTTCGCGTGGAAAATGGCTACTAATTACTTTGATGTGTGACTTTACAGACCGCTGCATTGGACCTCCTGAAACTTGTTTTCCAGACCATCACACTGTACACGTACCTTCGGTAGGGATTTCCAAACCCCACCATTCATTACTACTCCATTATGTTGCTTTGTAACTGGTTTGCCGCTAGCTACAGGGGCCAGCACTACGTTGTGGACCCCAACTTAATCATCGCTCGCCTCTATTACACGTGAGTGTCTGTATTCATCACATATCACTGTATTACAGTATTACAGTAAAACAACTAACCACTGTTATTGTAGATTCGATCTTTTCTTTGCAGTGTTTGCGCCTCTCGTGGTTCTGATCTACTGTCTACACTTTCAAGTTTGACCGCGAGGAATTTCTCACTAGAGTGGAGACCCCAGTCCTCGTACATTTGACAATGTGGCCCGCATTTTTGGCGATCCCGCTCAAATCTCGAGCTTCTGCAACGCATTTCACTACTTGCAGTTCTCATCTGGCACCTCGCTATTCTACAAGTCTGCACTCAACCTCCTCTCGCTCTATAAGTGGCGCAAAATGATCCTGACGCTCATCCACAACCACCACGAGAGGCAACTGGAGCGAAAGCGCAAGGCGCTGATAGGGCCAAAAAAGCTCAGTTCACCACTCCCCGTAAGTGTCAAGGCGACGATCACGAAAAAACTCTCATCGTCGATTTCAACGCCGAAATTTGGGAAACATTTTGTCCCGAAATTCTTTATCTCATTGATTTTCTTCGGCGCTGGAGTGCACAACTTTGTCTACTCGATTGGGTCTGTGCATTCGACTCGAGAATTGTGCAGCAAATATGACAAGTGCGCTCTGTATAGTTACTGGTGGAATTTCGGAGAAAAGCACTGTACGTGCTTGGTATTCGCCGACCGGGAGACGACACCAACGACATATGCGGAATGGACTAGTCCAAATGACACCACAGCTAATCTCGCAGAGTTGGCTATGGCGGGAGAGCTGCGCATTGTTCAGATCATTAATCGTGCTGTCCCCGATCTACCGGAAGAACTGACGAGATGCCACCGACTGGAGCAGCTGATTCTACTTTACACCAAAACGATCCACCTCCCGGAGTGGCTGTCCGAGTTCAGGAGCCTGGACTACTTGTAAGTATCTTCATTTTTTATGGCAAAATATTTGTAATTAATTCGCTAATACTCTCTGTGTGTGGCTCATTGTCCTAGCCATGTCGAAGGTGACTTCACGGATAGAAGGCTCCAAACAATCCCCGACGGCATGTTCAACCATCTGGAGCACCTTTCCTTCTTGCATTTGGGGACTTTACCTGCTCTGAAGACTCTACCGTCAATGGCTTCGCTCAAGAATGTGCGGTACTTGACCCTCGCAGTTCTCAGCTCGTTCATCGAGATCCCGAGCTTTGAAGGTCTTTCTTCCGTCAGCGACTTGAACCTCATCCACCTCCCGAGCGCCCCCACTTTGCCGTCATTGGCGCCACTGAAGCGTTTGACGCAGATGGTGATCTTACCACGTAGTGCTGTGTGTTGCAGTGGCTACATATCGGGAACGTGCAACATGACGGAGCCCCAGTGCCTCCCAATTGCAAATGAAAGCCACCCACTCGTGTGAACGGATTTCAGCGGAAGATAAAGCGAAGCTGGATTCGTTTGGAGACACGATCTGCCCGCCTTCAATGCCTCAGGACATGGAGCAGGCGGCGCCATGCAAGTATTCAACCGATGTACTCTGCGGTGGGGTCCTGTATAAGGAATGTTCCTTCAACGGGAAGCAGGGAATGTGTTTCAACTCGCGTATGATGGTCATCAACTGCGAGACTACGCCCAACTACATTGCCATGCGAAAGCTTCAGATCGAGCGCGGGGTGGGCAAGGAATGCGACCCCGAGGTGGAAGCCTGGCTTGGCTGTCCTAACAACTAAGGTTAGACCATAGAATCAAATCGAGTACATTTCGTTAAGAGGGCATGCATAAAAAGCTTCTTTTAATATTCTATGTAGATGTCCTATCACCCCTCGTTTTGTTTTAGGTCAGTTACCAAACCTTAGGCGCCACGGTGGGTTTCGTCACGAGTCAACAGACGCTAGCTCGGTCCTGATTTAACCGAAGCCTTCTTCAGTGAAAAGGCCCGGTGGTCGCGATGCCAGCGCCCTCGACCGGGGGTGAACATCCCCCAAACTCTGGAGGAGACTCGGTGAGAGCTGCGGATATGGACCTCCTCGTGTCCCATACCGACGACGTCGGAGGTTCGAGTAAGCTCCAAGGACACGAAGCTGCGAAACCCGAACGCATCCGAGCTCCAAGACCGTCAATGCTCAAGTCGTTGACGCCGAAAGCCTCGTGGAAGGGGTCACTCAACGAGGACGGACCGACTGTCGTGAACATCGTGGCCTCAGAAGTTGCAACTTTCTACGACGTCTTCGGCATCCTCGGAGTTCCGATGATCATCATGTTCGTCGTGTCAGCTGCGTGGACGTTCATGCTCGCCGCGATCCAGGTCCACGCCGACTCGATCGCGAACACTATTATGAACACGACGGAGTTCGATGACGGCGAGTTCTGGCTGCTGCCGAAGCCTGACACTTCAATTGTCGTGGCTTCCGTGGTCCTGCTCGCGTGCTTTGGTATTGGCTACACGGCGTTGGCGGTGACGATCATCTTCTTTTACCGAGCGGGCGCCCCCAAAGAGGATGATGATCTCTCGTTGGCGAGTCTCAACGGCCCTGCCAAGACCAAAACTACCGAATCTCTTGAGGTTGCGACGACTGAAGTGGTGTTGAAGCAGAATGGACAGAAAAACGTAATTCAACGAGTCATCAAGTGGCTTCGCGAGCTGCCGACCGACATTCGAGAGCACTACTTCGTGAGAACCCTCGTTTCATCCGAACGAGTAAGCTGAGGTGGCCGTGTACTCTAACGCTGATTGTTGTTGCATTCCTTGTTGCTCTAGACCGCTGCTTTGGACATGCCCAAGCTTGTGTTTCAGACCCTCACGTTGTATACTTACCTCAAGAAAGGCTTTCCGACTCCGATCATTTACTATTACTCCGTCTTGCTGGTTTGCAACTGGCTTGTGGCTTGCTATCGAAGTCAGCGTTACGTTGCCGACCCAGATCTCATCATCGCGCGACTCTACTACACGTACGTTGGCACCTAAAAATGTTAGGTTTTAACCGTGTACACTGTAAACTAACACTCAAGGCTCATTTTGTAGCTTTGACTTATTCTTTGCAGTGTTTGCGCCCTTGGTGGTGCTTATCTACTACATCAACTCGTTCAGCTTCGACCGAGATGAATTCATGACAAGAATCGAGACTCTCAGCCCCGGCTCGTTTGATGATATCGCTCGGATATTCGGAGATCCGTCGCAGATTTCGAGTTTCTGCAGTGCATTCCACTACTTGCAGTTCTCGTCGGGATCGTCACTCTTTTACAAGTCGGCACTTAATCTTTTATCGCTGTACAAGTGGCACAAGATCATCAAGACTCTCATCCACAACTACCACGAGCGACAAGCTGAACGGAAGCGGAAGGCTTCCATTAAACCAGCCACGCGTGAGTCTCGTTCTGGGAGTATCACTGCAGCAATTACCAAAAGATTATCGGAGACGCTGACGAAGCCGAAGTTTGGGAAGCATTTCGTGCCAAAGTTGCTGCTGTCGCTCGTCTTTTTAGTTGCTGGAATTTCCAACTTCGTCTACTCGGTCGGATCCGTTGTCTCCACTACAGAATTGTGTAGTAAGTTTGACAAGTGCGTGCTTGCGAGCTACCAGTGGAATTTTGGCGAGCAGCACTGCACTTGCCTCGTGTTTGCGGACCGACAAATATCCCCGAAAAATTATGAAGAGTGGATTAATCCCGAGGACACGACGTCTAAACTGGCAGAGCTGGCTGTGGCTGGAGAGCTCCGCATCGTCCAAATTATCAATCGTGCTGTTCCAGAACTTCCGGAAGAGCTCAAGGCGTGTCGTTACATGGAGCAGCTGATCTTGGCTTACACTAAAACTCAGCATTTGCCGGAATGGATGTCGGAGTTCTCCCACTTAGAATACCTGTAAGTATTTTTGTTTGCCTCAGATGAATCTAATAGCAAGATACTAACGCGGTTATTTATTTGTATGCAGCCACGTTGAGGGAGATTATACTGATCGACGACTAAATTCGGTGGCCGACGGCATATTCGACACAATGTCACATCTCACATTCATCCACTTGGGGGTCCACCCAAACTTGGAGAAATTGCCGTCCTTCTCTTCACTGAAGAATCTTCGCTACTTGGCACTGGCGGTCATGGACTCTTTGATTGAGATACCGAGCTTCGAAGGTCTGTCGGAGCTTGGTGACATCATCATCGCTCATATTCCTCGTGCTTCAAGGCTGCCTTCGCTCGAACCTTTAGACAGCCTGAGATCCATAGTGGTGAATAGCCGGAGTGCCATGTGCTGCAATGGCTACTTCACTGGCACGTGCAACATGACCGAGTCTCAGTGTCTGCCGATTGTTGGAGAGAAGTACCCTCTGACCTGCAGCGACGAGCGCATTTCGACGGCTGACAAGGAGAAACTGGGAAAGATCACGAGCGTTATCTGCCCTCCCGGACCCCCCGTCGACATGACGAAAGCTGGACCGACTAAATATTCGACCGATGAACTCTGTGGCGGCGTCAAGTACAAGAAGTGTGAGCTTAATGGCGTGGAAGGAATGTGCTACAACGCTAGGATGATGGTCATCCAGTGCAGCACCTCGACGGACTATATGAATATGCGCAGGCTGCAGATAAAACGTGGGGTTGGTGACGCGTGTGACCCAGCGGTGGAAGCTTGGCTTGGTTGCACGTAATGCGTTCGAGGAATCACATTCTTCTCAGCTCAAAGAGCACAACTACATTAATAAAAAGAAGCATGCATTTGCTATTGGGAGCTGACTGAAAAAAAACTATATTTTATACACTAATGGGCACTGTAAACAACAGCTAGTTACGTCACAGTGGTGGAAGCTTGGCTTTTGGTTGCATGTAATGCGTTCGAGTAAGACATTTGCTCCAAATGCTCCCAGATTCATGGTCTAGGGTGACGACATTTGCCAACCGCCCCCGTCAGGGGAGCAATGCCAGCACCCCAACATGCGCCATCCTCCCCTCGATCCCGTCTCGGCGACGCTGGCCGCAGGGCCCTCGCGACGGCGCTCCAACCCACTTCCCCGCGCTTCACCCCTCCCAGCCCGAGTTCAGTCGAAGCTCGACCTCCTTCAACACCGCAAGCTCCACCCGCCATCTCCATCCCGCTTGCCACGAGTGGCAACGGAGTGTCCCCACGCCCAAGCGGTTCCCCCGAAGATGTTCGGGATGGCCAGTAAAGCCGTTCTTGCAGTGTTCGCGAGCGCGGGGGCGTGCAGGCACATCCGGCCGCGCTTGGCCTGCATGCCGACGGCTGAGCACTTGCCCGACTTCAACACCAGCCCCACCGGTACGGTCACCGAGTACCAACTCGCGCAAGGATCGACTGTCGCCACGCCCGCTGAGCGCCAGCCAGCCACCTCGCCTCCCGTTGCGCCCACCGAGCAGCAGCCAACTTCAGCAGATGCCCAACTACCAACGCCTGATGATAACTACCAACCACGACACCCGCCCTCGTGCCGACCAGGCACCTGGCAAAGGCCGGAAGGAGAAGAAACCAAAGCCGACGATACACAGAATCCCCATGATCCAGCGCGCCGCGATGACCGCCTACCATCGCGAGGGCTAGGCCAAGTGTGAAAAAGTCACACTGACTGAAGCGGCCAAGATTGGTGGTTGCTCGGTGACATCACAGACCCAGAGCGCAAAGAGATCAAGATCGGGATGTTCTTGCTGAGGATCAACCAAAACCTCCTCGACGCGTTGGCAGCAGGTGTCACTGTGCTGCTCATGATTGACCTTAGCCAGGCTCGGGGGAAAGGTATCGAGTGTGTTGCGGACCTAATTTGGGCTGGAGCCGAAGACTGCCATCTTCGACGGCCGGTTTGTCTTTATATATAATAATGCTGCGACTGCTTTGGTTTTACATTTACGAAAATGTGGGTTGTCTAGATTCTTATCCATGGCTCGCAAAACTGGACGAATAGCGGGATGCTGGGACCCAACTTCGAGTGCACGATAGTTCTCAGCGGGTCGATTGGTACGAGTACCCGCACCGCATTTTATCTCAGCGGTGTTAACCTTAAAGAGCTTCTATATCTGAGCACAACTCAAGACCTGAGGAGATCCAAGCGAGCGAAGGCAGCCATGGAGACGGAGGCGCGATGAGGAAGTATTGGAGGAGTACTGGCACTCTGCGGAGGAGACGCAAGGAGCAAGCGGCAGCAAGCGCAAGAGGGCGAGGAAGAGAACGTTGGCTTGACCGCTGTTGGGGGGGGGGCTTGACCGCTATTCCCGGGATTGTCCCGCGACCAATCGTCACCAAATGCCAGCATCGGCGACCATCTACCAGCTGTCCTTCATAATGTCCCGTGGGTCCCGACTTGTCCTAAAGTGACACACCCTCTAATAATAGTTTAACTAAATGAACCTAAGCGGGGAGGTTCATGACATCTATCCGCATATCTGAAGTGGCGGACTCGCCGACATGCCCCACAATACGAGAGGCGGCGCGCTACTAAGCCACAGAACGCGTGCGTACGCATGCAAGCTAAGGAGAAGACGCTTGTCGCGACGAGGAAGAAGGCGGGCCGAGGGTAGCAAGTCTTTGAAGTTGAGAAGCTCACTGTTGCATCGCTTTATTCTGCGGCATCATGACGTGTGTTACTGTACTATTATATGATGTAGGCGCATGGCCAAGATAACGATGGATAGCAAAAACTGGTTGGAAGTATCGCTACAGGGCGCCTCCAGCCTAACGACGGCGACTGTGAGTGCCGTCGCTAGCTGCGGCTAATGCTGAATCGCAAGCACTGTCCCGTGTTGTACCTCGACTCAGACGAGGACTTCAACACGTACACCAAGCAGCTCCAGACGTGCGCGCTCGGCTCCTGACGCCCTGACGTCGAGGTTTGCTCGCTGCACTTAAGGTACTGTGATATTTACTACCGTAGTCTAATAGTTCTAAGCGGACTAATTGATCAGTTGTATTCATTTGTTCTGTGTTGTTGGTCATGTAGAGCCTTCCTAAGCTGACGTAAAATATGCACTGATTGATTTCCCACTCTGAGCTTTGTACTTACAGTACTTGTTGTTGCCTGATGGACCGCATCTTCGTCTCAACTCGTAGCAGCTCTTACACGCTGACTGTTTTGAGTGCTTCGCAGGGACGTCGCCCCTGTGCTGATCACTGCTGCGGGAGTCTTTTGGTGCGTTTGGCTGTGTCTGGATTGTCATCTTCTTGCGCGCAGAGGGTTCTTCGGAGTAATTGGGAGCAGCTGCATCGGACTGAGCTGCTGGTGACACCTTCCGCTTTTTGGACCGATTTTCAAGGCGACCGCGGAGAGCATTGATGGATAGTGCCGACCCAGGTTTGATACGCTGAAATTCCTCGAAGATCATCCTCCATTTTCCAGGTGTATTTTTTTCAAACGAATCCGCATAACTTCACAGGTGCTGTTTGGTCCCAGCATCCATGACTTCGGGCAGCACACGAGGGGGCCCTGGTACTGCAGCGACTACAGACGCAATCGTTTCACCGTTCGTGACAGCGCTTTTACAACTAGTCTCTGGAGCCAATTGCGCGTTGGCAGTGAGAAGTACAGGCTCGCGCAACGCGGTACCACTCGCCTCGCTGTTCGACAACTTCAGGCCTACTTGTAGACGAGGTGAAGGTGCACTCGCCACTTCGGTTGGCTCTTGACCTTCATTATCACGATTTCGGCGCAACTGTCGTTTACCTAGTGACTCCCAACGCTTTTTCAACCAGGCCGTCGACTTCGGTCTAATTTCCGGACAAACACACGACGCCAATTGGTACACATTGTAGTACACTTGCTTCACCTTCTTAATACCAGACGAGTAGCGTAGCATCGTGAATAGCTCCTCCTGCAACACCCGTTCATCTCCGGACGAGGTGCTTTCATCAACAGCTTTCACGGTGATAGGGATCATGGCTGTACTTGCTTTTGGCGCGGGGCTTCGTGCTATCTGCTCATCAACGGCCGACAGGCGACGAGAGATTGATCTAAAACTTCGCTTTCGAAGATCGAGCGCGGGATTGTCGATCTGGTCGACAGCACAGTTAAATATTATAGTCGCGACCACCTCGCACGTATTCCACGGTTGACTCGACGCCAATTGCTCCCCTCGAATCTCCTTCAGCAAGGAGAACTCGTGTGAGGAGAATTCATTTGTGGATTCGTATTCTGGCTCCAAACGAAGAAATGTTACAAACTCAGCTCGAGAGGTCTGCTTTCGATTCACACGTGAGCGCACGAGAAGCCGCCGGATATCTGTAGTCGGAGCATGCTGATCTAGCATCCTCCCTTCGGCTCTATCAGTTCGCAGGCGGATTAGATCACTCAGTCTTTCCCATGGTCTGTTCTCGTAATTGCTGGATACTCCAGCACGATACGACGGACTACACAAACTGGAACCTTGGCGCGTAATTAGCTCGTACATGAACTCCAGCTGAGGAGAGGCAGGAAATTGCTCGCGACCCAAAACAGCAGCAAGGCACATCGTCAAGAAGTCAAACTCAAAAAATTCAGGATTTCTTCCGAACTTGGCCCCTACTTTCAAATTGTGCTAGACACCACAGCATTAGATACGCATATAGTAGAATCTGATCTGCATGCAATTACCTGCAAGAGGAAGATGTCGAGTATACGAAGGCCCGTTTCGTACGATACAATACGATCTAAGAGCTTGCGGAGTTTGGAATGAACTGCTTCGAGCTGATCGAAAGTACTGGTACCCTGCCGCCATTCTCGACGTATTCAGCCTCGCCAACAAATAAATCTCCTACTCGGATCTGGTTCAGGTTGCTAGCTATGCATCCTTGCCACTCAGGCTCTTTGACATTGAGGCTTGAAGCTGGAATCTTGCCCAGAGCGGTTGAAAACAGTGTAGCCATTTCTTCGGGCTCTCGTATTTTGTGGTCGGCCGTGTAAATAGCAGAGGACAGCTCAGTCGCTAGCCATCCCCGCATGACGTGATCCTTTACCTTCTCTGTGAACCTTTGGATGACGTGGAAAGGGTCTTGTTTGACTACCAATGCACCGTTGAAGACCTTGTCAATGAGGCTTCGTGTGCCGTTGGCGTGGTCGGTTATACAGAAGCGAGATTCAAGTGGTTTTGACGCTAATTGCGCGGCCACAGGTTTAGAATTGCCGCAGTTTCAGCGTGATTTTCTGAGTGCGTCAGGCCACGAGCAACAATTTGACCGATTTCATTTTGGGCAAGTAGTAGCATACGTACCTCGCGTGATTGATCTTTCTTACCTTGAGCACCAAATACTTTGAGTTTGCTGCAAAACTTTTGCGAATTATCTAGACGAATCACTCGCTTGATTTTGCACTGTGTCATGTGGGCTTCAAGCAAACGAGAGCATATTTCAGTCTGGGTCAGCCATATCTTTTGAAGAGCCTCATCATCAAGACATGCGTTCGCTTCCATGTATTGCTCCAATGACACTAGCATAGGAGGCGAATAGTTTGCTTCTTTTTGCCTTCGCTTCTCCGCCTCGACACCTGCAACAGATAAGAGAGCATAATAGCGTCTCTGACGACAACGGGTGACGCTGCTGCTTGCCCCAGATATGCCTCTTGTCGTTAGCATGCTATCATAAACAAGGTTAGACAGCTCGCGTGATACACCCGTTTGATAGGTTAGAAGGTAAGGGAATGGTAGCAAGAGTTCTGGTGATGATGCTAGATACTCATCGTCGATAGTTGAAAATGTGCGTGTTGCATGAGGCCCTGTACAGCAATACCTTGCATAATACAAAACAGTCTTGTGATCGACGTCGTGTGTGTACCGCTGCAAATACTCCTTCACTTTTGGCTCACACAGACACCCCTCAACAACGCATTTTGGAACGCGGCTAGTGCGAAGGCACTCCGGGGCCCAGGCGAGCGTAGGGTGGCCGTGCCATGAGGAGAAAAGGAAGTCCTTTTTCTTCTCGGGAAGCTGCAATTCAGGAGGGAACTTCCTCAGGGCGATGGCGTCCCGCACAGCAACGAGTGCTGCGGACGCCTTCTTGCCCATATGAAAACAAATAACGACTGTTCCCAATAAAAAAAGCGGCGGCACGTTGTTCCCGACTACTTTGGCTTTGCTGGGGCTGAGAGCATGAAACATTTTTTAAAAAAAATGCGTTTTTCCTTCGAAACTCACCCCGAGACCAGATCCACTACAGTGGTTTCACGCTATATATGTTTTTCGAAGTACTATGTAGCTATTTTATTCCTAGAGTTGTGCTACTTCAGCGATTACAACGGCAACGCCGCGGGAAGAGACTGAAAGCCCGCCTCCAAGCGTTGACTCTGGCGTCTCTGTAAGCGCTCGAATGGCAGACCCGGTTTCAGCTCTGGTGTCCAAGACGGATGATGTGGGGCATACAGGCAAAGTCAAGGCCCCAGATCAACACTCCACCCTTGGTCTGAACACCGAAAGTATCCTGCCCCCGCAAGCTATACCGGTCGAATCAAAATCTCCCAGAGGCTCCTGGACCGAGCGGTTCCCGGGTCACGCTGTGGTTAGCTCCGTAGCGACTGAGGTGGCCACGTTCTACGACGTTTTCGGCCTACTTGGTGTGCCGATGATCCTCGTCTTTATCGTATCCGCCGCCTGGACGTTCATTCTAGCCGCGATCCAGATTCATGGCACTACTGTGGCGAATACCATTATGAACACGACACAGTTCGACAACGGGGAGTTCTGGCTGCTGCCTCAGCAAGATACCTCACTGGTTGTCTCCTCCATCGTGCTGCTGTCGATATTTGGGATTGGTTATACAGCGTTGGCAGTAATCATGATCTTCTATTATCGTGTTGGCCAACCCGACGAGGTGAAACACTCGCAAGATAAGCCACGCCCTAAGAATGAGGACCCAGACAACGACGCGGCAACTGCGACGAACGAAGCGAAGGGAACGAAGCTCCAACGCCTGCGAGTCTGGATTTACGCGTTGCCGCATGATATTCGGGAGCATTATTTCGTAAGTTTGATCGTAATTCTTTATCAGTGGAGAGTAATTCACTAATTATTGCTTAAAATGGGGGACAGACAGCAGCTTTGGATCTCCCGAAGCTCATATTCCAGACGCTCACACTCTATACGTACCTTCGAAAGGGATTTCCGACTGCGATCATCTACTACTACTCCGTCCTGTTGCTTTGCAACTGGCTCGTAACTTGCTATCGAAGCCAGCGCTACGTGTCCGATCCAGATTTGATCATTGCTCGCCTCTACTACACGTAAGTACGTTGGTACTAAAAGTAGTGGTGACGCAATATCTTCTAACTTGATACGATGTTGTGCAGCTTTGACCTTTTCTTTGCAGTGTTTGCACCTCTCGTGGTTCTGATCTACTTCATCTACACCTTCAAGTTCGATCGTGCAGAGTTTCTCACTCGTATGGAAAGTATCACCCCTGGGTCTTTTGATATCGTCGCCCGCATCTTCGGTGATCCGTCGCAAATTTCGAGCTTTTGCAGCGCGTTCCACTACTTGCAGTTCTCGTCGGGCACTGCGCTCTTCTACAAGTCTGCTCTGAACGTTCTATCGATATACAAGTGGCGGAAGATCATCATGACGTTGAATCACAACCATCACGAGCGACAAATCGAACGGAAACGGAAGGCTCTGATTAAACCGGTCGCGCGTGAATCACGCACGGGGAGCATCAAAGCCGCAATCACGAAAAAGCTTTCCGAGTCGCTGTCGAAGCCCAAATTCGGGAAGCATTTTGTTCCCAAGCTTTTTCTATCGCTTATCTTCTTCGTTGCAGGTGTCTGCATGTTTATCTATTCAGTCGGCTCTGTGCAGTCCACTGTGGAGTTGTGCAGCAAGTACGAGAAGTGCGTCATCCCCAGCTACCAGTGGAATTTCAATGAGAAGCACTGCACCTGCCTCGTGTTCGTAGACCGCGAGACTTCGCCCACAAAATATTCCGATTGGATCGACCCACCAGACACCACGTCGAATCTTGCAGAACTTGCCATCGCCGGAGAACTACGAATCGTCCAAATTATTAATCGTGCGGTCCCTGAATTACCAGAAGAGTTGAAGAATTGCCGCAACATCGAGCAATTAATCCTCGTCTACACCAAAACTACAGCTCTTCCAGCTTGGCTTGCCGAGTTCACTCATCTCGAATACTTGTACGTATTTCAAAGTGTGTCATAGTAGTGAAGAATGTTTTACCAACTACATTGATCCATGAATGCTATAGCCACCTCGAGGGCGACTACACAAGCAGACGACTCACAACCATAGCCGACGGCATCTTTAACAACATGCCTCACCTCACCTTCCTCCACTTCGGTGGAATCCCCAACGTTGAGAAGATCCCATCGCTCGCATCTCTAAAGCGCTTACGCTATCTGACTCTAGCGGTCTTGGACTCGCTCAAGGAGTTGCCAAGCTTCGAAGGGCTGTCCAAACTCGACGACCTCGACATCGTTCACGCGCTACGAGCCCCCACTTTACCTTCTCTGGCCCCCCTAACGAGCTTGAAATCCTTGGTGATCCGAGCGAGAATGGCTGTCTGCTGCAACGGCTTCATTACTGGGACGTGCAACATGACCGAGTCGCAGTGTTTGCCCATTTCAGGTGAAAAGTACCCTCTCACCTGCACGGATGAACGAATCTCAGCTGAGGATAAACTATTACTCGACTCGTTCGGAAGCTCAATCTGCCCCTCCGCGCCTCCACTCAACCGAGAAGCAATGGCCCCCAGTAAATATACGACGGATGAGCTCTGCAATGGAGTGAAGTACAAGGAATGCACCCTCAATGGCAAGCAAGGAATCTGCTTTAACACCAGGATGATGGTCATCCAATGCGAAACGACGTCCGGGTATATTGCGATGCGTAAACTACATATCCAGCGTGGCGTTGGGGACGCTTGTGATCCGAATGTCGAGGCTTGGCTAGGCTGTAGTTAAGCAGGAGAATTAGAGAACGACAATTACATTTATTTTTCCATCACACCACTACATTTTGGGGGGGGGTATTCTGAAGAATATTTTTCACGCACTCCAGATCTTCGGGCAGATCCTCTGAAAGTGCGCGTTGGGGGTCCACGAGTAGTCTCCGTCGATATCGAGGTAGCATTTGGGCAGGTTCGAGGTCCAGTAGAACACTTTAAGGGCGGTGCGGCAGAACAGGTGACTGCAGACGGAATCTTGGAGTGCCCCGTTGGGAGGCGTCTTGAACGGGTAAATCTCGTAGTTGCCCACGACGTTGCAGATGCCGAGGTAGTTGGCCAGAGGGGTGGCTTGGGCGATGTTTTTGATCGTGTCGAGTTGAGCGGCGCTGCAGTTCGGGAAGATGGCGGCACCGTTGACAACGGCGAGAGATGCCAGTAATAGACCGATGACGAAGCGAGCGAAGGACATCGGACGCGTCAGGGGGTTGTCACTTGTGGTGCTCGAAGTAAATTGAGGAGTGGTGGGTGGGCTATCTAGCGCTGCTGGTGTTGAGAGAAGGCTCATGCAAGCCTCGGGCCTTGGTTATCCATGCATTGTCGATTTTTTGCCTTCGTGGTAGATCTAGAATAGACCTGACATTTGCTCGAATATCATGAAAAAAGATGATTCATGTTATTTGGACTGGCGAAATCAATGACATCAAGAAGTGGGAGCAAACCAGCAATGCCAAGCAATAATAAAACTATATATTACGCCTTAGATGATCTGCAGCAGTGGGGTCCGCTTTCTTCGGAGGTTCCTCCTTGCCTCCGATGCTGATAACTCGTCGGCCAAAGATGCTGAAGTGGTAGCCAGGCTCAAAGCGGTCCATGGGATTTGTCCGCACGAAAAGCAACACTACCAGGCCGGCCAGGATGAGAACGAAGATGTCGTTCACCGTCGAGATGTACGCGTCGCTGATGGACACCCCCGCTTCGATCTGTCTGCTGTACGTATTGTTGAATGTGATGCCTCCCACGACGCCGCCAATGGACCACGCTGTCAGGATGAGACCGTGCATGGCTCCAATGTTAAATGCACCAAACATGTCGGTCAAGAACGCCGGGATGGTCCCGAATCCGCCGCCGTAGCTCGCAGTCAGCACGAAGATCTCAATCACGAAGGTCGTGTACTGGTTGTTGCGAATCAGCATGGGCGTAGTGCCCACGATGGCCACCTGCAGCACCAGCGTCGTGTAGAACACACACTTTCTTGCGAACGCGTGCTCGATGTTGAAATTGCGGGCCACCAGGTCGGACGAGAGCGAGAAGAAGAGCCGCCCGAAGCAGTTGAACACGCCGTTGATGGACACGATGTTGGCCGCCTCGTCGCCCGAGCGTCCGAAGATGTCGGTGCACATGTTCGACAGCTTGGAGAGCACAACCAAGCCGTAGATCTGGTTGGCGAAGAACATGAGGTACATACACAGGAAGTCGGGCGACTTGATGGCGTCGATCAGCGACAGCTTGCGCACCTGCGCGTTGGTGCTGATAATGAAGTCGATGTCGTTGTCGGGCGTCGCAGACTCGTACTGGTTCTTGGGCGTGGCCCGGCCTTCGCTCTCCGTCATCAGCTCGGCCTCGTCGACCATTTCACCATGAATATTCAGTCCACCAACAGTGAACTCGAGGTGCGGCGTGCGCAGGACGATGGCGCACAAGTACATGGTGCCGGCCATCGCGCAGCCAACAACCAAGAAGGTCGAGGACACCCCCACCGCCTCAATACACGGCCGGTAGACTTTGGCCCACGCCACAGCACCAGCTCCATACCCCGCAACAGCGAAGCCCGCAGCAGCGCCGCGGTAGTCGGGGAACCATTTCTGTAGAGCGGACACTGGGGCGATGTAGCACAGCCCCATACCGAACCCGCAGAAGAACCCGTAGCCGACGTACACCGCTGCGATCGTCTTGTGCGCCACACCGATTGCCACGATCACATGACCCAGGAGAAACGAGGTCGTGCCTAGCACCACGCCGTACCTCGGGCCGTTGCGTTCAATCCACGGACCCATGATGGCCGTCGTCGTACCAAAGACGCCCACTGCAATGTAGAAGGCGTTGACGGCATAGCCGGCTTTCGGGTCACTGAACACGTACTCGTCGATAGGTCGGTTGAACACCGACCAGGAGTAGAGCGACCCGATACAGAACTGCACCAGGAAACTCGCGAAGAAGAGGTACCACCGAGAGAACCGCAAGCACTGCGCTGAGTAGTACCGGTCCTTGCCCAGGTAGAACGTGAACAGCCACTCCTCTGCGTCGTACTGCTCCGGTGAACAGGTTTTTCTCGATACGGTCCAGTGGCTGGCGATCTTCGCTAGCACCAATTGCAGGCACGTTTTGTGTTCCATCGCCACCGTGGGCATTGCGCTCGGAGAACCGGGAGACCAGCAATCGACGTGCTGCGTTGTCTTTGAGCAGGCCGATTGAGGAATGAGAGCGGCGAGGCTTTACTTGAAGGGGTACCGAATAACTGGTCCTTGTGGATAGAAGAGATCTAAGGGTGCTTGTTTATTCTTACAGATGGGAGCTGTCGATTGGGAACGGGAACGCAGAGAGCGTCAAAACGCGTTCTTATCTTGTGTTACAGCTTTCCCAAAATGGTGTGGAAAACGATATGGTATAGTACAAGTGCAGTGACAAGGAAGTTGGCGTCCGTTCCGGTGGGATCTTCAGCTGGCCAAAGATGGCAACGCTTCAACAGCTTCAACAATGGATCAGCGCGCATTTGTTTACTTGTAACCAGGCGGTATTGGAGTAATTCTTCAACTCGGAGCCGTTGAATCGCTGGTCCGTTGGTCCGGGGTCCGGTAAATGTATTTGGGATGAAGTACAACATGAATTGACCTTTTACAGCTATGAATACCTTCTCGCCACTCCATCGCCTGCACATTCGTGCTCGACTACGCCGTCTCCAGCAGTGGTTCCTCCTTCTTGGGTTCCTGCTTGCCCTTGATGCTGACGACGCGTCTGCCGAAGATGCTGAGGTGGTATCCCGGCTCGAAGCGGTCGGCGGCGTTCGTGCGCACGAAGAAGAGCACCACGAAGCCCACCAGCACGATGATGAAGATGCGGTGCACCGTGTAGATGTACGCCTCGTGGATCTCCCAGCCGTCGGCGATCTGGTTGCCGTACGTGTGGTTGAACGTGATGCCCCCCACCACGCCACCAATCGACCACGCAGTCAGGATCAAACCGTGCATGGCCCCAATGTTAAACGCGCCGAACATGTCGGTCAGGAACGCCGGGATTGTGCCGAACCCGCCGCCATAGCTCGCAGTGAGGATGAACACCTCGGCCACGAACGCCGAATAGTTGTTGTTGCGCATCAGGATGGGGATCGTGCCGAGGACCACGGCCTGCGACGCCAGCGCGTAGAAGTACAGGCACTTGCGCGCGAAGGCGTGTTCGACGTTGAACTTGCGCACGATGATATCGGACAGCAGCGGGAACATCAAGCGGCCGCAGCAGTTGAACACGCCGTTGATCGACACGATGTCGGAGGCCTGGCCGTCCGACTTGTTGAAGATGTCGGCGCACATGTTGGAGAGCTTGGACAGCACGATGAGGCCGTAGAGCTGGTTGCCGAAGAACATGATGTACATGCACAAAAAGTCGGGCGTCTTGATGGCGTCGATGAGCGTGAGCTTGCGCACCAGCGTGTTCGTGGCCGTGGTGGGCTCCACAATGTCCTGGACGTCCTGGGCCGTCGGCGTCGTGATGGACTCGTACTCGTGCGCGGACAGCACGCTGATCTTCTCGCCGCGGTGACTGAGCTCGTCGACCTCTTCGACTGCTTCGCCGTGGATGTTCAAGCCGCTGACGACGAACTCGTGGTGCGGAGAGCGCAGCACGATGGCGCACACGTACATGGCGAAGGCCATGACGCAGCCAATCAAGAGGAAGGTGGACGAGAGCCCCACTGCATCAATGCAGGGCAGGTAGACCTTGGCCCACACGACGGATCCAGCTCCGTAGCCACCCACTGCAAAGCCCGCAGCAGTCCCGCGGTAGTCAGGGAACCACTTCTGCAGCGCCGACACGGGAGAAATGTAGCAGAGCCCCATGCCGAAGCCGCAGAAGATGCCGTAGCCGATGTAGATGGCGGCGATGGCCTTGTAGTGCACGCCGATGGCCACGATGATGTTGCCGATGAGGAACGACGACGTGCCGAGCATGACGCCGGCGCGCGGGCCATGACGCTCGATCCATGGTCCCATGATGGCTGTTGTCGTGCCGAAGACCCCCACGGCGATGTAGAACGAGTTGACGGCCCGGCCGGCCTTGTTGTCGTCGTACACGTGCAGGTCGATGGGCTTGTTGAAGACGGACCACGAGTAGAGCGAGCCGATGCAGAACTGCACCAGGAAGCTGGCGAAGAAGAGGTACCACCGCGTGAAGCGCAGCCACGGCAGCGAGAAATACCGGTCGCGGCCGAGGTAGCAGGTGAAGAGCCACACCTCGGCCGCGTCCTGCTCGGCCGTGCGGTGCTTGGGTGGGACCGTCCAGTGGCCGGCGATCGCGTCCTGCGTGGCCCGCAGGCACGTCTTCTTGGACGACGAGTCGACAGTTGCGGGGTCTTCCACGCCCATGGCGAGAGCTTGGCGAGGTTAGAGGCTTCTTGGGGGCGACTTGAGGGGCAGCGAGCCAATTGAGGAGTGAGCGGAGGATGGCGGGGCGAAGACTTCGTTTGGAGCTCATGGTGGTGAGCGGCCGTAGGCTATAGCGATCTCTTCTTGGTTGGGTTCCGCAGTCATTGGTTTTGGGCTTTTTTCGTGGTGACTTCAACGTGGATCCAACTTCAACGCGACCGAAGCGACTTATTTGCGTTTCTCGGGATGGCGGCGGTGCTATAACTCTATTGAAAACACATAGCGTAGCGAAGTCGATCGTATCGGATTCGCAAGTGCAGTGTATTTGTGTGTGGTTGCACCTCTCTTGGGGAGGCTTGATTAATCAGACATCGGACATCAGACGCGGTAACGCGCAGATTAATGCGAGTTGAAGCCGCGTGGATGTCGACACCGGGAAGCGAGTGCCGACATCGGTCAACATGCTGCCCCGGATAAGGCACGAGTGTGCTCGCGTTATTGCTTGGTATCTGGTTCGTTTAGTACTCAACTTCGATGGGAGAACGGCGCCGCTCACTGTGGTAGGCTTCGACTCGCAGCTACAGTACTCTTCATCTGCTGCCTGTCCAGTTAAAAGGGTTAAACCGCAGCGACTACGATGACTGTGAGGGGATGGACCGGTCAACACGACCATTGCGCGCGCCTTGCGCGTCGGGCGATGTCGCTGCCAATATCAGACTCGTGCCACTTCAACACCTACCGCGACAGTATCCTCCTCGTCGGATCGAGCCCAGCAAGTTTTGCTCTCTCTGGGCCGACGGTCAGCACGGTGCCACCGCCCCGAGCGACAAGGCGAAGCACACGCCGGGGTCTCCAGACTGCTATGGCGATGGACGCAGGAAACGTAGAGGGCTTGCAGAGCCTCCGTCGTGTGGAGATCAACATATTATCCTGCATGGATGGACCATGGCGATCACTTCATAATGATCACCTACTGTGCTCTTTTAACGCGTCCCTGTTGTGACTCAAAGCTGTCAACGAAAGTGCTCGTACGCGGAAACGCAAGGTGCTGAGCGGCATCCTCGCCCGTTTAACACTGTCGCACCGCGCTGCACCACCGCAAGCATGGCAAAGCGATGCGATCTTCGCATTGCAGGCTGCAATTTGCAGCACCACTTCGCCCACCTTCACCGCCATCGTTGGCACGTGGATGCAATGCACGCACACGCACACAATCCACAGCCGTCGACAAGATGGGGGTACAGTATGTACAGTATCAAGCATGAGTCGTACATAGTTGTTTGTGGGCCATCGTTGCGGTGGTGTTCCCGTTCCCGTCAGTCGAAAGCACATGGCTGCGCCTTGAAGCTATGTCAACGTCGAGCGAGCGAAGGGCCAACACCGGGACAAGAGAGACTGCATCTTGCTAGACCGCCAACAACTTCAACAAAAACACCTTCAGAGGGCGCTTTCGTTCATACAAATCGTTCAATTCACTGCGAAGCTTTAGTCAGCTACATACTGTATACTAGCATAGTACGAATAGTCTTCTCCTCCTTCTTCTCCCTCTTTAGGCCTCGCTCTGCAGCAGGTCCTCCTTGCTCGCGGCCGTGTCCTTGGGCTTGATGCTGATGACGCGCTTGCCGAAGAGGCTGTAGTGGTAGCCCTTCTCGAAGCGGTCGCGCGGGTTGGTGCGCACCATGAAGATGAAGATGCCCGTGACGCACACGACGATCAGGATCTTGTAGATGCCGTCCACGTACGCGTCCACGGGCGTCGTGCCGTCCTTGATGGCCGCGTTGTACTTGGCGTTGAAGCTCAGGCCGCCGGCCACGCCGCCCAGCGACCAGGCCGTGAGGATGAAGCCGTGCATGGCGCCGATGTTGAAGGCGCCGAACATGTCGGTGAGGAAGCACGGGATCGTGCCGAAGCCGCCGCCGTACGAGAGCGTGAGCAGGAAGACGAGCACCACGAAGGCCGTGTAGCTCTCGTTGCGGATGAGCGTGGGGAAGATGGCGATGATCGTGATCTGCGAGACCAGCCCGTAGTAGAAGAGGCACTTGCGCGCGAAGGCGTGCTCGACGTTGAATTTGCGCACGATCACATCCGAGATGAGCGGGAACAGGAGGCGCCCCACGCAGTTGAAGGCGCCGTTGATGGACACGATGTCCGCGCCCTGGTCGGCCGTCTTGCCGAAGAGCGTCGTGCACATGGTGGAGAGCTTGGACAGCACGATGAGGCCGTAGAGCTGGTTGCCGAAGAACATGATGTAGAGGAAGATGAAGTCGGGCGACGTGATGGCCTGGATCAGCGTCATCTTCTTGACCTGCGAGTTGGTGTCGTGCGGGTCGGCGCTCGGGTCCACGAGCGCCTCCATCTCCTTGGCCGTGGGCGTCATGATGGACTCGTACTCGTGCGCGGACATGACGCTGATCTTCTCGCCGCGCGCGAACGACTCCTCCGCCTCGCGCACCGCCTCTCCGTGCATGTTGAGCCCGGCCACGTGGAACGTGGCGTGCGGCGTGCGCAGACACACGGCGCAGCAGAGCAGGATGAAGGTGAAGACGCACCCCACGACGATGAACAGGTCGGGCACGCTGGTGGCCTCGATGATAGGCAGGTACGCCTTGCCCCACACCACGGAGCCGGCACCGTAGCCGCCCACAGCGAAGCCTGCAGCAGCGCCGCGGTAGTCCGGGAACCACTTCTGGAGCGCGGAGACTGGAGAGATGTAGCAGAGACCGCTGCCGAAGCCGCAGAAGAGTCCGTAGCCCACGTACAGCCCCACGATGGACTTGGCGTGCAGCGAGATGCAGCTGACGACGCACCCGATGAGGAACGAGGTGGCGCCGAGGACGACACCGGCGCGCGGGCCGTTGCGCTCGATCCACGGGCCCATGATGGCCGTGGACGTGCCGAAGACCCCGACGGCGATGTAGAAGGCGTTGACGGCCATGCCCTTGGTCTTGTCGTTGTAGATGAGCAGGTCAATGGGGTTGTTGAGCACCGACCACGAGTAGAGCGAGCCGATGCAGAACTGCACCATGAAGCTCGCGCAGAAGAGGTACCAGCGGTTGAATTTGATCCACGGCAGCGTCCAGTACTTGCCGAAGAGGTAGGCCGTCAGCAGGTACTCCTCGGCCGCGTCCTGCTGCTCGGAGCGGTGCTTTTCGGGCACCGTCCAGTGCTTGACGAGCACGCCGCGGACCTTGCCGCCGCAGTTCTTAGCGGGAGGCGTCACGCGCTGCACGGACGGATCGGTCATCGCTGGCAGTCGAAGAGTGTGGAGAAAAGTGGAGGAAGGAAGAGGAGACCGGGGTGCGCGCGACGCCGCCAATTGAGGAATGAGAGCTCTGGAGGGCGTGGATCGATCGAGTAAGAGCTGCAGAGCTGCCCGTGGTGGTCTCCTGTGTGCAGGGACGCAGGTTGAAGCGATATATAGCGGCCCCGTTTCTGCGTGGCGGCGAGCGACGGGAGCTTTGATGCACGAGAGACTCGTCGTTAAACGGTTCCAGGTCAGCCCCTTGCGTGTCAGGCGATGGCACGCGCGTTTAGCGAAAAGCTCGGTTTGGATGGAAATCAGAGCCGTCCTCCCTCCCAGCGTCAAGTTGATGGCAACAGCGATGGATATCGGAGTGCGGGACGGCATGGTGATAAACCATAGAGATCTCGTGTGTTTAATTTGCCGCGGCACTGCATGGCATGGTGAAATGCACAGCTGACTAGTGTCGACTATCGGGAGATCCTTGCACTTTGCATGGAGGGAGACCCTTTGAGCCGGGAGTCCCCGACGCTGAAGCTCAGCTCTGAAGTAGCGCCGATGGTGCAGTATCTTCTCCCTAGCAATTACAGCAAATAAGGCGCCGGCTGATGTACTGTCATCTCAGTCGAAGTTCGGTCCCGAGGGTGGTGGTTGAAGTTGCCTGGAACGAGTCTGCTGGTGCGTTGTCTTTGCTGCTCGCCGTTAGAATTTCTGCTGCTGTCGCTCGTAGCTGCCTGTCGCCGGTCGTAATACGCCTCGTATCGCGGCCAAAACGCCAAAGCAGCTCAACGAACGAAGGCGAGTGCAAGGCCTCCAGCAAAAATGTCAAACGGCCAGTGCCAATCCTCAGCAATTTGCTGCCAGCACCAAGAGTCTTGGTGTCTTGGCAAGACGGCGGGCAGCAGCTCCGAGCCATGGAGAGCGAGGCCAGCGTAGCCGTTGCTCATCCCTGCTTGAAGTTGACTCGTTCTGGCGATCTACGCTCAAGTCGACCAAGCGAAGCGAACCTTGCGTGTCGGCCGATGCCAGTCTTGAACTAGCCGTACCGTACGCAGATCGCTGTTAAACCGAGCGTGAAGCCAACGTGCTGCCCCAAGCAGAAGCAGAAGCAGTCGAGTCGGCGGCTGTCGACAAAGGTCCACGATTTTACTGTGAAGCTGGCCTCAAGTGGGTATGGTAGGTAAGGCGGGGTCTCTCCATCCTTGAGCCTGCGTGGTGGAGTGCCAGCTCGTGTATTACAACAGAGCTCGCGATCGTGCTTACGGAACACGTTCCCTCGAGCTGAGTCGTCCGCAGCCGACGGCTCGCCACAGCTTCATCCATTAACCGAGAGCAGGAGGTTTCCAAGCATCCGGAGCTCTAGTTGAAGTTACTGCAAGGCGTTGACTGGATCCGGAGCTACGACGCAGAGAGCTCGAGGTGGCCTGCACCCCGCTCGCCCGTGGCTTTGTGCTCTTGGTCCTGACTCATTGGGCTCTCTTGCTCGAGTATTTTTGTCATGGATAGTCGGGGAACCGAAACGAGTGAAAAGTCGACACCTGCAGAGCCATGGAGCTGACCGCGGACGTCATCAAGCAGCGTAGCGGCCACTACGATGTGAGTTTGGTGGCGCTGCTGGACGTCTCGAAGATGCGAATCCGGTACCTGGCTCAGCTGGAGTCCTGTTTGAACCTGCTGGAGCTCAGCTTGGCCCATAATGAGGTATGCTTAGTCTTTCGTGAAAATGGTAATTGTCTCGGCAGGGTCTCACATGGTGAACTGCAGCTGCGCTCGTTGGAAGGTCTACCTTCGTTGCCACTGCTGCGCTGTCTTCACATTTCCAACAACCAACTGACTTCACTCGGTTCGTAGGCAATGAAAAATGGAGTTTCTTGTAAAATATTGGATAACTTTTGCTAATAGTTGCATGTTTGTTTATACCTATGTAACAGACAGCATGCCACGTTTGCCTCTGCTAGAAGAGCTTTCAGTTGCGGTAAGACTCAACGATCGCACCTGAAGTCGATGTACCATATTTTAATACCCACCTTTTTTCTATCGGAAATGAGCAGAACAACCAGATCCGAAGCATCAATTTTACTGCTTTGTCGACAAAGGTGCAAATTGTTGATACTCGTTTCCTCGAAAACCTCTCACTAACTTTTTTTCCATTGAAGTTGCCAAGTCTTCGAGTCCTCGACTTCAGCGGGAATCCCATCGACAGCAGTGCCGAATCAAAGATAGCGAAGGCTTTTCCAGACCTGTTCATTCTGAACGGCGAAGCACTCACACTCACCCGACTCCTTGAAGAAATTTCGGCTGATGACTTTGGGAAGTCCTCAGGTACCTCAGATGACGAGCCTTTGGCTGCCGATCTTGCCAGCGAGCACGAGTTTGGCACCACGGACGATGATGATATCGGAGTGAAAAACTTCATCAGTGAAAGCACACGCAATCTGCAAGGTTGGTTTTCAACTCGGATTTTGGTACTGGGGTGCTCATTGACACCGAATTGGCGTGCTGCGTACAGAGTTACTGCAGCGGTGCAAGGCAACGGTGGAGGCTGCCGACCCAGAAGTTGTATTTTCAGCGTCACCAACCGTATAGTTGTTTAGTTCATAGCTTGTAATTCAGCACGCAAAAAAATCGGAGACATCACGTTCAGCCTCCCTAAAATCAATCTTGGGAGGAGGGCTACCGGAATATCAACACCATAAAAAGAAAATATTGTTGCATCACTTGTCCTTGGGGAGTTGGCGGGTAGAAACGGCTTTCGCCATCACACGCGCCGTAGCATGTCTTCCTCGCTAGTCGCAGTGGCAGTCTCGGGTTGCCCTGCTGGGTCGAAGATGGACTTGCGGCATGTCGGGCACGTGGAATTCACCAGCAGCCACTCGTCCACGCAGTCTTTGTGGAAATGGTGCTCGCACGGCAACACTCTCAGACTCTGCGACGGCTCGTAGTCGTTCAGACAGATACAGCAGCACGCGTCCTCGGGCGGGAACATGTTGGCACTGTACGTCTTGGTCTCTAACCGGTCGATAATCTGCAACAACAATAAAATACATTGTAAGTTACTCCAACCGTAACAATAATAATAATGACTACGAGGCAGCTCACCTCCTTGGTGGCTCCCTTGCCCCTCATGGGGTCCTGCAACCGGCTGAGCAGTCGGATGACGCAGGGCAGGCAGAAGCAGAGCACGGGCAGCAGCGCCAGCAGCAGCAGACACGGCAGGAAGATCTTGGCGTACGAGATGACGATCATCCAGAGCGCCAACTGGTACATGGCGGAGCCGTCGTCGCAGCGCGCGCCGTCGCTGATGACCCACATGTTGCCCACGAGGAACCAGAAGAGACCGGCCAGGTCCAGCCCGTACTTGAGCTGGCTCAGCGGCGCCATGTAGTGCTCGCGCAGGCGGATGGCGCTGTTGCTGCGCGCGCCATTGAGGTAGTAGAGCGTCCACTCGAGCAGCAGCGTGAGTGCCAGGTGCACCGTGTGCAGCAGCACCCAGACCTGGATGCGGTAGCACAGCGTCTCGCTCTGCCAGTGCAGCGCCAGGATGGCCACGGCCGCCGCGATCTGCGGCACGTTCACGAGCGAGATGGCCCACATGATGAGGCGCGAGTTGCGCGCATCGCGCGCCTCCTGTACGCTGCTGTTGAGCACGTTGAGGCGCACGGCGTGGGCCTCGTCGGGCGCGGCGGGGCCGCTGCCCACGCCGGCGGAGGCCAGCAGCCGCGCGCGCGACGGCGACGCCAGCGAGCTGCTGCTCGGGCCCGAGGCGCGCAGCGCGACGCTCTCTTCGTTGCTGGGCATGGGCGGCGCGGTCGAGGAGGAGGACGAGGACGAAGAGGAGCTCTCGGGCATGCAGCAAGGGCGCGGGGGTCGTCGAGTAGCTTGATATGAGCACTTTGAGGGGGTCAAAGTCTTTGACCCCCTTACTTTTACTAAGTATATCTGAGTTCGTTTTTCCGCCTTGGATTTTGTCCAATGGGAGGCGGGTAACTAATAGGGCTGGAAATAGGTTGGCCTTGTGCAGTCACACAAGCCATCAACCAGCATTGGCGAGGCATTCTTAGCCCAAACGAGAGATTCGAGAGCACAGGGGGAGCGAATCAGCTGCGGAGGCGAGGACGCTAGCAGAGACTTGGAGCTTGGCCTGAGTGAGCTTAGTGCAATGCTGTTACATGTACGCGGTTGTCGTGACGCAAGGCAACTTCAAGTTGTGAAATGTAGCCATGTCTATAGTCGAGCTTGATAAGGCCAAGTTGCCTTTCAGGTTTGTACAGGTATCCGCAATGCATGCCTCGTCACATGCCAGAGGAACGTCGTTGTGGCCATCGCAATTCGGATCCAATACACAGCGTATCAAGAGATTCGAGCCGTTAGGGTGCAGGAATAGCTGGGGAAACCAAAACACCACACACTCCGAGCAAAAGCCCATTTATTCAATTCAAACCAGGGTTTCATATTTTCATTGACATCGTCACGTACATACAAGACGTGCAAAATCTATCGTGTCTTGCCATTCGACACGATTCGTAGGGCTGGCTGGATGTTCACCTTTGCTTCTTCCTTACACGAGGAAGAGCAGCAACGTGTCGACCAGCGAAGCGCCCGAGGAGCTGGCAGTGACGCGCTTGCGCTTCTTGAACAGAAGTTGGGTCGGTCCCTGGATCGCTCCGAGCTCAGCGCGAACTTGGTCGAACGACATGTGCTGCAGGTCCTTCTGGCCGATGGCCATGAGCAGGTCGTCCGGCGTCGCGTTCTCCAGGCCGGGGGCGGAGTTGGGGTTCGTCACGGTTCGGATTGCCACAGTGTAGCCATTCGTGCGGTTGGTCTTGTCATTGCTCTTGGTCAAGCCCTTGTCGTCCTGCGTGCAGTCGCGCAGCGTCAGGCCTACCGCTCCACCGCTGTACACGACGGTGTAGAACCCGCGGTCATCTGCATTCGATCCGGAGTGCGGTCGGCCGTCGTTCGAGGCGGTGGAACCCGCATGCGATCGGCCGCCATTGGACGCGGTAGATCCAGAGTGAGCCCTGCCGTCGTTGGACGCATTGGAACCAGCGTGAGACCTACCATCGGGAATCGGCTTGTCGATGCGGAAGCTCTGGCGTTTCGAGATTGGGATCAGTTTCCGAGTAGGAGGGGGTACACCCGCTCTGGAGCGCGACATGGGGCGGGTCTGCGGTCGCATGAGGAACGGGGGGCGGAGAATGTCCGTCGCTTCCTCGCCTCCGTCGGTCGAAGACGAGGTGGCCTTGGGTCGCGTGATCGGCGCCAGGGGCCTGGATGGGAAGAGCAGGTTCTCTTCGTCCGAGCCCGACGAGTCTTCCTCCGCAAGCCGCGCGAAGGTGAGGCGGCAGGGCCGCGGGAACTGGCGCAGCGTCTGGATGATGTCCTCGAAGCGCATCTCGTCGAGACGCGTCACTGGTCCGTTGTCGCTGTCCGGGGCGATAGCAACCAGCACGTCGCCGAGCACCGGCATGAGGTTCTGGAAGGCCGGCGAGATCTTGTTGGGGTCGATGGCCGTGACGGCGGCGTGCAGCGAGCACGGGTCCATGGCCAACGACACGCCGAGAGGCGACTGCGGCAGCCAGCTGAACACGTAACTGCGGGCCACGTCGGCCTCGTCCACCTTGGGCGGGATCTCCTTCTCCCGCGACTGGAAGCGCAGCGTGACCGGCAGCTTGGCGCGCCGCAGCACCGTCACCAGCTGGTCGAAGGCCTTGACGGGCTGCATGCCCTCGGACTGCTGCAGGTCGAAGGCCACGAGCACGTCGCCCACGGCCAGCGGAGACGCCAGCACGGCGGCGCAGGCGTTGGGCGGCACTTGGCACACCACCGGCTGGTCGTTCTGGTTGGGCGTGAAGCGCAGGCCCAGCGCGTCTTGGCGCCACTCCACGTCGAAGTGGTCGTCCATACTGGGGCAGGAGGTAGGGCGGGTAGAACAGGGAGGGCGGAGGGAGGGGTCTTGTTGCGAAGTGATCAATTCACTACGAGACAAGGGCTCCGATACTGAAGCAATTTGTAACGGGCGGGATGCAATGCCCATCAAAATTGGTCGCGTTATGCACATTTCAGAACTGTGGGAAGGCATACATGTGTGGTGCACACCGGGCTTGTCCCGCACGAGCATAGTGAGATCAAGTCAATGAGGCAGACAGGCGGTAATTTCAGCCTGTCTTGTGGCATGTCATTTCCCTGAAAATCCATCGCGAATGAGACTGTCTTGAAGCGAGGGTCGGTGGTGGACCAACAATGGCCGCAGCGTTTCAAGCCGAGCTGAGGCCATCCAACGCAATGGAAGTGACCAAGCCTGTCCCCGCAGCTTGAGTGGCTCGGACCATCTCATCGCGTCTTTGGTCGATAGGCGGTCGCTGAAAGGCGACGAGATATTGGTGGCTACAATATGCAGTCGCCGCTCAGCAGCAATAAGCAAGCAACGACCACGATCAACAACTCTGGCTACGCCGCGCCACGTTCGCCGAGGACATCTGTCTTGAGCTGCGTGTAGACGCACTGCAGTTAGAGACAAGCCCCGACGATCCGACTTCATGCCAGCGATTCGCTGACTTCGTTCTGTGCTGCCAAGTGTTCGAGGCTTTGTATGGGGAAGACCGTCTTCCAAGACGATCGTTTGTGGTCTTGTGTTATCAATTCCAGGCGATACAGTACTGTAGAATGCAATGCTACGTTCATTTCATTACCTACCCATACATAACAACTTCAACTTGCCAACTGTAGCCACGTCGCTTCAGTCGTAGATCAGGCTGCGCCACTGCCAGTGCACGATGCAGTTGACGAACTCCGCGATCGAGCGCCGCTGCGCGAACGTGAACTGCTTGTTGGTCGGCTCCTCTCGGCGGCAGATCTCGACACGCAGGTCGCCTTGGGCCTCCTCCGTGAAGCCGGCTTCGCTGAACTCCTCGCTGATGCCGCTCACGTGGCTGCCGTTGATGCTGGCGCTTCTACTACTTGAGCTGTCGATGCTTTCGTCGCCACTGACACTGAGATCTCCATCTTCGGCCAGCGCAGGCCAAGTCACCGGCTGATCCTTGGGCGTGATGAACGTCAAGTGGATGATGAAGTCGAACGTGTCGGGGCACAGCAGCAGCAAGTGGCTACTGTTCTCGTCTTCCTCTTGGAACTGGAACTCGCGTAACTGATCGGCGTAGAGGTCCCGCAGGCGTAGCGCCAGCTCCTGCCAACACACACCGGACACGTGCAGAAGCTCGTCCAGCCTCGGATCCAGCGTATCCAATGGGGTGCAAATTGACAACCGAAGGCACTCTTCCAGCTGCTGTGGGCCCACTTCCACGCGAAACAAGTCCGGCGGCAATGCAAGCGTGCGTGCGACTTCGGCGCCCGGACCGCGAGTGCCGTCAAACAGTAAGCGAGACCACAGCAGATCACGCTCGTAGTGTTGCGCAGCAACGTGGAACAATTCGCGCGTAAACAACTGAGCCTCCTGTAGCGCTCGCTCCACCGCAAGCACTCCATTGCCCACACCAAGCGCTGACGGCGTGCTTTTCAACAAGAGAAGCTGCACGGAGTCCTTATCCAGAGGTTTCTTCGTCAGCGGCTGCGTCGTGATCACCAGTGAGTATCCACCAGAAGGTTCCACCTTGCGACTTTGGATCGTCGGTATAATCGTTGACGGGGGCCGATGGTAGAAACTACCCGACGAGGAATGGCACACAACCGCATCGGGTGTGCCAAACTGCAGGAGATCCAGTACCTCATAGCGTGACCCGTGGCATGCAATGTACCGCAGCAAAATCTGCACCAAGATCGACTCAACGCAGTTCGATTGCAGCGACGTTGGTTGCAGCGCCACCGTTTCCATCCGGATCACGCAGTCATGCCAGAGCGAAGACAATGGCGCGGTGGCTTTGGGCACTGCATCACGTGGGGCGGGGGCTAACTCTGGGTGGGCTGGTTGCTGTTGATGCTGCTGCTGTTTAGCCGCTGCTCGCCGCAACAATCTCGAGTGGCGCAAAGACGATCGGGGTCCACCACTGGTTGGTGGTGTGGTGGTCGCTTGAGGCGTTGTAGTGGCTCTCTTGTCAGCGATTCTTTTACTCGTGGTTGAAGCTGACAGTACCGCTGTGGTATGCTTCTTTGGCTCCTCTGGTGGATCAGGGAACGTGTGCAGGAAGCACTGCAGCCCCTTGACAATGTTTTGGAACGTGGAAGCATTTTTCCATGGCACGGGTGGGGTTGCCACCAGTGCATCATCTTCGCCAAGGTGCTCGCTGACACTGTGGCTGGGTCCACTCTGACTGTTATGAAAATCATCAGTGGCGCCAACCCACTGAAGCAGGTGCTGCTGGAAGTAACGAATCGTAAATCCATAAATGAGAGCTTGAGTTTTGAGCTGGGCACGTAACCACTTCGCAACGCACTGCACCCTCACGCCGGACGTGGGAATAATCCGCTTTCCCGCCTTCGCAGCCAAACGGTTCTGGAAACGTAAGTCCTGCTGCTCCAAGTCGTGCATGCTTACGAGCACAGCAGTCAACCGCACTCCTCGGTGATCACATTTTACTTCTAGCACCACCACTGTGAGCGGGTATGCACCAGAGCTGTTGTTGTTCGGGTCCGCTTTCCAGCCCCCAGCTTCTGCAGCAGCTCTTTCAGGGTGATATAAGTACTCCGAGAAGCCCTCTCCGCTTGCTGCATCGCCATCATTCGTAGCGCCGACTGGGAACGCGCGCGCATGAGTCCTGCTTGTGTTAATCGTACGAAGTTGTCGGAATCCAAGCGTTCTCAAGTGAACGGCAAACTCCTTATAGAACTCGCTCGCCACTTCTAGACGCAACGGCTCCAAATTTGCGGCCACTTGCTGTTTGATTCCCCTAACATCAGCACCAGCTCCCGCACCCATGCTATAGACGGTGTGCTCTGTGTACAGCTTCGCCACGGAGCACTCGTCGCTATCGAAAACAAATTCACGCTTATAGCTCAGCAAATTCACCAGATCCATACTCGACTGCAGCGCGCTAAGACGACTGCTCCCATCTTCTCCAACTTCGTCTGTTGTCGCCCCAGCCATCTTTGCGGCTACCCATCGCTCTACAAACGCAGCCCGGAAACGCTGATGTAGTAAAAGGTGTCCACTGGCTACCATATTCGCCACAACATCCTTTGCAACAGGCTCCTCCATCTCTTCATCAGGACCCATCGAGGCAAGTCTGCCCAACAGATTGATACCCACAGTGTGGCTAGTGGATCGGGTTTCGAAAGCCTCCCAACGCTTCTCCAACGCTGCGCAGAAGTAAGGCAAAGGAGCATGATTCTTCTTGGGTAGAGCTCCCTCTTCGTCCTCTTCCAACTCCATGAAGTGTAGCCGCCGATCCGCTGTAATTTTTGCCGACCAACGCTCTGCATTCCCGGGGAACAAGAACCGAGGTCCCCAAGCACACTCCAAGCGCTTTTTCCAGGAACTATGAATTCGGCCGGGATCACTTGCCGCTGTCTCCTTGCTACTCCTGCGATGAATTGATGGCGAAGCTAGTGGCAGCCCTGACAACGAAGATGATGAGGACGTTGTCACCAAATCGGTCTGCCCGGAACCTCTTCGACGTGTACTCGTCTTCTGCTCCGAGCTTGTTGCTACCGCTGCAGAGGTATTCATACTTGTATCATCGCCGTCCTTAGCAGTAGCCGCACTCGAATCTGCTCCATCAGCCGAAGTGTGTAGACGCGGTCCCTTGGTGTTATGAAGCGGTAAATCCCACGGGGCAACACTATCTGCCCCCGTTGAAGTTGATCCAGAGCTTGAACATCTTGTTCCGCTAACGCCTGGTCCTCCACCCATTCGACCAGGGAGCCCGCCTCCCCGTGCCCGCGCACGTGCTGCCATGAGTGCCGTAGCAGCTCCTGCGCCACCTCTCATTCGTGCTGCAACATCGCTTCGATTGCCTCCTGGGAATGGCATTCCAGGGCCTGGTCCATTTAGACGCTTGTTTGGGGACGACGACACACTGTCGGAGGCATTGCTTCCTGTAACTATGCCACCACTCTTCGTCCTGCCGAGGGGTCCCCCGGAGTGGTTGGTACCATCCCCGCTGCTGTGCATGCTTCGCTGCGACAGTGACGGCCCCGACACTTCTCGCGTAAGGTCAGGGATACTCGGTGGCCCCAATTGTGCACCCATATTTGTGTTGCTTTTTCCTCGAGGTCGCTGGTATTGGGACTCAAGCGCCTCTGAGGCGGATTGCGTCTGCGCTTCACGTAAGTAGGTCCCCATGGCAAAGCCGTCGATTGAGCGCAGACGACTTGCATCCAACACTCTTGGAAACCACTCGTTGGTCTGCAGGATAGATAGCACTGGGGGGCGATATTCGATGAAATGCACTGCAGAATCCTTGCACAGTACGGCGGTACTTTTGCCCATGCTCTTCCCAGTTCGTTCCGTTCTTCCGATGGTCAGGAACAGACTGCGCGGCTGCAGCACGATAGAACCAATAGGAGCTGCCGCTGAAAGACCCGATTTCTCCAACAAAAGACTTCGTAAAAGTTTTTCACGAAGCATGCTCCAGGTCAGCACGCGTGCCAAATGTGTTGCCAATGCCTCCACCAACGCAGAACTCATGTTGTAGCCGTACAACTGCAAGCCCTTGCTCGTGGACAAATCCACGATGTAGTAAAACGACCGCTTCACCTCCGCGGCTTCACTAGAATCCGATTTATGGTGATGGTGACTGCTGCTGTTAGAGTATAGCAACACGTCTCTCTCCGAAAAGCTTGTGCTCTTTGGAAGATGTGGCTGGTGCGACAGACTTGCCATAACTCCAACCATTGACGAAGACGTTGTCGAGGATACAGAGGGCGCGGCCGGTATCAGATTTGACTCGGAACTTGCACCAGTTGATGCCCATGTAAGCGGCATGCGACCTGAAACAGAATCCAAATCTGAAATTTCAGAATGAATTGAATCCGTTCGCATCAATGGCTCGATATGGTGGAGCGCTGAGCTCATGGATGCCGTCGTTTCTGCATCGGAGTCACTTGAGTCCTGAGCGTCGTATGCATCGGGATCACCAACATGCTTGACAACCAGTCGGAAATCTTCAGCGTACGGCTCGCTCGAGTTGGAAAATATGTGCACACTATCGCTGCGGTTGGCAACACTCGCATAAGCCCCTGACAGCTTCGACTTCGCATAAACTGCAGGGCGGAGGTGATGAGGAAGGCAACTCAGAAAGCTCCGTACTTGTGCCACAGCGTTTTCGAGGTCCCATGGCGCAATGGACAGGTTTACACCCAAATTTGTCACGGAGGACGATGGCAAGAGGCATGCGCTCTTGAAGAGCGACACCAACGTGTCCACTTCGTCTGGTAATTTCGTGTGACTACCCGACAGATCCAGTATATCTGAATGGGCCTCCTCACCAGAAACAGCATCGCTACTGGCAGCATTTTGCCGCTGCATGGAGATCCCGAGTTTCTTGACCGTTGCTTCAATGTGATAATCGTAAAGCGCCTCGTCCATGAATGCCTCCACAACTTGACTTAACTCTGCTGTATGGATAGATCCGCGAATCCAAACTTGGCACCTGGCTACCACCGGTATTGTGTTTTGTTGGGGAGCCTCTTCAACTTCTGGGTACAACGCTGCGAGCCCGGGGATATCATGGACGCGTTTGACTTTTTGAGCGCTTTCCGAACTAGCTCCCTCCTTCTTCTTATCTCCACGTTCCATTTTAGAAGAAGTGTTCCGGATGAGATCGACGCGCATAAGTGCAAGGCCCTTGCCTACTCGGGACATGAATCCTGGCGATAGCCGCAGGTCCGGGTTCAGGTTGAGAACATAGGACGTCTGCGCGACAAGCTGGGGGGTTGAAGGTGATAGTCCGGCTGAAATGTCCACCCTGTTTGCCGCCCCATTCGGCGTCAAGTAGAAAACAGGAGATCGAATTGCTGCATTGAACGGCACAGGATCTCCATATTGTTCTTGTACCTTGGCCAACGCTTTCCGATAATCGCCAAAGCATGCTGGGTGTGTCCGAGTGCTGTCGTGATCAGTATCATCCGCACCGAGGTTTGCTCCTCTTGTTTGATCATGCCCCTTCACTATTGCCTTCGAGAATTCCTCACCCGGAAGGCTGACAGTGCTACCCGCAGACGACAGGCTTCCGCGCCGCACCCTGCGATATGATCCACTCGTTGGCTCCCGCGAATTCCGTGCGGTCAATGATCCTCCGCATGATACAGGGCGGACATACGGGGACAGCTTAAGCGTTTGCGACAAGTAGTGCAGCAATCTGGAGCACTCATTCACCTCACCAGGTAAGATATACTCCACCACACTTGCTGGCGGAGCAGACGGCGGGCACAAAAACGCCAAGTCTGTCTGGCTTAACTGGAACTTGGTGTTTCGGGCCAGCAGCTTCATGAGCACAACCTGAGTAGCTTCGTCCAGCTTCCTCTCCAGCAAGCGACACAATTCGTGGGTTATTTCTTCACCCGGATCAGACACACCAAACACTTCCAGTCGAATTCCAGGTACCCCCGCGGGTGTTGTAGCGGTTGTTACACTTGCACCACCGGTACTTCCTCCAGTACTCGAACGCGAAAGACCACCGCGCTCTTGACGTTCTTCGGCCGCTTGTCCTCCAGCAGCTGAAGAGAGTGACATGTCATAGTAAATGCTGATCTTCATGTAAAACACGTGCCCATCGCGGTCGCGATACACAAAAATGTGACGACGGTTGTGCACTTGAAAATGCTCTAATGCTGATGTACACAGCATGTTGAGAGCGAAGTTGGGTGCCAAACGCTCATGAAGCTTGAAGAAAGCAGAATACCGCAGATCACACTCGAATTGGCCTGGCCAGAAGAAGTTGGTTTGCTTCCTCTGTCCATCTTGACCGCCCATTGAATCAAAAGCTCCTTGCGACCCGTTTCGCCGCTTAGGCGAACGGGGACTGGATGGCAAGTTGCCGTTTGGTGGAAACAGAAGCCCATTGCATGTGCGCGTCTCGTGAAGTTGCAGCAAAAGCAAGAACTGGTTAACACGGCGACAAACCGCACGCACTCCAAGCTGAAGGCGGGTAAGAACCTCCAACCGATTGAATCCACTAGACGATGCCCCAAAGCGGTCCGGGTGGTGAAGTCGCAAGCTTATATGATCACTTCCCAGCTCAAAGTATGCCCAATAAGGGATTTTAAAACTGACGTCGCTCTTGACCAAACTGTCCACACTCGTGTCAGCAGATTTCTGCTTCTCCACCACAAAGTACACTCCATTGCACTGGTGAACCATAAGCAAATCGCCCTTCTCGAACTCGCGCTTAAACAAATCAATCGGGTTTACTGGCGTTTCTTGGCTGCGAGCCACGAATTCCAGCGGATACTTCGCTTTCGTCACGGCGTCATCAGGCAAATCATCAAAGAGTCGCTGGACCAGAGAACCAATCGCCGGAGTAATTTTGTTTGCCGACTGCAGAATTGACAATATCTCGATACTGCACCACTCCTTAATGTCTTTGCGCACCCGTGTCAAGACTTGACGCTGGAAAAGGTGCAATGTGGAGAAGTTGTGGGTTCGCATGGACGGCAACGAATTGTTTTTGTTGGCTTGACCATTGTCCATTTCAAACGGCATCGGAGATGCCACACGTCCACCGTCAAGCGCTCGTTCATTTGGTAAAGTGAGAGTCACTAAGCGCAATGCAATGCGGCCCAATGGCGTATCCGAAAATGACTCGGCAATGTGCGTGACGTCAGCCGATGTCGAACTTCTTCGCGAACCTTGACTCGCTTTAATCGACGCCAAAAAAGCATTAAACTCTTCCTGTCGACTGCTCGGAGAAGTCAGCTGAGCTTGTGCCACCATATCCTTTCGCATATCCTCGTACGCGGCAGTACTAGCAGATCGACGAAGAACGTCAGAGTCAGGTGGAACTCCTGTCGAGTGCGTGTCCGCCGAGTTCGACCGAGCATCTCTCGAACCATTGAGCACACGGCACTCAAACCTGAAGAAGAATGGCACCGAGAAGCTGGATGTTGCCACCGCCACCTCTTTATTAACCTCGGCATCCTCTTCCACGTTTGCTTGATGCTGCTCGTTGCTAGAGTTATCTTCTGGTGAAGTATTGACAGGAGGTGGTGGTTCACGCCCCAAGCTACCACGTCTGCGATTCACTCGTTTTTGGCCGTTGTATGCCCCTGCTTCAGACGCCGGTTTCTGTGCGTTGCCGCCCTCGCCAACACTGCGACTAAGCTGCAGTCCCTGGTCACTACTGACGCCTGCATCGTCACGCGATTGGTGTTCATCTCTCTTTTGGCCCGCCTCGCCGTCATTGTCGTCCGAATCCTCCATGAGGACATGCAAATCGTATTCGCTCGAGGATATGTCCTCGTATACGGTGTTTTCGTTACCCGTGAAATAGTAGTACTTCGTTCCAGCGATGGGGACAAACACACTCGAAAGTATCGTTTCAAAAGACTTCGTCAGCTTATCCTTCAGAATATCTGCACCGATGCCTGCTGACACCACCGCGGCAGCTGCTGGGCTCAGAGGCGGTATCTTATGCGATGCAGCAGTTTCCATCATACGATACAGAAGCGTGATGTCAACATCAACGGGGACTTCAATGCAACTTGAGAGCGCCTGCAACAGATCGCTATGCTGGACAGCTCCTCCTTCACGTAGAGCCATGTACACGCCACGGGAGAAATTGTGTTCATGCGCCCGCTTCACCTTCTTGCGGAACCGACGAGACGCAAGAACGCTGTCAGGACTCTGTCGAGGATGCGAATTCGCACCAGGGTCAGAAGCTGATCGCGCTGCCGGAGACTTTTTCCATAGCCCACTTCGGTCAAGAGGCAACGCCGGCCGATCCTCTCTTGCTTTGCCGCTTCGCCTTGAGAAGAATAGCTGCTTCAAAATTGTGTGAGGCAAATCCACACGATCCAGCATTTGAGTGCTATTATCATGCAAGTCTGTGGAAAGTCTGGTGAGCGAGCACTCATAAAATGCAACTTGAAAGAAGCCCGATCCCATGACGCCGTTGGTACTTTCAATCAGCAGATGAAAATCACAGCCATACGACGCACGACGACTGATCTCCTCACAGAATTCATGATCTTCCGGAGTTGAAGGGAGACGCAGTTTCTGGAAATCACGGCCATAACTTTGCTTTTCATCACGGGATCCCTGGTAATGCCCCATTCTCCAAGATTTGTAGCCTTCGCGGAAACTGCGCCGGCGTTCTTGGTAAAGCACGATATCATCCGCGGACACTGACATTCGCACAACTCGAGCCTTTGCTCCATCTTCCTCCGCCGCGCGAACAGAAAACTGCTGCTGAGTAGATGCGTCGCGACCCTCTTCTTTTCCAGGTGCCCTTTTAGGCAGGTTCAACTTGCTGTCAAACGCATCTTCGAGATCACTTGCTTTAAATGAAGATGCCTTGCCCGCACCCTTGCTTTGAACTTGCAGAGTATCCAAGGAAGGGAAGAATGCTAAAACCACACAATCATCACTCACGAGCTTAACGAAGCACTTGCCTTTACTCAACGCATGGTGCGGTACTCGGTCCTTGAACGTCAGTGCTAGGTGATCCTTCAGCCACAAGGGCAGCTGGCCATCCATGCCTTCCCGGAAAAACCGATCATCTTCAATAGCATTACTCGTAGACATGCCAGCTTCCGCGACGACATCACCATTGTAGTCCGTCCATGACACTTCACAGTCGCTCAACCCTCTGAGAGTAAGCTCCAGCATAGAATAGAGATTCTCGTTAGCTGATGATACTGAAGGCGGGATTCCAACAGTGTTTGATTCATCCACTGTGCTCGTAGAAGTTTTCTCATTTTGCAGATACATCAGGAAATGCTCTGTTGACCGTTTTGAAGTAGCCAGGAGCCTCGCTGTGCTGAAAGGAGGGAGTATCATGCCGTTCTCAGCTGCCATTTGCCTATCCATGCTCCAGTTGGAGCCTACGATACCCTCGACGTCCTTGCTCAACTGATTCAGCAACTCGATGTTCTCACGCAAATTGAGGATGCAATCGAACGTGTACAAACACGAAAGAAAGTGTCGGTCACTCTTGAATAGGTAGCCGCGTATTAGGTGGAGCAATTCACTTTCACCCAGGTATGTAGAGCCACCATCCCAATCAATACTTACATCCTCTTGCTCCATCGATTTCTGCTCGTCTTCCACCGACCCTATTGACGATACAGACAATCGGTCACTCCCTCGCGGGGTGCTACTCCGATTCACACCACGGCTTTCATAGTTTTCAAATGGCGCTGAGTGCCCAATCGCTTGCTTTAAACTCCAGTGAAATTTGTCGTTATGATCGACTTCATCGGAAAGCCGCGTTTTCACAGTGCCGTGCTGAGGTTCCATCCAGAATGAGGTCATTAAGCAGGTATCCGAGACGCGACGAAGCGCATACTGCACTAATGCCGTCTTTGTGTGACCCTTTTCATCTTCCATCAAAATCTCCCTTCCAAAAACCACGCTTTCAACGTGCGCACCTTGTCCATCGTCTCCTTCCTCCATTTTCCAGTCCAGCACCCAAAATCCACAGCTGATTCTGGCGTCATGTAGCCGCCGCATCACGTCCAGCAACGCCGTCAGATTCGCTACTTTCCATTTCCAACTCGAATGCCATACGTATGCGCCAAAAACTCGGTGCAACTGCAATTCACTACCACCGCAGCACGTAGTGGATGGCGGAATAGCCCCAGCATTCTTCTCGGCCTCCAATGTCGGCGATGCCACATAATAGTCAAAGGGGCCTGGTTCCTGGTCAAGCCCATGGAGTAGGAGAGTGTCGTGCGTTACAAGAAGACGGCTCAGCATGCGATGACAGAGTATGACAGGAGTTTCCGCCATCGAAGGCGAGAGTAATTTTGCTGGAGAGGGAGTTACCGCGACTTCATTGATACCAGCAAAAATCGTGCTTTTCAGATCACTCAGCACTTGTCGCCGAGTTGATGCTCTCGTCGCAAAGAAGGCCACGTGAACCGCACATAGCGTTTTGTTCTTAAATTCGAGCCGCACGAAGCACAGAGCCGCTTTGCTCTCTTTTGTGCTGCTGCCTTCTTCGCCTTGGGCACCATCGTCTCCTCCATTGTTGTTCTGACTGCGCTGACGACGTCGCATTGCGATTCCTCCTGACGCTGTTGCTGATGACGGCGATGCTTTGGCTCTTGGGGGTGCGTGACTTTTGTCCGTAGCGGACGTATAAAGGAATTTCAAAAACAAATCCTGCGACAGCTTTTGTGATGACCACTTCACAAGAATCGCGACCAGAGGCTCAGCAAGGCTCTCAACTCCGATAGAAATATTTCCGCTATTCGTCCCGTACACATTGGTGCCGTGGCTGTGAATCATTCCTTGTGACGCATTCCCCGCACCGCGCAAATGCGAGCCTGCATTGCCGCGCTCCACCACTCCGTGCATCTCATTTCGATAAAATAGATCCGTACACGCATCACTCTTAACAACACAAATAATCTCAAAGCGCTCCACGGAAAACCATCGGTGCCACAACACTGTAGAGAGTTCACCGATAATGTTGAACACCGGGTGCGAGCTGGTAATCTTTGGAGTCACTGACGTTGACGACGCGTTTGCTGTCCCAAAAGAGAACTGATTGGCAACGGAGTCGCTGCTTTCACTGATACTAGCCGTCGCCGTCATCAGGTGCAATAACACACGATCGACGTCCTGAACATTGCGTATAAAATCGTGAACGAAAACTGGTGACGCCATGGAAACGTCCCCACCGTGCCCTCGGGCTGCAGCACTTGTGTTCCTGTCCCCACCAGCTGAAGGGCGCTGGATCGTATCTTCAAACGCACGGAGAAAGTCTGCATACGCCAATATGTTCATCTTGACATACCACTCACTCCACGCCGCTGTCTGATCCTTGGAAAATATAGATGCAGGTTTCTTAGTTGACGAAGAAGTCCCTTTCAAACCTTGTCCACTTGGTCGACGGCCCGGATGGGACGTTGTAGTAGCTGACGCCGCAGGAGTTGCTGCGTTGTCCGTGGTTGTAGACACAACATACTCAAGCCACACGTTCTGTTTCCATTGCAGCAAGAACACAATCAAGATCTTCGTGACTTCGCTCGAGCGCCCATTCGAGGCGTTCGCAGCTCCACTGCCACCAATAGAATGCCTGGGAGAATCCACGGTTGTTTGATTCGATCCTCCATCCGCCAGCACCGGCTGCTGGTAAGTCTTCACGTAAACCTTATTGATGGAAAATCCTTCACAAAGTCGCGCCTCCACGATCCGGTTCACGTCTGCGAAAATACGATACTCGTGCACCTTTTCACGCCACATACGATACGGACGGAGAGGCAGCAACGTCCTGCCATCGAAAGAAGTGCTGTCCATCTCGTTCAGCTTCACCACAGGGGCCGAGTTTGCGTGCACGCTCGACTTGCGCAGGAAACACGCATCCTGCAGACCCGTCATCTTCTTCACAACATTGCTGCATGTACTTGTCGTCCCATAGCACGCCTCGTGGATAGCTGCATAATCAAACACTGTTCCACCCGTATACTCCGCCACGAATCGCAATAGATGCGTGTCCGGGACGAATCCAAACGTAGCGCTCAATTCATCCTCTCCACCTCCTCCGATCCGCAAGAAATGGCATTGAATATCATGCCGCACCAGCTGCATCAACAAGTTATCATACGAGTATGCATCACGTACATCCACGACGCCATCTGTAACCAGCACCACCATCGGCGCGCAGTCGGAAGGCAGCGAGTTCAACGCAAAGACCGCGTTCTGCAAGATCCAGTCGAGCGACGCGGGCATCGCATTGCCTAGATACCCCCACTGTCCGAGCTCTTGCGCCTGGGTCGCCCAGTCGTTCTCGATGAGCTGGAATCGGTCCTTGATGAGCTGCAGGAAGCTCGCAGCGTTGGACGGGGTGACGATATAACCCTGCATGATCACGCAGAGAGACTCCACGAGAGCGCCCTGCACCAGCACGGACACGTGCAGCTCCGGCGTGAAGGCCACGCCGCCGACCTCCATGGGCCGCAGCATGCTCCAGATGAAGAGCTCCACGCTCTCGTAGAGCAAGTCCAGGAACAGGCGGCCGCTCGACGGGTCGATGGACAGGATGGAGGGCGACGCGTCCAGGCACAGCACGCAGCGGTAGCGCTGGAACACGGCGGCGACGCGCGTGTCCGGCGTCATGTGTCCCTGGACGCTGGTGGTCACGCCCTGCAGCTGCAGCACGGGTCTGGAGCGCTCTGTCCTGCTATTGTTGTCCCCTGCGGCCGCCGGGCCGCTCTTCTCGGGCTTGAGCGCGTTCGGCGGCTGCTCGAACAGCACGGCGGCCACGCTCATGCCCTCGCCCAGCTCGATGCCGCGCGTAGGCGGCTCTGCTGTCGGCGTGTCGGCCGTCTTGAGTCGGTCCTGGTCCTCCTCCGGCTCGCGCTCCGCCGCGGACGGCAGCAGCTCGAGCGCCAGCTGCCGGAAGTGCCACAGCGACAGCGTCGTGTGGTTCAGCACGCTCACGTCGGCGCCGCGCAGGATCAGCTCCTCCACGCGCGGCGCCGGCGCTGGCGGCAGCGCCCCAGGTGGAGCCATGGCTTCTGGGTCACACTTGGTATTTTCGGATTGAAGTCGGTGTGGGCCACATTATTTTACCTGAAAATTAGCTTTTACCCGAAATTAGGGAGCAGTACCAAAAGATCACCAGCTCCGGCAGCGAGGGACCATGGCCAAGGTATGTATGAGAGTGCTGCGTCGCTTCTGGGCGCTGTGCGGCGTATTCCCCACTTGATATACGTGTTCTACGCTCGCTCTACCTCATTCTCCTTCCTTAATATCCGCCGTTCTACCTCCATCAGGGCAAGAAGAAGCAGTCGAAGAAGGGCCACAAGCGCCACGCGCCCAAGCAGAACGGAGCGCCCGCGGAGGACCCCTCGGCGGCCCCCGCCAGTCAGAACGCAGACGCCAATGGCTCGGGGAAAGGAGGAAACCCGCTGCCCAATGGCGCGGCCAAGCGGCTGGACCGCAGCAAGCAGCGCGCGATCGTCAAGCGCCTCATGACGCAGGCGGACCAGCAGGGGCTGCAGGTGGGGGACAAGCGCTTCGTGCTCTCGGCCAAGTGGTGGGAGCGCTGGTGCGAGTTCGTGGGCTACGACGACAAGCAGGACGCGCCCTCGGCGGGAGCGGGCAACCCCGCGCCCAGCCGCATCAACAACCTGCCGCTGCTCCACGTGAGCTCGGAGACGTCGCTGGACGAGCTCATGGGCGGCCCGCTGCGGCCGCAGCTTAAGGAGAATTATCACTATGTGCTTATCCCACAGGAAGTCTGGGACGCTCTGGTGATTTGGTACGGCGGAGGGCCGACCATCGCACGCTTTGTCGTGCAGGTGGGAGATCCCGAGCTCGGCAACGTGTTCAACCGTGTGAATGTCTACCCGGTACGTCTATACAGTAGATACTGCTGTTTGATACTTCAAGAGACTGATTTACTGAAGGAATATTTTGTGTATTCCAGGAACAACCGGAAGATGACGAGCCAGAAGTTACGACTACGACAAGCGGCGCAAAAGGCACTCCAGCACAGAAGAAGAATGAAACAAAGGCCGAGGCGAATGGCACGAAAGATGACGGGGCTACTGGGGGCAAGCTAGCTGTGCAGCGGAAACCCAGTGCTGTGAACAGCTCGATCCCTAAGCTCTGTGGCGCCTGCCGGAAGACTGCAGGGTCTCTGAAGCGGTGTGGCAACTGCCAGCTCATTTGGTACTGCGGTGCGAACTGTCAGATGTCCCACTGGAAGTATCACAAGGGCGTGTGCCGCTCGACGCTGACAGCTGAAGAGAAAGAAGACGAAATTCTGCAGGGCTTGAAAGCAGAGCGGCGAGGCAAGATGGGTCTTCGTAACCTTGGCAACACGTGCTTTATGAACTCGGCGCTGCAGTGCCTGAGCCACGTGGAGCTGCTTACTCGTTATTTCTTGAGCAATCGCTACAAGAAGGATCTGAACCGCGACAATCCGCTAGGAACGGGTGGCAACCTTGCTGAAGAGTACGACGGCTTGCTGAAGGAGCTGTGGTTTGGTACGGTACCCAGCACTTCTCCGGCCAATCTGAAGCGTGCCATCAGTCGTTTTGCACCTCAGTTTTCTGGATTCCAACAGCATGACGCGCAGGAGTTGCTTGCATACATCATTGATGGCTTGCATGAAGATCTGAATCGCGTCAAGCACAAGCCTTACACCGAGGTGAAAGAGTCAGATGGCTCGCAGGACGACGCTGCCGTGGCCAAGGAAGCGTGGGAACACCACCTGCTCCGAAATGACAGCATCTTCGTGGATCACGTTCAGGGTCAGTTCAAGTCGACGGTCGTGTGTCCAATCTGCAACAAGGTCTCGATCACGTTCGATCCGTTTAACTGCATCCAGTTGGAGCTGCCGCAGCAGATGAACCGCCAGATAGAAGTCATTTTCGTCCCAAGTGAGCCGGGCAAGTCCATGACTCGGTACCTAGTCGAAGTACCCAAGAAGGGAAGTGTTCTCGTGCTGAAGCGAGCAGTGGCGAAGCTCTGTGGTGTGAGCCCTAGTGCTCTTCTGGCAGCTGATATCTATCAGTCAATGACCTACCGGATTATCGGGGATACGGAACGCTTGAACCGACTACGAGAAGATGATCGGATCCTCATGTACCGAGTGGACTACATGCCGACTAAAGAATCTGTGCAGTACGGATTCCTTTATCACCGAATGGGGTCTACTCTGAAGGGCGATCCGCTGCTCTTCACCTACACGGCTTCGTCTACGTGTGCGGAGATGCTGGACAAATGGAGCGACTTGCTGAATTCGCACGTTTCTCAGTCGTCCAGCGCGAAAATCCCAAGCAACATGCTATCTCAATGCGTGTATTTATCAGACCGCGATGGTATGTACTTGCGGAACGAGTCCGTTCCGCTCGCTGCCGACGCGAAGTTTTCCGACTTCGCTACGCTGAATGATGACGATTCTTCTGACGAGCTGGTGTTCGCTACTGTTGCCTGGTCATCATCGATGCTGTCCTCGTCTGCATCTCCTCGGCCTGATGTGGAAAGAATCGTCAACCATGAGAGCATGCGTGGGAAGTCGAGCGGATCCCGTGCGCACGAGGGCATTTCTCTGGATGACTGTTTCAGGAACTTTGTGAAACCGGAAACGCTAGACCAGTCTAACTTGTGGTACTGCTCCACCTGTAAAGAGCACCGGCAAGCGCGCAAGACCATGGAGATGTGGCGTCTGCCGGACGTGCTCGTGCTGTCGCTCAAGCGGTTCGAGTACCGCAACGAGATCCTGCGCGACAAGCTGGACGTGTACGTGGACTTCCCGCTGGAGGGTCTGGACATGTCGCCGTACTGCCTCGAGAAGAGCAGTGAGAAGGACCACCTAAGCTACGACCTGTTCGCTGTGAGCAACCACTACGGCAGCATGGGCTTCGGCCACTACACGGCCTTCGCCAAGAGCTGGAAGGACGGTGATGGCGAGATGTTCCCCGGCTGGTACTCTTTCGATGACAGTCTCGTTACGCCAGCGATGCCTAGTCAGGTCAAGTCGAACGCAGCCTACATCCTGTTCTACAAGCGCAAGAACCTCCAGGCCGAGCCAATGCCCAGCAAAGCGTCGATCCCCCAGACAAAACAGAGTTAGTAGCTAGCTCCAGGCCAGCAAAGGCTAGTATCGAGAGCGTCGTGGACAGATACTACCTAAAAACGCCAATGTAGACACGCTATTAGATAGAGTCGAGTGTAATGACAAATTACCAAACCGTTTTACCGTTAGAGCAGTACCGTAACAGGTGCGTGGCAGTAACTTGCCTACACAAAACCGAAATGACTTGAGTTTGTATGGAAACCGCCCCGTCTATATTTAGCTTTTCGGCTTTGCCTTCAATAGTGTAAATCCTGCTGGACGATGGCAACGCCCCGAGCGGGCGCGAGCGAGGCGACCATCATGTTCCACAACGAGCCGTGGACGGCCGAGGTGGCGCGGCTGCTGCTGGAGGTGGACGAGGGCTGGGTGGGCTACCGCGGGGACGCGGCCTGGAGCTGGCACGACGAAACGTACACGGCGTTCGTGGCCGTGTGCGGCGAGCGCCAGTGGCCGGCCAACTCGCAGGGCGCGTGCATGGCCATGCTGCACGCGCTGCGCACGGGCGCCATCAGCATGAAGCTCAGCAGCGCCACGCGCAGCTCCGACGGCTGCGCGCAGTGGTCGCTGGTCGAGATGCGCGAGCTGGGCGCCCAGATGCGGCGCGTGGTGGACGGCAAGGTCCCCACGGCGCGCTGGGCGGCGCAGCTGCTGATCTTCGTGGACGCCATGAAGGGCAAGGACGCCAGCTACAGCATCGAGGACCGCACGATCGAGGAGTTTGCGGTCCGGGCGGGCAAGTTCCTGCCCGAGCCGATCTTGCGCTTCATCGACCCGAACGGGGACAACGGCAGGACGCCACAGCCGGCGGTGGCGAGCAATGGGAACGCGCGGAGGACGCCGACACCTGAGCCGCAGAGTACGGCGACAACGACGACGAGCGCTGATAGTGGTGCAGCTCCAGTGGCGGCGCCGGCTAGCACTAGGAACCCTCAAAGGACACCGGAACAACGCCAAATGAGGGCTCCAACGGCGGCGGCGACGGCGAAGGATACCACTAATGGTGAACCGCCGACTACGGTGGCCAACGGTAAGAAAGCACAGACGGCACCGACGGCACCGACACCGGAGCATGAAGATCGGCATAAGAAGGCGACCTCGCAAAAGAAACAGCCAGCGACGGCGACGAAGGAAGTGGACAGTGACGATGAACCGCTCGATAAAACACGGAGCGCACCAACGCCGACACCAACGGCGGAGATTGAAGAACGTCCAAAGAAGGCGCCGACGACTACGGCGACGAAGGACGCAGGGGGTGAAGAATCGCCGGCTGCTGCGACCAAAACCAGAAAAGCACAGAAGACGCCGACGCCGGAGCCTGAGGAGCACCACAAGAGACAAACAGCCGCGAAGGACGATGGCAGTGATGATGAACCGCTACTTCCGGTGGCTAACACTAGGAAAACACGGAGAGCACCGGAGACTGATGAGACCAGGAGGGTGACGAGGGGGCAATCTATGAACAGGGCGACGCGATACGAGGACAGTGAGGATGAACCGCTGGTACCACGCAGAAGCACCAGGTCGAGATCTCGCAATAATAGTGACAACGAGCAGCGCCGACACACTAGATCGCAGGCTGCTAGCACGACCCATATCAAGAAGAGAGGACGCAAGAGGAGCGTGGAGTCGGAAGGAGACAGCTCGTACCATGACCCGACGTCGGAGGAAGACGGAGACGCGTTTCGGGACTCAGCTCTGCAATTATCGGAGACGGAAGAGGACATCATTGCGACGCAGGAGCTCACGAGTCAGGGAGAATTGTTGCCCGTCGAGCAACCGACGCCTCCAACTCAGGACGTGGTGAACGGAAGTCGGCCTTCACAAGATGAACCCCCTCAGGATCAAGCACAACGTCCTTCCTCCGCGTCAACTCAAGGCCAAGCTTCGTCTCAAGATCCATCAGCCGAAGCACAACCTTCTCCTCGCCAAGACCCACCAGCCGAGCAGCCAGCATCTCCTCGTGAAGATCCACACGTTGAACAGCGATCATCTCCTCGCGAGCACCCACAAGCTGAGCAGCAAGCGTCTCCTTGCCAAGACCCACAGCGAGAGTCTCCGCGCGAAAGTAACCAGCGTCGTCAAGACTCAGCAGGCCAGACTCGGACAGCGGACGGAATTCAGCGCAGTGACTCACCAACGCGGCAGTCGAGTCGCAAGTACCGCCGAGTCCAGAACAAGCTCAGCAACGGCCACACAAGCAGCAGCAGCAGCAGCTCGCTCTTCCGCAGTCTCAACCCGTACGACCGGCCAGGAAAACCTTGGGGCGAGTTTGTAGTTGAAGTGCTGCTGGCTGAGAGAACCGCGCGCAACGAAGACGAGCTGGACTACGTGCAGTTCGTGCGAGGTCTCTATGAGATTTAGGACCCATACCTTGAACCACGGGCGGTGGGTCTCGAACGTGGCCGGCGTCGTCTCGCTCGAGCGCCAGTCAGCGCTGTACGAGAGCAACACTGTGCTGAGCGCGGCCTTGGCTCCGGACGTGAACGGTTCTGCGCGTTGTTCTGGTACTTTGACAACGACTTTCGCGTGGTCACGAGAGGTATCTTGGTCTTCTCCTCAATGGTGAGCTGCGCGCGACGTCAAGTGTCGTGTGTTCATCAATGGGAGCGTCGTGCTTCCTGAGCTTGGCCACGTGCTTACGGCAGAACGCATTTACCTGGATATCACGTGTGCCTTGTCTTGTCACGGTTGAGCGCCTCAACTACGACCCATTGAGCGGCTCGACGACATGGTCATCGTGTCACAATAAATCCATGATCTATAAAGGCGATCCTCGTGAGGCTCCTCGGCCCCAGTCCGCTTTCTCTATCATCGTTCACGTCCGCTCGAATACCGGCACACGAATCTTCCTGGCGCAGGACCTGCTCATCTTGCTTTCTCCTTACTCCGACAGCTCTTGATAGGTCAAGCGCGCACGACGAATGGCGCCTGGATCAAGCGACCCGGGATGACGAAGCCAATGATCGTCCATGGTCCGGAGCTGGGGGCACAGCCTTTCAGCTGCACCCAAACTTGCTCATGGTACGTATCAACAACCACACCTTGATCCGAACCCCAATTCACGTAGGCGGCCACGAACTTGATTAAGTCGTCGACGTCGTCGCTTTCGTCGGCGATGTAAATCACCACTTTAGGCACACCAGGCAGGGGTTCAGCATTTGGCAGGTCAATCGCGTCCTCGTCGATGATGGAGATATCCGGCGCGTACAATCTCAGGTTAGTAGGTCGACTTGACGACCCCTTGAACAGAAAGAAACCGCGCGCATACAGCGCACGAAAACGATGTTCCCCTGCTGCCCACTCCGCAACTTGGTTTTCCGCCTCCAGTATTTCAGCGTTCCAGTTGCCGTCCAAGGCCATTGGGTCTTCTTGTTCTTTGCCGGTAAATGGGAGAGTGTGTAAATGCAAACGTGCATCGCGAGCTCAGCACTTGCTCGGCCATTACTCAGTTAGTCAGCTTGGTGTCTCTCGCAGAGACTGATGTTCATTACTGCCCAAAAATGACGACCGAAAATGTTTGTCTGGGTTGCGATGCGAGTATGACACTTTTTGAGCCGAAACTAAGAACTCGGACAAAACACAAACATCGCGCCATGTACTGAATTTCACTCACGTTACAGATTAAGCACGCAGTTGCGGCGTCCAATGTGGAGTTCCTGGGCGATGCCACTAGCGACGCATATGCTGCACACTTACTTGTCTGGTCGCGGGCGCACGTGAATGCCGCCATCATATGGAGAAAGAGGTCTGGCGGGCTTCCTGGGCGTGCGGGGTGGCGCATTCAGCACAGCGAGAAAACAGGAATGGCAGAAACGGCGTAGTGCGCAGTTCGTAAAAAGATTGACAGGCTAGACGTAACTAGATGGTGAATTCTCTGCCTCGTTTCTCATATAGTGAGCCGATTGATTGAATCGTTAGTGGGTCTCAGTTCTGGCAGCAAGATAGCGCTCTCCGAAAACCCTCCAAATTTCTCCCAATCAGAGACGGAACGAACTGAGACCCCCTTTGCAGTTCGACAGCAGCAAGATGCCTCATGCGTGGTCTTCTTGCTCATTTAGCCTATTGCTCAACTACATAGTGCTCTCATACATATATACATGTTATAGGTGCCCAGCAGCGTGCTGCGGCAAGTTGTCACATGCTTTCGATGCGAGGACTCACTGCTACGGGGTCGGTGGAGGTCAGATTGACCCCGCGGCGGTCGATCCGCTCAACCCCAGCAGCCCAATGCTATCGGATCTAACGAAAGCACCTGTGGAGGACTCATATACGTCGGGGGAACGTCGGCTCCCGCTGCCGTCGCTCCTGGGGCGGTCCGGCAATAGGTGGGATCCATCTTGCTGCTGCCGGCGCTATACTGCACCAAAATCGTGGCAGTATGGAAACGGGTCAGCAGCAAGATAGCAACCGAGTTTTAAGTTAAAAAAACTTTTAACCAATCACAGCTCATATCCTTCAAGATTTGTAAGAGCGCTATCTTGCTGCTGCCAGAACTGAGACCCACTGTTATACAAGTTTCTATATTTTTCTTCGGGATGTTACCTTGATCGATGGTAAATTGTGCCGCAACCCATCAAAATCAGTAGAGATAATATTTAAAACGCAGAGCTGCACGCAAGCTGTTAGTGGAGGGCGCTCTATCGCCCCCTACTTTTTATGCTGCTTACAGCCAAACTCAATGTGCTATTATACGCACACTCGAGGATATTTATTCGCCTAACAAGGCAGATTTCGTGTTAAGATTCAGCACGTTTGTGCCTCTTTCGCGAGGCCAGATTCAACTAGAATCACAAGAATAAACTTGGGGACCATCAGTGGGATATGTCTTCGGTCAATTTGTCGCTCGTTCTCGATCAATCTAAAGCAGCAAGAACAAGAATCATCGGTAGAAGCCTCATACGGCAATTTGCGCGCTGGACCAATGGAGCACCAACTCGAGGCGGAAGGACATCTGGAGAGCATGGGCTACATCCTGCTACCGGGTGGAGATCGCATTCCCGCGGTTCCAGGCAAGTATAGACTCACTACCCCACCCGATTTGAACGAAGTCGCCGAAAAACGTTTTCTGCTGGAGTACGTGTCCCCCATTCTTACCGTGCGCGATTACCCCATGAGCGGCATCGGATCAGTGCAGCGAGGCGAAGTGAGCAGACAGTTCTCGATCTGGAAACGACACAACCCAGAGATCGGAGGTGTCATGTTTTTCCACTCCGCGGGCTATCAGCTCACAACGAAGGCTGGGCGTGCTTGGCTCGTTCCCGATGCTGCTTACATGGATGAAGCTACCTTCGCTCGCATGATGTCTGATAAGAAGCTGTCGAAGTTGCCGTATCCTCCATGCGTCCCCGCTGTCGTTCTGCAACTCTTGACCGGGACGGACAACTTGGAAGACGCACAAGCAAAGGTGGCAGTCTTCATGGAAGCAGGGACTCGCGAAGGCGTCATTGTGGATGCTCGAAAGGGCTGCGTATGGATCTACAGTCGAGATCAAGACGAGCCGCGGTGCGAGTCGCTCGGCCCGATCGCATTTGACTCGATGCGCAAGTTTACGTTGGATTGTGATGCGATCCGCAGTGCGGTGGCCCAGGCTAGAATGCTGTAAGCTAGTACTGTGCCTCGGAATGAAGCGGATGACGCGATGTGAGGTGGTTCTGCATCAATGAGGTACTTCGTTGAGTATCCCCGCATTGAATACTACATGGCATTTCGTGAATACCATTTATTTCAAAATCGCATTCATTGCGTGCCGGGGGTGACACATCCACAGTTCGTATTCACAGACCTACCGGTAGGGATTAATACATGCACTGCAGCGAGTTCGGACGATGCGTACATGGGTCCATCGGTGGGTTACCCGATGCAGCGTTGCTTTTATTACTGTTTTTTTTTGGGGGGGGGCTCTAATACCGGTAGTAGCACTGGATGCTCAAAACGCTCAAGTCGAAAGCACACGAGCATCATTCGCAGTGAAGACGACGCATGAACGCTTTTATGACTCACGGTTTGCACCACCAGTACATTAAGAGTTGCAGCTTCTGGCTTCGTGTTCGTCCTACAATTGGTGCTCTCCTTTGTTGCGTCTGCTGCTGCCAGGTCGTCGGCTGTTGCCTCCGGCCGACCGATGGCCGCTCCTGCTACTGGAGCTACTACTGCTGCTACTGGACTTGCTGCTGCCAGATCTGGAGCTCGAACTGGTGGCCGATCTAGAACTGCCTTCTCGTCGCGAGCTCGAACTCGAGCTGGAGCTCGACACCGGGTGCTTGTTCTTCTCGGCGCGACGCCGCGCCTGCGCGCGCTTCTTCGCCTTCTCTTCCTCCGACATCTCGTACTTGTAGAACTCCTTCTCGGCCGACGGCAGGTTGCCGGGCTGCGGGGAGTTGGGCGACTTGCCCGTCTTGAAGCCAGCGATGCGGTTCTTGGCCATCACAAACGCGCCCGCGGCCTTGACGCGGCCAGCCGACGCGACCGTCGCGGCGGTGGACGCCGCCGTCGTGGCCTTCTCCTTGCCGACGGTGGCGGCGGAGGATGCCACCTGGAAGGCCTGCGACGTCTTGACCTTCTCTCGGCCCAGCGTGGCGGCCACCGTGGCGCTCTGGTACGTCTGAGAGCTCTTGACCTGGGCCGCGGCCCCGGACGCCGCCGCCAGCGCCTGTGTTCCCTTCTCCTTGCCGATCTCGGCCGCCGCCGCGCCCGCGAAGTAGAGCGTGTTGCCGGCCCGGTTGGCCATGCTCTTGAGGTTGTTCAGGTCCATCATTCACGCAGCAACGAAGAGCGGAAGGGAAGGCCGGAGATCGGAGGGGATTCCTTGTCTTGTCGACTGAAGTTTTCGATTATGGCTCCGGCCGAGGGCTCTGCCGTCGTCAGTGGAAGAATTCCGGGAATTACTCATTATGATTAGAGATTCTAGCCAATCAGAGTACGCGATGAGTTTACAGAACCATTGTGATTGGAGAATGTATTATAAGGGACATCAATTTTTGTAAAATGTGCCCAATAGTTTTGGTATAGGCCCGACCCACGTGGGATCCGGTTGCCGTCGAGTCGAGATGATCGGCACAAGCGATTCACCAAGCAGGAGGTGGTCTATGGAGCTCATCTTGTAGCTATTGGCAAGTGGATTGGAGCCATCGAGTTGCGGTGCAGGGTGAAGGCAAAGTTCTGATTTTTCTGGAAGCAAGCCAAAGAATCCGGCGAGGCTGGTCCGCTGCCGGCGATAAGACCGTGGCCGGCTCAGCCCCAGCGCTTTGAGCGTCAACGGTAGATGCTCGGCAAAAAACTCCGCCATCTGCCGCTGCGCTCAATCGATGTTTCTGATCCGTCCCGGAATTTGAGAACGAACAGCGACGGACATTCATTGAGATGAATGCGTTGAACCAGTACACTATTCGTTCGGGTTGACTAAGACATCGACGCCAAGGGTGCCGTTGAAGGTGCCTGCCTGCCTACAGGTTGCTATACACGACGCCGACCAGCAGCATGGCCGAAAGCGTGGCGGTGCCGGCGATGACCTTGTCCGGGTAACGCATGCAGTACAGGATAATGTCGCCGAGCAGCTTCGAGTCGAAGTGCTGCGCGTCCGGACGCATGGGCAGCGGATACCCCGCCGTCTTAAAGAGCTCCACCACGCTACGCAGCGTCAGCCCCCACAGCACAAAGTCCTTCACCTCGCGGGCCGGAATCCGCTCGTCGTCGGGCGGCGCGTGGCCAGGTCTCGGCAGGTAGATGCAGTCGAACTGCATGTTGCCGAGCATCTTCTTCGCCAGCGCCAGTATCTGCGGACGCATGCGCAGACTCATGAGACTGTCTTCCAGCGGGTAGGAGAGAATCTGGTACCGCCGCGTGTTGAAGAGCTCCTGCACGTCCACCCAGAACACGTCCGAGATCTCCGACTCCTGCACCTTGGGCTTGTAGTCGTGCTCGTCCGCTGCGACGTCAATGAAGAAGACTGGGGGAATGCAGACGAAATGTCAGCACTAGCGAACTCAACCACCACGTAATGCGTTCATCTTACCATGAGTACTGACGCTAAGCGAGCGCAGGTGTGTGTTGATAGGCGGCAAGTTGCCGATCCAGTGGACATGCCTAGGTAGCAAGCAGCACACAACGTCATATTAGTCAATAGCGGACATGCAACAAACCCAGTGACCACACGTACGGACTCGTGAGGTCGAGCCCGACCTCCTCCATCGTCTCGCGCTGTGCCGTCTCCTTGAGCGACTCCCAGTCCGTCCACTCGCCGGAGATGTCGTCCAGCGCGTTGAGATCCATCTTGGTCTTCTTCTGGCGACGGCCACCGGGGAACGCCACCTGCCCACTCCACGTGTCCTTCTCGTTCACGGTTCGCCGCACGAACAGCAGCTCCAGCGACTGCTGCTCCTTCTCCCTCCATCGGAACACGGCGGCCACGCTCGCGCGCTACAGGCAGCAAGCAATCCGCAACAGCAACAGGTTGTCAATTGGGGGAAGTTCTGGACGGTCTCAGCTCGATTAGACGCCCGCCACCTTACCACGAACGGCGCGTCATGGCGCGGAGGCGGCTGCTTGGCCAGGTTGCGCTTGAGCAGCGGCACCAGCGACGTCACCACGCTCTGCTCCACGAACCTGCGCGAGCTCATGCTACCGATGATCAATGCGCGACGGTCAAGCTGGGCGCGGGTAGGGGTCCTTGACATACAAAGCGCAGCATGTTTCGCTGTCCTTCAATCGCCACATCGAGATGGCTACAGTCACTCTACCGGGGATCATTCCCCTCTTCTATGACTTTAGGAACATTATTTTCGCCTCGAAACTGATTTGGTCCCAGGTGAGTTGAGGTGAGCTCGCCGCGCCGACCTGATGGAGGCTTCCGCGGCGTCTCCGCCAGTGGGTGGGGGCTCGTTCTCTTCCCCAGACGCGGGCACATCTCCCGACCCTCCTCCGGCTCCGGTCGCGCCGCATTTGGACCCGCAGCAGCCCCACGAACGACGGCACAAGCGCGCGGCGTCGGGCATGGCCACGTCACTGTCCGACGCCGTGGGCGCCAACCTGCTGATGCAGCTGATCCCCATCCACTGGGACGGGCCGGCCCGCAAGAAAGGCGACTGGCTGCCGCGCTGGGACGACGTGTACCTGAGTCTGGACGGCGTGACGCTGCGCGTGTTCGAGTCTCGCGGCCGCTACCTCGAAGTGCTGGAGCTGGAGCAGCAGCAGCTGCAACTGGACGGCGCTGGGAAAGGCTCGGGCTCTGTGGTGATCGACAAGAAGCACTGCTACACTGTCACGGCCGTGGATAAGGAGAATGTGGGGCGGCCGCACGGCTTCCACGTCAAGACCAAGGAGAAGAGCAAGCCGCTGCACCTTGTAGTGGACAGCGAGCTGGAGCGCGTGCTGTGGATCCACCTGCTGGGCGCAGTGGTGGACCAGGTGCAGAATGTGCTGCCCAAGGCGCAGAGGAGGCTGAAGACGGTGGGGTCCAAGATTGAGGCCTCGCCGAGGAAGACGCTGATGCTGGCGCCGCTGTCCACACCGAGGAGACCCAGAGTACAGACGCTAACGCTGCTGGGCACACCCGTCAGTGTGGAGCTGAACATGTTTTACGACGCGTGGGGCTGTATTCAAGCGAGGAAAGGGAATTTTGCGCTGCTGATGCCGAGTTTGCACCCGAACATTACGTTGACGTCGAACTATCCGCCGAGTGTCCCTATTGCGGGCGAGTATCACGGACTCTCGGGTATGTTGGCGTTCTTTGCCAATTTTCATGGCTCCATGGATGTCTCACACTATGAAGTGGAGCACGTGGCGCGTCGTGGAGATCTTGCGGTCGTGTCGGGCCGGGAAACGATACGAAGTGCGGAGAGTGGACGGCGATTCAGGCATTTGTGGAAGCACGAGCTGCGGTTTGAAGCTGATGGACGCATTAGCCACATTAATATTCTTGCGGACAAGACAGCAGCGGCGGTAGCGTTTGCCAATGGCGGGGGCAGTGGAGCAGGTCCAGTGACGGGTGAGGCGAAGGGGCCAACGTTGGCCGCGCTGCCTCGAGAGCGTGAACGGCAAGCCAGCACATGTCCACCAGGCGAGATTCGTGTGGTGTGTATATCGGGCGAGAGTTTCCGAAGACGCAAACCCGCAACAGGTGGAGGCAGTGGATACAAAGTGATTATTGGGCTGAATGAATTCCCGCACCTCACGACCAAAGCTCCTGGAACGAAAAACACCAGCAGTACAAGCAGCAGAGATGTGACGACTATTAGCACGGATGGATTGAACCGTGTCGGTTGCTGGAAGGCCTACTCGACACGAGTAGTAAAAAGTGGCAGCGGTAAAGGACCCTTTTGGGCTGAAACGTTGCACCTGGAGTTCTCCGGCGCTGTTCCAGGCTCAACAGCTACACTATGCGTCGATGTGTGGAGCCTTGGTGTCATCGGTGACGAACTTGTTGGTTGTGCCAAGATAAACCTGGCAGACTACTTGGGTTCGTCCGAGGGGACTGAAGAGCAGATTGCATCTGTGGCTGTACCGAAGTGGTTTGACATCTACCGAGCTGAGACTTTCGAGAAGGGTGCACGAGGGTGTGACAACGAAAGCTGTGGACGTCTGGAGCTTAGCATCAGCTTTGCCCCTTACATGGAGGAGGATGACTCGATGGGCGAAGATGGCGATGAGAGCATGGGTGAGGAAGGAGAGCAATCTGTGATTTCAGCAGATGGAAGTACTCCAATTCAGAGTGGAAGGACGCCAAGGCATCGCAAGAGTTTCGATAGGCTACAGGAGCTGCACAAGGAGACGGGCTCAGGTCGACGGGTATCTGAACGCTATTCCCACGACGCACTGGGTGGCTTCGAGATGGTAGAGGCCACAGATGCTGCCGAAAAGCAGGACAAGAAGTCGTCGGATGAGGAGGAAGAAATGTACACGTTCACAGTAGCGTCGACCAAGTTCCGCGTGTACAGACGGTATCAACTAATTCGCGCTATCGGCCACGGCGCGTACGGAGTCGTCATTGCAGCAAGCGACCAAGTCACAGGGAACTCGGTGGCTATCAAGAACATCCCGCGTACCTTCGACGACCTTGTGGATGCGAAGCGCATCGTACGTGAGATCCGGCTCATGAGGCATCTGCGTCACCCGCACGTTGTGTCTGTACTGGACGTAATGCGGCCCCCTTCGCTCGCGAACTTTGAGGATACGTACATCGTCACCGACCTCATGGAAACCGACTTGCACCGAGTTATCAATTCACCGGAGGCACTTTCGAGCGACCACATCGCTTTCATCACGTACCAGTTGCTGTGCGGGTTGCGATATGTGCACTCTGCGCACATTATTCACCGCGATGTGAAACCATCGAATGTGCTGATTAACCGCGATTGCCTGGTTAAGCTTTGCGATTTTGGACTGGCACGGGGCATCGACATCCGTCCGGTCACACCGAGCAGCATCGATGGGAGCAGCACGCCAAGGAGCCAAGACGGGGAAGCTGCATTGGATGAGGCCTTGACTGAATATGTGGTGACCCGGTGGTATCGTGCACCCGAGCTTCTGCTGGCAAGTCGATACTCTACCGCGATCGATCTCTGGGCTGTGGGATGCATCATAGCGGAGATGTTCACCCGCAAGGCATTGTTCCCCGGTCACGATCACGTGCATCAATTGCATTTGATTCTCCAGCTTGTGGGTAGTCCGCCGCCCGACGACATGGGGTTCGTCACGAATATGAAGGCCAAGCGGTGGATGGCGCGTCAGCAGAAGCAAGAGGCCAAGCCACTGAACAGTGTGTGTCCGAATGCTCCGACCGAGGCTTTAGATCTCATGACGGGGCTGCTGCAGTTCGACCCGCGTAAGCGCATCACGGTGGACGAGGCCATCGCACACCCGTTCCTAGCTCCGTGCCGCGCGGACGGCGTTGACATGGGATCGGAGCGTCTAGCCACGAGTGCGTTCGACTTCTCGTTCGAACGCGAAAACAAGGGCAACATGGACAAGAACACGCTGCGCCGGCTTATTTTCGAGGATGTCTGCCACTTCCACCCAGAGGCCACAGCCGAGCTCGAGCAGTTCACGCAGGAGCAGGAGCGATTGAGGCGCTTAGAGGAGGAAAAGCGGAGGAAGGAGGAGGAGGCTCAGGCCAAGAAGAAGGCCGCGAGTCGGACTGGGAAGAGCTGGGCGGTCAGCGTCTAAATGCATAGGCGGTGGGTCCCGGTATCCGATAGACTTTAGCATGCAACGCAGCGCCGAGAGGCTGACGTCAGGTCATACGAGAAAGTATCAATAACGATTTGAAGTTGAAGCGTCCTCTCTGCAGCGAGACGCAGCGGTGAGGTGGGATCGATCCAAGCAGCATTTTGGTGGACCGCGGCAGGTTTTGGCCACCGACAACGCAGCAACAGGCTTCTGAAATGGCTAACCGAACCGATGCCACCGTTCTCCATGTATCGGACACTGTGGCCGTGTTACTGTATTGACGCCGACAAACTGGCGAAAATGAAAGCGATTGAAAAATAGGTTCTCCTTCGCGTGCTGCAAACGTGTCCCCAACAGAATTTGGTAGCATTTACTGGTGATCGCTTTGCCGGCAACATGAGTCCAAGTCGGTCACCAGCGCGACAAGTTTGGCAACGCCAGGTGACGGAATCCACAAGACAAGGCAGTCCGTCAGTCGCTGCTTTTGTCCAGCCTGGACAGGCTCGGACGTGAGGACACTGACCTCACGTTGGCTAATGGCGACGCGCATTTTTCGCGACTGCGAGCGAGCGTCGTCGGCATTGCCGCGTTGTGCTAGCTGCTCGTCGCGCGGCCGTCTGGACTCCAGACTGGAGGGAGCGGGTGCAACCTTCATCAGGCCGGGCCTCGCGCCGGCATGATGTCCGCGGTCGCACGCGCGTGCTCGCATTGCATGTCCGGCCTCTGTATCCAAGCCCGGTGTCGCAAAGCAGGTCCCTCGCCACGCCGGCCACGATTTAGCGGAGCTCTTCGTGCTCTCGTGCGACGGACTGCTGCGGCGAAAGAATTCTTGCCAGTCTTGCCGCGGCTCCGACTCCGGCCGTCGAGCGTCGAGCGGCACCTCGCGCCGCATCGTGCCGGTGCCGGCAACGCCGGCAATTCCCGGAGCGAGGTTCTGATCGCACGAGCGAACGAGCGTGGCGGGGCCTGGCCCTCGAGAACGCCATGTGCCCCAGTGCATCAACGAACGCCATCGCGTGAACACGGCGCCGAGGCCTGCGCCGGGCCGGCAAGTTGAAGTGGTCCGCGATTTGTACATTTCGAGACGCGTACAGTACTTTTCGTCACAATCCAGCGCAAAATGATCCACTACAGGATATCCAGGCTTACCAGCAACGCTAAGACTGCACGCAAGAACGATTGCCGGCACTTCCAGCTGCGCTCTATTGCCGGCACCCTCAGCGTAAAAGTTGATGAGACGATGACCAGGCGACGACGACAGGCTGTTGCGCGAAATACCAGAGCCACGGTACGCCTACCTACGCGTAACTGGGTGCAACCGAATCCAGATTCACGACCACGAACGAAAGTAAGTGTAAGGGCAAAAAATGCATCTTCTCCCCGTGGCCACCAGTTTTCTGCCGACAGCACCTCGCTGGCGTTGACTCTTGCTTACTCTCGCCCGGCATAACAGCACAGCGCGCAGTCGTGGCCTCTCAAATCATCGTCCCATCAAAAACCACAACCCATTCTGCCCCAGAAGCGGATGATTCTGGTTCGTAAGGTTGCGGCCTGAGTTCGTGCGCTTGTCCGAAGGAAGGAAGAGTCAGTGCGTCTGTGCATCCCTACCAGAACATGGCACGCAGTTACATGTACCAAAGGCAGAGGTAAGAAAGCCTCGCAGCAGCAATGCCTGCCCATTGATCTTCAATGTGCAGCGGCGGCATCTTGTCGTCTAAAGACCAGCTAAGGCGCCTCTACGGTTGCCATCTCGCAGATGGCGCCATAGGTGTGAGTCAACCAAACTCCGCCCCCTATTCCTTCCTGCCAAAACTCCCAATCCCTCAAATTGGTTTTGTATATTTTGGCCTCGGCTCTTCTCCAGGTCCTCTGGACATAAATAGTGTCCGTCTGGGTCTCTTGCGCGTGGCCACTTTTACACTTGATTCCAGAGTCACATCGCTCACTCACTCACTCAGTCCAAGACTTGCTCGTCCGCACTCGTCTCGCTGCTCTCACCCCCGATCATCTTCGCCATCGCCATCAGCTCGGCGCAGTCTCGGATTTGCCTCGCCGTTTGCTTGGCTCGCGTTGTCACTCGCGTTCGGTTGTCACCGTCTGGCGCCGGATCGTTGAACCTGCTGACGCGACTGCGGGTTCCGCTGGCGGCAGGCTGTTTTACCAGAAGGCTGCAAGACTGTCGAGTCGGTTGTCGGCTTGAAAGCAACAGAGAGAGAGCCTTTGACCAACATCCCCTACAGTCTTGCACTACTGTACTCGCCACAAGAGCAACAGCAACAGGAGCAGCGAAAAGCCCAGCGCCGCCGATCCATCCCGACACTTTTACATTGCGGACGTGGGCCGAGCGTGGTTTGCTTTCGGAACCTTATTACAGCAGCCGACTGCAACTTGATCTTGATCTTGAACAGTAGCAAGCCAAGCCAGCACCTCGACCGACTGTACTCTGCAATACACACAATATATTATGAACTGCTTGTGCTGGGGAGACGCCGAGCGCACGCGCAAGCTCAAGCAGGCGCTGCAGACGCCCAAGGTGCCGGACTTCGACTCGCCCAAGAATGACAGCGACACTTGCTCCGGAGGCCGCACGAGCTGCTCAAGCAGCCACGACATCTGGGACGACGACGACGTGTCCACGGCCAGCAGCGACGACGTCGGCTCCGTCTCCAGCTCGAGCTCGAGCTCAAATAGCTCTGACAGCACAAGCTCCAGCCCCAGAAGCTCGCCCGTCTCCAAGAAGAAAGCACAGACGGCGGAGCCTCTGCAGCTCGCGCTCGAGGCGTGCCACGCCAATTGGACGGAGAAGAGGACCGACAGACAGAAGACCCTGCAGCAGCCGCCACTGCCCAGCGGATCGCCCGTGAACCACCGGATGAAGGACCAGGTGGCCTATTTGAAGATCCTGCGCAGTGCAGCCTTCGGTTTGCGTCGGGTCGTGCCCATTGTGGTCCCGGCCGAGCTGTCACCCCCCAACGAGTACGACCTGCGCAGCACTAACGGTCTCATGAAATGTGTCAACGCCATTGCGCCGCTGCCGACGCCCGAGCAACTGAGTGCCAAGCACCTCGTGATCAACGAGCTGCAGCGGATCGTCGACATCTGGCTGCGTCGCACTCTGGACGCGCTCGAAGGAGCTACTGAGACCAAGTCGACGGAGACCGCCACGCTGCTGCTGGGGGGCAGTTGGCACCTCAAGGTCGGCATGGCCGAGTCGGATCTGGACGTCGTGGCCTTCATGCCGCACGCTATCACGTCCGAGATCTTCTTCAGCTCATTGTGTGAACACCTGGGCAAGGAGGCGTCAGTGTCGGACCTCGTTGCGAGGAGGAAGGCCGCGGTTCCGGTGCTGTCGTTCCAGCTCAGCAGCGTGCGCGTGGACTTGCTGTTCGCGCGCTACGCCCAGAAGCAGGCCGTGCCTAAGCACCTGCCGTTCCTGCCTGGAGACGACGTGCAGGTCATGCGCGGCATGGACGCGACCTCGGTGCGTTCGTTGTCGGTGGCCCGCGTGGCCTCGCTCATTCTCGAGCTGGTGCCCAACGCCAGCGTTTTCCGGTCGACTCTGCGCGTGATCCGCCTATGGGCCCGACGCCGCGGCCTGTACTCGAACAAGGCCGGCTACCTCGGAGGCATCTCGTGGGCGCTGCTGGTCTGCTTCGTGTGCCAAATGTTCCCGCGCGCGAGCGTGGCGTCGCTCGTGCATCGGTTCTTCTCGGTGCTCGCTTCCTGGCGCTGGCCGACGCCCATTCTGGTGGCCCACCCGTCCAACGGCGGCAAGGTCGACAACGGCGTTCAATGGGACCCGGCGCACAACATCCACGACCGCGCGCACCTCATGCCGATCATCACGCCGGGCTTCCCTGCGGTCAACACCGCTGTAAATGTAAACCTATCGACGCTGCGCGTGCTGCGCGAGGAGTTCGCGCGCGGCCAGCGCATCATGGACGACCTGCGTCGTCGCAGTCTGAGCCACCCGTCGTCGTGGAACCAGCTCTTCACCCCGACTGAGGTGCTTGTACGATACGACCACCACATCGCCATCGAGCTGCGTGCACCGAACGAGGAAGCGCTGGCCGAGTGGTCGAGCTTCGTGGCCAGCCGCACCCGAAAGCTAGTGGAGACCTTGCAGCACACACCGTCGGTGGCCACCCTCCACCCTCTTCCCGAGATCGTCCGACCTCAGGCAGCCCAAGCCAAGGAGGACGAGGTCGTCGGCTACTACTTTATTGGATATACTATCAACACCCCACCGCTGCCGCAGCCCAGGCGTGGAGAGCGCAGACATTCCGCTCGAGCTCCCGCCCCCAAAGCTTCCAGCAACGAGGAGCTCGCTAAGAACTGCGTGGCTTCGGCGACCCGGTACTTCCTCGCGACGGAGCTGGACGCTGCGGCTGAGAAGAAACCTGGCATGGAAGTGGAGATCAACTACCGCTCGTGGAACGACCTGCCCAGCACGGTCTTCGCTGGCGGCCGCACTGCCGCTATCGGCGAGCGTGCGAGGTTTATTCTCAGCCAAGCGCATCATGTGAATCTCGCTCTGGGCCTGGCTCGTTAGGGGGTATGAATATGAACATCGGGCGATTCTTCGGCTTTCGGTGTCGTGATGGCACACCTCACCCGATCTATCACAACACGGAAGCAGGAGGAACGCATGCGAGATATTTAAGAAAAAAGTTAATGCAAAATACGAAAACACTTACACAACACTTTGGCTGATTCGTTCGCTCATTCATAGCGAGCAGGACTCTTTGACGTTGGACAGCAACTGCACGCACGCCTTCAGTTGGTGTCTTGATTCTCATAGGATAGCAAAATGTACCGCGGTATCATGGCCCAGTAGCTCGTCGTCGGCATTAGCACTGAAAGTCCAGCGAGGCCACACACACGCGGTGCTTGACGGGGGTGCGATCGAATCACACGTCTTCGATTCCGCGCTTTCTCGAGGCATTGGACGGGTTGTTTTCTTTCACGAAACTATTGCCATCAGCCACGGGGTCTTCAAACTCCAGCACGGGAAAGTCCGAGAAATCGTCGTCGACGCTGGCCGAATCCATCACCTTGCTGCTGTTGCTATCTCGCGTGTTGCCTGGATCACCAGGGGAAAGGTGACTGTCGGGAATTGTTGACGGGCGAGACTCTAACGCGGGCAGAGATAAGGTGCTCGACTCTTTCAAGCTCATCGACGGAGCTTCATACACCATGTTCTGACTCATCGAGCTGTCGGGCTGGCTATCATTTTCCGCTCTCACTGGCGCATAACCCGAAGGATCGTACGTCGCGTTGCACGGACTGTTCCCGACTGCTGTCAATCCATCCATCACTCGATTCTGGCCGTTAGCGTCACCGGCATCCAAATCTGCAAATATGCCACGTGAATGCTGCCGTGAAGTGTCCATGTCGCTGAAGCTCGAGTTCGAAGATGCCCACCGAGCTCCAATATACTGGTTGCCTGAGCCTTGTCTGAAGCTGCTAGACACCCCCACAACGCTGCCTTGAGAGAGTGGCGCACTAGGAGAATACGTTGCAACACTTGTTGTCATTGATGGGGACGACCCCGCCGTTACTGCGGCTGGGGATACCGTAGCCGCGCTTGACAGAACTTTCCGCACAATAGGAGCCACACTCTGATGCATGAAGCGCTCAATTGAACTAAGCACCTCAAGTTTCCGTGGCTGGACATTAGTCGGCGGCTCGTTCAGGATGTTCAGCACCATGGTGATATTCTGCATCATTGACTGGGCCTTCGCGCTGTACATCGAGTTGGGAGGTACA